AAGGACCGACCGGGATCGTCGTTCTCGACCTGTTCAGCGGCACCGCATCGGCGGCTCGGGGCCTCTGCCAGGCAGGCATCCGCATCGACCGCTACCTCTGCGTAGAGACCGACCCGGTCAGCCGCAATCAGGCCCGCAAGCAACTTGAGCTGTGTCGCCAGCAGTGGCCACACCTCGTCGGACCGGACACGGCACGCTACCTACACGACCTGCCACAGGACGTGGTGGAGCTGCGTCGGCGCTGGCTACACGGAGACACACTTGCAGACGACCTCAGCGCAGTCGGGGTCAACCGTGTCGACGTCGTGTGGGCATCACCCCCATGCCAGGGGTTCAGCGTGGCCAACACGCGCGCACAAGGCCTCGACGACAGGCGCTCGGCACTGATGCTGGACGCCATCGCGATCCGCGAGGCGATCGACGCCTTCCACGTCCGACAGAACGTGGCGCCAACTACGTGGTTCGTCGAGAACGTGGTCTTTCGCGACCACCCGCGGGACCAAGTGCGCGGGGCATGGCAAGCGATCTGCGAGCGACTCGGGCAACCACATGTCTTCGACTCGGCCGATGTCGGGCCGATGCATCGGCTGCGGGCCATTTGGAGCAACATCCCGTTAGCGCAACCCAGCGACGCGGCCAAGGCGGCCGCTCCGACGCTCAAAAGCGTCCTCGACCCCGGTACGGTGCCACGCAAGGCATTGTACACCGACAAGGAGCCGTTCGCCCTCTACAACGTCATCGACAAGCCAATGCTTAAGTTACCAACGGTCGTCGCACGCATGAAGTCGCACGCAGTGCGCAGCGGAGCCATGTCGGTGTGGGACACGCGCAGCCGCAAGCTGCGGCTGCCACGCATCAACGAGCTGTGTCGCTGCTTCGGCGTCCCGCTCGCGGTGATCGAACAGCGACGCACATTCAGAGCGCAACTACGTTCGCTGGGCAACTCGGTCGACGTGCCGCTGCTGCGGCACATCTTCGCACATCTGCCGGCCAATCTCGGGGCCGACATCGTCGGCAATCCACTCGACATGCCGGAAGGCGACGCCAACGCGGTGATGTCTGCGCTACCGGGGGATGAAGACTTCCACATCATGTCGCAACCGCTGGGCCGAAAGGCCACGCGACGGATGCTGAAGAAGACTCCGGACGGACAGCTCGAGGTCATCGTCATCTCGGCGGCGGTCGTCCGGAACCTCCTGCGCGGGCACGAGGTGTCGGAGATCCGGGACACGGTGCGCGACATCGATCAACAGACGGAACCACAACAGGAGCTCGACCCCGAGGCCCGCGAGATCATCGACGAGTTCACGCGGCTCGGGGTCCTCACGGCGGATCTCCCCACCGCACCAGCTCCGGGGCAGTACCGAATACACCACCGTATTGACGTTGCGCCGAACGCTCGGCCAGCGTACCAGCGGTCGAGACCGCTCTCGGCGGAGAAGCTCAAGGCGCTACAGCTGATTCTGCACGACATGCTGCAGCGCGGCAACATCCGCGAGGCGCCTACGTCCGAGTGGGGGTCCCCGATTGTCCTCGTGAGGAAGAAGCCGAGACCAGACGGCGAGGAGCTGACGCCCGACAACGTCAACCGCTACTGGCGGTTGACCGTCGACTACCGTGCTGTCAACGCCCTGTCCAAGAAATTTCATGTCGAGACGATGCTGATCCAGGAGTGTATCGACCGACTACACGGCGCGAAGAGGTTCACCGCTCTGGACCTCAACGCGGGCTTCTACAACGTCCCGCTCGCGCCGGAGAGTCAAGATATCACGACGATGAGCACTCCCTTCGGCCCATTCGCGTACCGGGTGATGCCACAGGGGTTGTGCAACTCACCGTCAACGATGTGCGCAGCGATGCGCGAACCTCTGGGGCCGCTGATGGAGCCGCTCGACGGAGAGCCGATCTGCACGGTGTATCAAGATGATATACTCATCCACAGCCGGAACCCAGCGGACCACGCCAAGCACGTTCGACTGGTGCTTCAACGCTTACACAAGTACGGGCTCAAGGTCAACCCCAACAAGTGCATCTGGTTTCGCGACGAGGGCGTGCCGTTCCTGGGGCACATCGTGGGGGCGAGCGGGGTGCGGATGCAGCCGGACAAGGTCGACGCGATCCGCAACTGGCCGACCCCGCAGGACGTGACGCAAGTACGGTCCTTCCTGGGGATGGCTGGCTACTACAGGAGCTTCATCGCGGGCTTCTCGACCATCGCAGCACCACTGACCGACCTGACGCGGCCGTCGGTGGAGTTCTTCTGGTCGCCCGCGTGCCAGGAGGCCTTCGACGAGCTCAAGGCACGTGTCGCAAAGGAGCCGGTCCTAGCGACGTACGATCCGGACCCGAACACGCCGACGGAGCTGTACACAGACGCGTCGGACTTCGGCACGGGCGCGGTGATCCAGCAGCGCGGCGCGGACGGCCGGATGCATCCAGTGGCGTTCTGCAGCAAAGCCTTCAACAGCGCGGAACGCCGTTACTCGGTTTTCGACAAGGAGCTCCTCGCGGTCGTCCGGGCGTTCGAGAAGTGGCGGCACTGGCTCGAGAACCGTCACGTGGTGGTCTACACGGACCACCGTACGCTGACGACCCTGCTCAAGACGCCCGACCTGACGCGCTACAGCGACCGGGTGTGTCGCGCCATCCTGCACCTCCAGACGCTGGACATCGACATCAAGTACGTCGAAGGGCGCCGCAACGTGGTCGCGGACGCTCTCAGTCGGAAGGAGGCGGCGCAGCAGGCGGCGGACAGCGGAGGACTCGAGGTCGCCGCGCTGACGCCGTTGGCGCTGGCGCTGAGCGAGGCGGACGACTCGGCTCCGAGCATCTTCACGTCACCGATCCACCAGGACGACTTCATGTACGGGCTCGCGGAGGCTGCAGGACAGGACGAGACGTACCAACGCCTCGTCAAGGAGGCAGAAGGGAACGCAGACCACCCAGACTACCTCGTCTTTGACGGGCTGCTGTACCGCAGACATCCGCACCCTCGGCTCTACATCCCGAACAACCTCAACCTGAAGGAGATGCTCTGCCTGGAGGCGCACGGTGCCCCGCTTGGCGGGCACCTCGGATACCCGAAGACGTTCCAACGCCTCTGGCGCTTGTTCTTCTGGCCGAAGATGCGAGAGGACGTCACCGCGTACGTCAAGTCCTGCCCGCAGTGTCAGATGGCGAAGCCGCGGACCGACGCGGCGGCCCAACCACTCCGGTCAACCCCGCCTGGCGTCCAACCGTGGCACGTCATCCACGTTGACATCATCACGGACCTTCCTCGCGGATACGACCGGTACCACCGCTCGTTCGACGCCATCGTGACCTTCACCGACTCGCTGACGAAGATGATCGAGGCGATCCCGACCACGAAGGAGGTGACCTCGGCAGAGCTCGCCTACATCTACTTTGACCACGTGGTGAAACATCATGGTCTGGCGCACACCATCGTCTCAGACAACGACCCTCGCTTCACCAGTCAGTTCTGGGAGGAGCTGCAGGACCTGTGCGGCACGCGACTGCGCTTCGTGGCCCCGTACAACCACCGGGCCAACGGGGCCGCAGAGCGTACCAACCAGACAATCGTCACGGCGCTTCGGGCATACGCGACGAGCAACCCGACGGCGTGGCCAGAGAAGCTGACGGCTATCCAGATCGCGTACAACGACTCGCGGCACCCGACCACCGGGTTCACTCCTTTCTACCTCAACCTGGGCCGCGAGATCGCTACGCCGTTGGCCATTTTGGCCAGCCGCATCGCAGGGCCGGCGGCTTCCGGCCCGCCAGACCGCTCGGCGCCGGACTTCCTCGACCACATGCGCGACGCCTGGGCCACGGCACTCACCGAGATCGAACGTGCCCAAGAACAACAACGCGCCAGTGCCGACAGGCGCACGGGTGCCCGGCGGCAGGACAAGCCACCGTTCGCGAAAGGCGACCACGTCATGCTGTCGACAGCCAACCTCACGCTCAAGGGCAAGGCCGGGAAGCTTCGCGAGAAGTGGATCGGACCCTTCACAGTCACGGACACCAACGCACCCGGTACTCGGTACTTCCTCAACATCGATGCGAATGCCCTGGGCATCCAGAACGGCTTCAACGCCAGTCGGCTCAAGCTCTGGCACCCCGATGTGTTCGGCCGCGAGCCAGTCTACCCGAGCTGCCTGCAACCGTACAGCAATGATGAGGAGTTCGAGGTCGACCGCGTGTGGGCTTTCCGGGTGGTACGACACCGCCAAGAGCTGCTCCTCAGCTGGTCGGGCTACCACTCCGGGTTCAACAAGTGGACGTCGCTCAGCCGGTGCGTGGAGCTCGAGCACTTGACACAGCAGTGCCTGGACGAGATGGCGCCGACGGTCGAGCCGACAACACCACTGCCGACCGCGAAGGACGTCCTCACCGGCCGGGCGCTGATCCATGCACCCACTGGCGTCCCAGAGTTCACGATACTGACAGCCTCGGGCAACAAAATGGGGTACACGCCAGTGCAATCGCGTCGCAAGAGGCGGCGCTAACGCAACTCCATCTACACCTTGGCTCGGCCACGAGGGCGCAGGCCTCCCAAGTGGGGCCGTGTCAGGAGATTGCCCTGTCAGGGGGGACTCCAGATCCTGGAGATCTGCCACCGCGCAGGCCTAGGGGCCGCGCGGCGGCCATGCCGAGCAGTCTCATCACACTAAGGTGTAATACGACACACACACTCGAGTGTCCTGCTGCCAGACTCACGTCAGCAGCAGGTGAGCAGGCTTCCTTGGCCTCGCTCGGCCACTTGGTGGCCTCACTTGGCTTGATAAGGGACTGCCTGGGTAGGGCAGTTCTCTTACATCAGGGCAGCAGGGACAACCAGTGCAAAACACGACACCGCAGCCGCCCCGCCCTGTGCCGTGTTCTCTGTCCCACCCCGCAACTCCGCGCCCAGAGCAGCACCACAGCCCGCTTGCGGGGCCCCGCGTGTCCTCCACCGGGTCACATCACGCCAGTGCAGCCGCGCACGTCGTGCGTTCTCAGCCCCACGCCCCAGCCCCGCCAACGTCCAGCACCCTGGCGACGTGCGACGCGTGCAGCGGTGCGTCCTGCTGGTGCTCCCGCAGCCGCTGGAGCGACGCCTCCCCGAGCCCGCGCGCCTCCGCGAGCGCGTCCTCCAGCGGGTTCTCTTCGCCGCCCCACCGCTCCGCAACGCGGTCCAGCCCCCCGGCTACCAGCCCCTCCGCCGCGCCGCTCCCTGCCGCCGCGTGGCTCGCGATCACCGACGAAACCAGCGGGCCGGTGTCCTTGTCGTCCTCCCATTGCATGTCCAGACAAAACGTCCGCAGCATGGCCAGAGCCTGCACGCACACGCACGCACGCACGCACGGCTGCTGAAGCATCGTGACAGCCGGCGCCAGCACGCTCCGCTGCGGGTGGCGCGGCCACGGCCTCACCTCGGAGAAGGACATGTTGGCCAAGTGCTCCGGGGGACTCCAGGGACCCGGCGTCCCCGGCGTCGCGGGCGGCGCCCCGGGGGCGGACTTCCGCGGCCCGACCTTGCCCTTCTTCGCCGCAGCGCTCGCCGACGCCGCCTTCGCGGACCCGGGGGGCGGAGCGCGGTACGCCCCCCCGGCCTTTTCGCCTTTACTCCCCCGGGACGACCCCGCGCTGCTACGCCGCGAGGACGCCCCGCTCGCCTTGCCGCTGCCACGCGACGACGCGCTCGTCGTGCGCTTCAGGGCCGGCTTCTCGCCACCCGCGGATGGCGCAGGCACCGTCGGGGCACGGGAACTCCGCGGCATCGCTGGGTTCGCCCCGCCCGGCCCGGCCGCGGCCTTGGGGGGCTTACGCAGGGCACGCAGCGCCGCGGGCATGGACGAAGTCGAGTCGCTGGCGTCGACTGCAGCGCCGGAGGCTGCGGTTGCACGCGCCGCGGCGGGCCGCGGCTGTGCGGCGGGCTTGCCTCGCAGGGCGGCGACTGCGACCTGCGCCGCTGCCTCCTCGTCCGCAGCGACCCTCGCCGCGGCCGAGGCCTGCGCGGCCTCGAGCTGTGCCTCGGTGCCAGCGTCTGCAAGGAGCGCGGGGGGGGGGCGCGCGGGGTGGGCGCCCGAGGGCCTGTGGCGCACCGAGGGCAGGCGCACCGGGGTCGGGGGGCGGACCTGGCGCGTGTTTGTGCGCCGCGAGGTACTCGGCGAGGTAGCGCTCGTAGTCGTCCGACATGTGCGCGGCTCGCTCGGCGCGCAGCGACACGATCTCGTCCTTCTTTTTGCGCGCGTCCTCGATGTTCTTGTCCGCCAGCGCCTCCTGGTCCATCAAATAGCGGATCCTGCGGGCGTGGGCCGCGACCAGAGGCGAGGTGGGCCTAGACGCTCGCGCGGGCCTCTCCGCGGCTGTCTCGGCGCACTTGGCGGCCCGCACTGTCGAGCCACGCGCAGACGCGGCCGAACATCCCGCACTCGGGCCGTCAGAGGCGCTCTGCGACCGCGCGGCCCGCACAGTGAAGCAGAGCCCCCTGAAGGTCGCAGCGGCAGCGCGGGGCGGTGCGCCTGCCTGTTTTGAAGCGCCAGCATCTGCTCGTCGATCTGCGCATTCTCCGCGTGAGCCTCGGTGTACTTCTGCGCCTTCTTGCGCAGCTCGTCCTGCTTCACCTTGAGTTCGAGGTGCTCCGCCTCCCTCCGCATGGTGCACCGCGCCTCCTCACGCGCCCAACGCGCACCGGTGCGACTCTGATGGTCCCGCGCCCGGCCCTGCCTCGCCCTCGCGGCCGGACACGCGTCGCGGGCAGAGCTTTGCCACCTGCTTCCCTGCCGCGGTGCACCGGGACAGCGCAAGGGCAGACGCGGTGTGCGCGCCCGCCAACTCCACACCTGGCAAGCTGCCAGGCGACCGATCCCGTTCCCCGACCGCCCGCACCTCGGGAAGCGGCGCCGGCCTCGCAACACACGGCAGTGTGCGCGCAGCGTCGTGCACGCGCGGACGGGGAGGCGCGCAGACGGAGGCGCCCGTGAGGCGTCCGCGGGCGCGGCGCGTGTGCACAGCGGCAGCTCGACGCCGGTTCGCGCGGCGCGCCCCAGAGGTGGTGTGCGCAGGCCAAGGCGAGGTTCCGACTGCGACGGTTCCGCCCGCGACCTCGGAAGCACGTCGAGCGTGGCCTGCGTGCGCTGCAGGCGCGGCTGCGCGGGCCGAAGGGCGCGCGCGGCGCCGCGTCGCGTCCGTCGCGCCGCGTGCTGACCGAGCTACTGTCATGCGCCACATCAGTGCAATCAACAGCGCCCCGTCGACTGCCCGGGCGCTGCTGGGAGGCCGGGCGCCCGGGGCGAGGTACTACCGCGATCGGACTTCCTGTCGGCGACGTTACTAGATAGAGACAGAGGCGCTTCCGGCCGTCCAAGAGCCTGGCAGGCTGCAGACAGACCTACCTCCAGCCGCCCGCGCTCCTGTCGCCTGAGGGCGCACAGCGACTCGCCCTGCAGGATGGGCACCGAGCGCTATGAGATGGTGCGCTCGGCCCCCGCAATGGGTGATGCGCGCGGCGGCGGGCCGGTGCCCGGGCGAGCTAGACCGGCCGCGCGCACCGACACGCACGCTCCTCCTTACGCGGCTCCTTTCTCGCAGATGAAGGAGATCGGATCGGGGAATTTCGGCATGACGCGGCTCGCGAAGGACAAGGTCACGGGCGAGCTCGTGGCGATCAAGCTCATAGAGAGGGGCGAGAAGGTGGGAATACCGCCCGAAACATACCATCCGTCGGGTCCGAGCGGACATCGGCGGTGTTCTGAATTCGTGCCGCGCGTCCCGCCTGCAGGTGGACAAAAACGTGGAGCGAGAGATCCTCAACCACCGCAACCTGCGGCACCCAAACATCGTCGGCTTCAAGGAGGTCGGTGCCGCCCACAACGCGGGCCTCCCCGCGTTTCCCGACTGCACATGCGACGCTCGAGGCACCCCCCGCGCGGCGCCGGCGCGCGCTCCCCCCGCCGGCCGCCCACCGCTGCCAAAGCCCACCCCCTGGCTGCAGGTCTACCTCACGCCCACGCACCTTGCCATCGTCATGGAGTACGCCGCGGGAGGCGAGCTCTTCGATCGTATTGCGAAGGCGGGCCGGTTCAGCGAGGAGGAGGCGCGCTACTTTTTCCAGCAGCTCGCGAATGGTGTCGCGTACTGCCACAAGTCGGGCGTGTGCCACCGGTGAGCGCCCCCCGTGGGTTCCGCGCCGCGCATTGCATGAGCGCGCGTGCTGCCGTCGCGCCGGCCCGCGGGCCCCCGCAATGGCCGCGCAGCAGGGCCCGCCCAGCGCAGCTCAGCGACCTGCTGCACTCCTTCAGATCCGGCCGCGCGTGCGTCGCGCCACGAGGTCCGCGCGCCCCCCCGCGCCCGGTCCAGGGCGTTCCGTTGCCTCCGCGGGCCCACTCGCCGCCGGGCGCCCCCGTCCGTGGCTGCAGGGACCTCAAGCTGGAGAACACTCTGCTCGACGGCTCGCCGCGGCCCAAGGTCAAGATCTGCGACTTCGGGTGCGTCGCGACCCAACCTCGGCCGCACGTCACGAACGCGCCTGATTCGCGGGACCGCGCGTCCGGCGCCGCCGCGTTCGCGGGCGGGAGTTGACCCCCGGGCGTTCCGCGCGCCGCCGCTCCGCAGGTACTCCAAGTCCGCCCTGAACGACTCCGTGCCGAAGTCGACAGTCGGCACGCCGGCGTACATCGCCCCCGAGGTCCTCAAGAAGAACGCGTACAGGTGCGGCCCGCCCGCCCCCTTGCTGCCCGCCCCACCACCGTCGCGCCCCGGCCCGCCGCCCGACACCGCCCCGGCACCGCGCGCCCCCGCAGCGGCGAGACGGCGGACGTGTGGTCGATGGGCGTCACGCTGTACGTGATGCTGGTGGGCGCGTACCCGTTCGAGGACCCGTCTGACCCGCGCAACTTCCGCAAGACGATCCAGAAGATCATGACGGTGAGCTACTCGTGGCCGTCGTACGCGAGCGTCACGCCGGAGTGCAAGGACCTGATCAAGCGGATCTTCGTCGCGGACCCCACGAAGCGCATCACCATGGACGGCATCCTGGACCACCCCTGGTTCCAGAAGGACATCGAGCTGGCGATGAACCCCGCGCCGAGCAACAGCAAGGAGACCAAGATGGGCTGGTTCAAGAAGCTCACCAACAAGGGCAAGGCCGCGGAGGAGGGCGCGCCGGAGAACCTGCAGACGCCGGACGACATCATCAAGATCGTGGGCATGGCGCAGTCCGTGGGCGGCGCGCCGAAGAAGGGGGGCAAGGAGCTGGACGACGTCGACCTCATGTCGACCGACATCTGATCGCGCCCGTGGAGCTGCGGCGCGTGGGCGCGTGGGATGACGAGACGCTGGCGCCTGGGGACGGGGCGCGCGCGGAGCAAGGGCTGGGCCATGTGACGATGTGAGCTACACTGGCGATCGATGGGGAGGTGGAGGTGCCGTGGTGGCGCAGTGCGCGCCCACAACCGCTTGTGACACGTTTCGTCACGTTTTGTACATCCTGCGCGGGTGCACCAGCGTAGGATGTCTGTTCTTCTTCTGTGTAGACACCAGTCAGAGTGGACCGCTCCCAACGTGGCGCCTTGCTCGTCCGCAGCTCCCGTCCCGGACGCAGGCGCGCCCGCGAGCAGACGCCTTGCTCCGCAAGTGCAGTGCTGTGCAGCCCACGGACCGTCGGGACGCACGCGCTTGCCGGACAACATCACGTTACAGCACGTGCACTGTGTTGAGCGGGGGGCTCACGCTCCGCCCCGCCTTGCGCCAGGGCGGCGCAAGCAAAACAAATTCTGGCAGAGACAAGAATCAGACGGTCGCTACGTCAGGGCGCTGCGACGGGCCCTGATGTGGCGCAGCGGCCTCGCAGCGGCCTCGCAGCGGCCTCCTACCGCGCCTCGAGCGCCGGCGACACCGCGCTGTCGTACCGCGACAACCGCCCCGAGGACGTCTTGCTTCGGGCGCTGCCGATGGGCGAGAGCTGTATCTTGACCTTGTGCGGCGCCTTCCCCCGCAGGATGCTCGACAAGTACCCCCCGAGGCGCGCCGGGTGCATCCCCGGCAAGCACCCCGCCCTGCCCACCTGCCGCGAGCGCGCCCCCACGCGGCCGGGCCCTGCCGCGTCCAGCCCCGTGGGCGAGTTCGAGCCCCCGGAACTATCTCGCTGCGACCCCTCCGCCTTCTGCGTCGGCGCCAGGTCCTCGACGCTGCGGCCGGACGCGCCGGGCGCGATGGACGCCGGCGTGATGTCCACCACCGCCCGCGGCACCGAGGCGACGCGCAGCGGCGTGAGGACGTCCGGCCGGCGGTCCTTGGTCCCCAGGTGCGGCCAGACGCGCCGCGCAATGCGGTACCGCGCCCACGCGGTGGCGGCCACGACGCCCGTGGCAGTTCCCAGCCGCTCCTTCGAGCCCGGGGAGCTTCCCAGCAGCGCGAGGAGCGCCACGCCGATCGCCGTCGCAACGAGCGCGAACCCTGCGGGCATGGCGGGGGCGGGATCCTTCGAGGGCGCCGCGGGGGGGGGCTCAGAGCGCGCATCGTGTCGCAGGCGGCCCGCCACCACGTGTCGGTCCCGGGGGCGCCGGGGCGGGCGTCTGGCGCGCGGCAGGCACCGCCGGCGCACGCAAACGGATCTGAGGATTGTGTTTCGGGCGGGGTTCGGCGGTGCTGGCGGGTCGCGGGCGGGCCGGCGATGGGTGGGAGCCTAGTAGGTTTCAGAGCGCGCGGGGGCAGCCGGGGCGGGTGTCGCACCCGCCAGGGCCGCGAGGGACCAGGCCGCCGACGAGGCAAGCGAGGTCGCGACGTGGAGCGGGCTGCGCGGCGCCGCGGACCACTCCCGGGCGGCGCCCGTGATGCGGCGGACGTGCGGTGTCCACGCGACCCCCGCGCTCGACAGGTCGGCAACGTCCGCGAACGCCAGGTCGCGGACGTCCTTGTAGCCCGCGGAGTCCAGCAGCCGGCAGTACTGCACCAGGCCCTCGCGGTACAGGAAGCGGCACGCCGGTGTAACTGGGAGCCCGCGCAGGGCCAGAGGGATGCGGTCGAACGCGGCCATGGCCGCCACGCACAGTACCTGCGGCGTCGGCGACAGGAGCCAGGCAGGTGAGTGCGCGTGCAGGAGCCGCGCCTCCATGAGCCCGCGCGTGCTCGGCGCAAGCCGACACGTTCCGTCTTGGGGGTCAAATCGAAGCGGACAGGGCTCCGGTGGCGGCAAAATCGCCTCGGGAACGCCCGAGGGTGTGGTTGGGCACGAGGACTCACCGCACACGCACAAACCCTCCAAGCATACGACGTCGCCTGCTGCCTGAGCCGTGGCACTCCGTCGTGGGTCACGAAGTCGTGCGCTCGCGTCAGCAGGCCGCGCTCGAGCGCGGTCAGCTTCTCGTAGTCCCTCTCCCACGTCATTCTCGCCTTTCCGAGGGTTTGGAGCCGGAGCGGGCCGGCGGGATCACCGCCAGGCCGGCCTCCTAGTCCGCCTGCTCCTCCGCGCTCTGGCCCCTGTGGCGCGGTGACGTTGTTGCCGACGGCCACGGGTACGACATGCGGTTGTTGTCGCGGCGCGCGCTGCCCCGCCAGCTGAGGACCGCTGGTCCAGCGCTGGTGACCATGGTCCGACCAAGCTGACACATGGTGACGTCGACGGTGCTCAGGGCCGCGCGCGACCCCGCAGGCTTTTCGCGCCGACCGGCGCGGCGGCGCACAGCACGCACTCGCAAGCTACGTGGGCCGCGCACGTCACGGCACGGTTGTCTGTGCTCGGAGCCCGCACCACCATGTTTGCGCTACTCGCGACGGTCGCGCTGCTCGCGCTCGCTTCGGGGCCTTGTTCCGCTACTCGGGACGCGGGAGGCCCGGAACCAGGGGCGAGGAGGCGGCTCTTGCAGGTGAGAGCTTCGTGGCCCGTGATTCCCGCAGCATCTTCTTGGAAGCGGCCACAGATCTTGAACGCGCCGCGATCGTGTGCAGGAGACGATCAGCGTCGCTTCGCGAACGTTCCAGCTCTGTGGGACTGATGCGGAAGGTTCGCGGTGCGACGAGGGAGCTGTCTGCGTCCTCGTGCCGCTGGGAGACCTTCCTCGCGGCGAGATCTCGGGCGCTGTGCCGCCAGATCGCCAGGCCGGCGTCTGTTCGCAGCCCCCAAAAGGAATGGGCGAGCTGATTCCAGCCACGGCGCGCACGGCAGAGGCCGAAGAGCGAGACAAAGGCCAGCCACAAGACCGCCGGGAGGTACCGGCGCCGCACGCGTTTTTCCCCCTCTCTCGAGGTGAGCGAACGCCGAGAAATATTTCTCGTGGACAGTTTGTCACGCTTCTCGCCTCGTCCTGACACCAGGCGGGCGCTGACCTCGTTACCATCGTACAGGGGCGATGGAATCGTGGCCGGTGCCCGTATGGGACGTCGTAGGTTCGGGCAGCGACTTTGCTCCCGACCCCGTGTTCGGCACGGTGCTCCACTGCCACGGCCCGGGAGGCCCCGCGACGCCCACCGAGCTCTCCATCGACGGGCTGGACATTGCCCCGACGGGCAGCTTCACAGCGTCGTTCTGGTTCCGCGCGAACGCCAGCGAGCTCGTCGGCGAGCGAGGCTTCAGCTACTTCCAGTACATGCTCAGCGCGAGCGGCGACGACGCGCCCGCCCTCCGCCCGTTCCACCCCCGCAACCTCCACGTGTACCTCCCCGAGGACAAGTCGCTCGCGTTCGGACTCGTCCGCACGATCTACAAGGACGCGACCGACGAGTACACCGGTCCGTGGAGCGAGACCCTCATCGACAGCGACGGCCACTACGGCACCACCCGCGACCTGCTCGCGCCCGTCGCCACACCCCCGGCGGTGAACGTCACCGACGGGCTGTGGCACATGTACACGCTATCGACGCAGGTATGTGCGCCCGCCCTCGGCGAATCAGCCCTGTCGTTTGCACTACCTCACACGATCACTGTGAGCTCCTGAAGGGTGCCGAACTCCCCCCCTTTCGCTGCAGCCCGCTGGGAGCGCCGGGTACCGCGTGTACATCGACGGGGAGCTCGCGGGCGACATCAACCCGAGCCTGCAGTCGCTGGGCGTCCTCGCGCAGATCGACGGGGGGGACCCAGCGGGGCTGACGGGTCCGCTGACGCTGTGTGGGCGGTCCGACCGCGACCCGAACCGTCACTTTGACGGCTACCTCGCGCAGCTGGCGTTCTGGCGCGAAGCTCTCTCGCCGCTCGACGTCCAGGAGCTTTTCCGCCGGACGGCGGAGGCGGCCGCCAGCAAAGGCGTTGACTTCTTCCCAGCTCCAAAGGAACCCGCCGTCACGCCGAGCGCCGCGCCCAGCTCGGACGCCAGCCTGCCACCGGGGTGGTCGGGCCCGCAGGATGCTGCGCGCAGCGAAGACGCCGCGGCCCTGGGGCAGCCCTGCGAGAGGACGTTCCCCGACGATGAGCCCGGGTACTTCTCGCGCGGGACCTGTCCCGGGATGCTGGTCTGCGTGCCGATGCAGGTGAGCCGAACCAGGCCCGGGTGCTCGCGCGGCCCGCACCGATTCAGTTGACTTGATGACGAGGCAGCCTTGCTGTGCGGCGGCTCGCAGGGGCTCATGAGCAGCCGCGAGGGCCAGTGCCACGAAGCGCCGCACGGCGGCCTGCACGAGCCGGCCGCCTCCGCGAACGTCCCCGTCCCGCTCGCGTCGTTCCCCCTCGACGGGACGCTGCTCTCCTGGCCCTACGGCGCCTGGGCGGGCGAGCTGTACGGCGGCGCGACCTTCGCGGACGACGCGGTCTTCACCACGGCGCTGGAGTGCTCCGAGAACACGACGGACCTCGCGGCGATTCAGCGGCCGACTTCCTGGGGCCAGGAGGGGGAGCTTGCCGTGTCAGTGTGGTTCAAACCGGACCCTGCGCACGTCCCGCGGGTCAACGACACCTACCAGTATCTCCTCAGCGTGGGAAGGCCCGAACTGGGGGCGTCCTGGGGGCCCAACCAGCTGCACCTCTACCTCCCACGCCACGGTCATGCCGAGCACGGCGTGCTGCGCGCGATCTTCAAGGACGCCACGGGCACCGACGAAGGTCCTTCGTCAAGGACCTACGTCGATTCTGACGGCACCATCGGCAGCGACACGCCGCCGGTGCCCAAGACCAGCAGCCCAGATGCGTCGGTCGACAGCGACGGTCTGTGGCACCACGCGGTGCTTTCCACGCTGCCCGGGCGCGCGGACGGGTACAGTCTCTTCCTGGACGGCGTCCGCGTGGCCACGCTCGACAATTCGTCGACCCCGGACCGTGCGCAAGTCGACGGCGGCGCATCGTTCCAGCCCTCGGGACCCATCGTCCTGTGCACGCGGAGCGACGGGCTCCCCACGCGGCACTACACGGGGCGTCTGTCCTCGCTCGACCTCTTCAACGCCGCGCTCGGCGAGGAGCAGGTCCGTGCGCTCCATGAGTCAGTTTCGTCCAAGTTCCCGACGCTGGTGGCAGCGCGCAGGTCGGCGGCGGACGGCGCGAGCGTGGCCTCGCGCGTCGACGACGAGACGCCCGAGCAGGCCCAGGACGGTCTTGAGCCGCACGACTCCGGTCAGACCGGAAAGGGGGGGGGTATTGGATGGGGGGCAGTCGTAGGCATCGTGTTGGTGTCTCTCATCGGGACCTGCGTGGCCTCGGGGTTGGTCATCGTTGCGTGCCGGGCGTACAGCGCACGGCAGGCCCGGAACGACCGGAGGCTGCCGACCTCCGGTGCGCACCGCAGCGCTGTCGACTTCTACGACGCAGACCACGCGGCCGCGGCGGGGGCGTCCGCGGGGGTGCGCGCGGGGGGCGACAAGCCAGACGAGCCCGGCGTATCTCGGGGGCACCCTCGCGGCGGGACACCGGAGGACGACGACGACACAGCAGACATCCAGAGGTAGGTTGTTGAACGACAGGCTCAGGGTTGACGTTTCACCTGCTCGTTGACGTGCGCCGAGGAGGGCCTTCCCAGGACTCACCACGAGGTTCTCGCATCGCTGCAGGGAGGATGAGCCCCGCCAGCCGCTCGCGCCTCTGTCGAGCAGCCAGGGGCGCGAGGTGCTGCCCACCGCACCGCCGCTGGAGGACGCCGACCTCACGCGGGACCACGTGCGCACGGACGCGCGGCGCTTTCGCGAGAGGCACCTCGCTGCAGCAGGCTCGGCGCAGGGCGCGCGCGACCCGCTGTCGGACTCGTCGGACGAGGAGGTGCCTCTCTGAGCATACGACGTGCGCGGGGGGGGCGGACTCGCGCGTCCTTGTGTGAGTCATGCGTGTCGCGGCCCTCGGGAGTCGCCCTGCGGCGTAACACGGCCACGTGCGCTGCAAGGCGGCGTCGTGAGGACAGCAGCGGAGGACAGAAACATCGCCTCAGTTGCGCAGCCGCGACCAATCGTGTCCCAGGTCCGTTGCCTCGCTCGCGAGCTGCTCGATCTCCTCCGCCTCGATGGGGCAACCCTGCGAGAGCACCTCCGGGGCCTCCCCTCCCCCGCGCACCAACACGTCATCCTCGATGCGGATCCCAGTGCCCCTGAACGCGCCGTAGCTGGGATCGTCCGGAATGTACAGCCCAGGCTCCACCGTCAGTATCACGCCGGGCTCCAGCGGCGCATGCGCAGACACCTGCAACGCATCGCGAACGCACCACAACTACGGATGTGAGGGCAGGCATCGCGACAGCTGCGCGTCGTCTGGCACACGAGCCGCACGGAAGGTCGCAGCACTGACTCACGTGGTCGCACTCGTGCACGTCGAGGCCCAGCAGGTGTCCGACGCCGTGGGGGTAGTAGTCGCGGAAGGCCTGCGAGTGCAGCAGCGACTCGGGGCTCGGCTTCCCGGGCACCACGCCCAGCTCGGACAGCCCGCGGCACAGCATCTCCTTCGACCGCTGCTCGATGTCCAGCCGCGTCACCCCTGCACAGCGGCGGGGCGAGCAACGGAATCGCATCAACGCGCGCTTGCTGGCGCGAGGGATGCTGCGGGCGGGCCAGGCGCAGGCGCAGGCACACGCCGCGCGATGCTGGTGCGCCGCCCGCAGGCGCCGGAAGGGCAGCGCGGTCATTCTCGGCGCGGCCACCACGCGCCTGGGATGCACATGTCCCTGCAGGACTTGTAGGTCTCCAGGACGACGTCGTACAGGTCCCGCTGCGCGGCGGAGAACCGTCCCGACGCCGGCCAGGTGCGGGACACGTCGCTGCAGTACCCGTGCAGCTCGCAGCCCGCGTCCATCAGCACCAGCTGCCCCCCCTGCACCCGCTTGTGGTTCTTGATGTAGTGGACGATTGTGCCGTCCACGCCCGCGCCCACCACGGGCGGAAACGACACGCGCTGCGCCCCGCGGAGCTTCGTGGCGTACTCGAACCGCGCGGCGAGGTGGGCCTCCGGGATGCCGGGGTGCGAGGCCTGGATGCACTCCCGGATCGCGGACGACGCGATCTGCGCGCTCTCGCGCATCAGGGCCTGCTCCGCGGGGCTCTTGCGCCACCGCACGCGGTGCGTGAGGCGCCGCAGGGACACGGGCCGGCGGCGGTGCTGGGTGCCCCGCTCGCTGAAGGCAGCCTCGAGCGTGCGCTGGACCGCGGCGCTGGCGAGGACGACGGAGGGCTCCCAGAAGAGCAGGGACGCGGAGGCGGCGGTCCTCGCGACGTGCGGGAGGCCCTGGGACATCGACATTGCCACGTCGGCGCCGAACAGGTCCTCGGCCACGTGCGCGGGCATCGTGGGGCCGTCCCAGGCCTCCTCGCTCGGGGAGTGGTCCGGCACGACCACGGTGAACCTGCACGTCGAGGGCGCTGGCGCGGAGCAGCGGTGAGTGGCCGCGGTGGGCCGCAGCGGGAGTCGGGGACGTCATTGCATCTGGGGCGCCTGACCTGTGCTCGGACTCGCCGCGGTCCGACATCGACTCGATCATCGCGAGGAAGCCCTTCTGGGAGATGCCTGCGATCATGCGCGCGGGAGCGACGCGGTGTGCGTCCGAGATTCCTACCTGCGGCGGTCAAGAAGGACAGCGTCGATCTCGCCTGGCGTCCGGGGAGCCCGGGCCGCACCTGTCGCGTAGAGCATGTCCGCATCCTGCCGGTAGTTGTAAGGTATGATGCCCGCCACGAACACCTCGGGCGCCGACGCCAGGAGCGCGACCTCCCCCTTGCCCATGAGTGCTGCCACCGACCGCCGCCGCTGCGAGTACTCCTCCAGGTGCACCCCGGGCGCTAGCTCGCCGGGCTGGAGCACGTCGGGTCGCAGGGCGTGCGTCGGCTGACCCACCACCCCGGCGCCCCACCTCCCGCCCAAGCCCCTCGCCATCCCCCCTGCCTCGCCCGCCTTACTCCGCGCGGGCGTCGATGACCCGCCGTTGCCCTCCGATTGTCTGGCCTCAGTCGACGCGGTGAGCCCGCGCACGGTGTTCCCGCACGCGGCGAGCACGCAGGCATCGCCCGAGCTGTGATGCACAGAGCACGACCGGCGCAGGCAGTCACCCAGCGCACGCCTCATCGCAGCGGTCCCTCAGGCGCAGAGCCGTAGCTCTAGTTTGTTCGCAGGGCGTCCCAGCCGACACGACAGGTCAGGATTGTCCGGAACGCGGCAGCTCCGTCCTGTCCTCTGCCCAGGGATTCCTGGTCCACAGCGCCGACGCGAACGGCCACGCGAGGAGGGGGAGGGTGATGACGACTCCCGCTACGTGCACGCGTGTGCCCCGGCGCGTCGTGAAGCTCCAGCCGAACGGATGGAAGCCCATCAACAGTGCACACGAACGCGACGGCTGGCGAGGGAGGCAACTCCGCAATGGCTATCGCGACGTCATACATACTGGGATCACTGATCGTCCGGTGCCGCAAGGACCCGGGTGGATGCGCCGGGACGGTCCCGCGGCCACTTGAGAGTCCTCTGCCACTTGACGTCACGTCGTGGCAGGTCGGGGGGCGCGCTCGAGAGAGTGGCAACGTCGGGAATGTGTGCAGACGGCCGTGGAATGCAGATATGAGCGTGGCGGCGTCCTCTGTGAGTCCCGCGCGCTGCAGCGCCCCTGTGACTGCCGGGCAGCGCAGGTTGGCTGGACCGGCGTCTCGGGGCGTCCGGCGAGCGGTTGTCGTCAGAGCGGACCCCCAGGATGGAGCGAGTGATCTCGATGCGAACCTACAAGCGGACCTAGAGCGCCTCAGGAAGGCTCAGGAAGCAAGCCGGCAGAGGTGATTTCCGCCCGTCCGCCAGGCACAGACGCCGCGCGCGCTCGGTGGCGTCGACGGCCCACACGCGCCAGAGCACCAGCTAGTCCTTCCGTGCCCGTCGAGCGTGCACGCTGCGTCCGCACGGGCCCTGGCACCGCATAGTTGGATGATTCGCCATCCGCGGCCTCCGCTCTCGATGTGCGCGATCAGTCACGCGTGCGCCCTACTCAACATCACGGAGTCGTCCTCGTGGCCGCATCCGTGGCGACGCGCGGCCCACGTCCGCGCCTGTTCCGTCCGCGCGCAGGTTCTCTGCGGGCGACGCGGCGGAGAAGAAGCCGGACCCGCCGAGCGGCCCCCTCGCGGGCTTCCAGGACATCATGGACAAGATCTTGATCGCGGACTTCTTCTTCATCATCGCCGCGCTGGTGTGGCTGGCCGCGGGCGTCGTGGCCAAGTCGGCGGGCAACGACGCCATCATTGACGCGTGGTTCCCGCTGTGGACGCCCGTGTTCCAGCCGGCGCTCGGGGCGCTCATGGCGGGCGCGCTGCTCAGCGGCGCCGTCGCGTGGGTGCGTGAAAAGCAGCAGGGCTCGCAGTCTCCGTAGGCCAGTGTAAGGAACGATGCGGATCACTCACACCGGCGCGTCACTCCGCGGACGCCGCCTGCGCGGGGTACTTGGCCGCGACGTCCTCCCACTGCACGGCGAGCGAGCACAGGTCGCCCAGGAGGCCCGGCACCTCGGCGACGGGCACGCGGATCTGCGCCATCGAGTCGCGCTCGCGCACCGTCACGGTGTCGTCCGTGAGCGTGCTGTGGTCGACCGTCACCGCGAACGGCACGCCGATCTCGTCCGTGCGCGAGTAGCGCTTGCCGATGGACGCGCCCGTGGTGTCGACGATGTTGCTGATCGCGGCCTTGCGGAGCGCCGCGGCGATCGCGGCGGCCTTCTCGTTGAACTGCGGCTTCTGCAGCAGCGGGAAGACCGTGGTCTTCACCGGCGCCACCAGCGGCGAGAAGCGGAACACCGTGCGCTGCTCGTTGCCGTCGCCCTCGCGCTTGTAGAACGCGTGCTCGAACAGCGCGTACAGGATGCGCCCGATGCCGAACGACGGCTCGATCACCGACGGCACGAACGTCCGCCCCGTCACCTTCTTCGTCGTACGCTCGATGGCCACCATCTCCGACGTGATGGTGAACGCGCCGCCCTCCGCCGCCAGCTCCGCCGCGCCCGCCGCCTCCAGCTTCGCCTTCATCGCCTCGGCCTGCTCCTCACTCAGCGCCTCCAGCGCCGCCTGCACCGCCTTCGCGTCCTTCTTGAACTCCTTGCCAAGCGCCTTCTTGTCCGGCTTCACCACCGTCACCTCCACCATCTTCGGCTTCTCAAACGCCTGCGAACGCACGCGACGGGCGCCCCCCCCCCGCGTCGGAACACGCGCAACCCCGCGCCGCACGTGGAAACAAGGCGTTGCGAGGCAATGGGTGCATGCGTGCTGTGAGCGCGAGGAGGAGGAGGTGCCGTGCGAGCGAGCCGCAGCCGCGCCGCCGCGCTGCGCGGGGGATGCGGGCGACGCACCACGTACGCAGTCAGGTCGGTCTTGCTCGCGGCGCCGTGCGCGCTCAGGTCGTACGCACTGCGGTCGGCGAGCCCCGCGCACTCCACCCAGCCGTACGAGGTCTCGATCTCGGCGTCCCAGCAGTCGCACGCGTAGTGCGCCATCTCGTGCGCGAGGTGCTGCCGGAACCGCACGCGCGCGGGGTCCGCGCCGGCGTTCAGGAGGAAGGTGTAGGTCCGCCCAATGAAGTACGCCAGGCTCTCGTTGGCGACGACGCCCTTCGCGACCGCGTCGCCGAGCCGCATCGGCTCGGCCTTCTTGGTCGCGCCCATCTGCAGCTCGCGCGAGTACAGCAGCGGCTCCACGTCCGCCACGCTCGCGAACTTGGGGTGCGACTTGTCCTCCGGGTCGCAAAAGTGCTCGATCTCCGCCTGCGGGAGCGACGGCGGCAGCGGTGCGCCGTCTGAAGGAGCCGCCCCGCGCAGCGGTGTCTCCGCCCCGCGCAGCGGTGTCTCCGCCCGAGCGCGTGGGTGTCGAAGAGGCAACAGACCCACGGGGGTGCATGGGGGCGTTGGGCCTGGCCCGTAGTCACGCGCGCTGAGAGCTCGAGCGGAGCGGGAACAGGGTGGGCGTGTGTCGCGCTTGCCTGCGTGAATTCGCGGACGCGCAGGAGCCCCGCCCTGGGGGAGATTTCGTTGCGGAAGGAGTTGCCGATCTGCGCGGCGGCGAAGGGCAGCTTGCCGCCGTTGTAGTACAGGAGGTCGCGGAAGTTGACGAAGATGCCCTGCGCGGTCTCCGGGCGCATGTACCCCGTGAGGTCGCCGCGCGGGCCGATCGAGGTCTTGAACATCAGGTTGAAGGTGTACGGGTCCGAGATGTCGTTGCCCGTGTCGGGCGCCTTCACGCCGTGCTCCTTCAGCGCCGCGCCGAGCTCCTCCTTGTCCATCCCTGCGAGCAGAGCCGCCGGGGCACGCCGCCGCGTGAGCGCACACATGCATTGCGCACCCAAGCGCCGCGCGTCGGGCCGGCCCGGGAAACGCGCGCGTCTGACGGACGCGGCGCCAACGCACGCAGTCAGCGCCCCCCCCCCCGCCCCCCCCGCCCGCGCACCTTCCACCTGCACGAGCTGGTCCTCGAGGCGGCGCTTGTCCTCCGGCGCCAGGCCCTTCTCCGCGATCTTGGCCTCGAGCGCCGCCTCGAGGAGGTGGTCCGCGCGGTAGCACTCCTTCGTCTGCACGTCCGACACCATGAAGTCGGTGAACCGCTCCACGTGCCCCGAGGTCTTGAGCACCACCTCGGGCGTCACCGACGGACACTCGACCTCGAGCATGTTCTCCTCGAGCACGAAGTGCTGCCGCCACGCCTGCGTCAGGTTCTGCTTGATCGCGCACCCCGGCGGGCCGTAGTCGAAGAACCCGCCCACCGCGCCGTAGATCTTGAACGACGGAATGTAAAACAACCGCCGCTCCAACACGTTGCAGATCTCCGCGCGCAACGCCTCCTTGTTGCCGCCCGCGGTCTTGCCCACCGCGGCCTCGAAGTCCTGCGCGCCGGCGGGGCGGGCGACGGGTGGGCGGCGCAGACGCAGGGCACGGGGGGACGCCCGTGCCACAGCGCACGCGGCGCGCGCTGGGAGGGGGGGAGTCGGACCTGGTTGGCCTTGTCCAACTCGAGCTTGAGCTCCTTCAGCTTCGCGATCGCAGCATCGACCTCGGCCTGCGGCGGGGTGTCGCGGGCGAGGTGCGGGCTGGAACCAGGACGCCGTTGCAGGCGGCAGCGGGGGAATGCGAGGCGCGTACACACCGCCACAGGAATCCCGACATGTACGGCAGGGCAAGGTAGATGAAGCGCGCCGCGCTAGCGCGGGACGGGGCGGCGCGCCGCAGCAGCCTGCCGGCTCTGGCCAGCGCCCCGTCGGTGCGTCGCAAAAGCCCGGACGCACAGAAACGATTGTCCACCCGTACCTTCTGGACATCGCCTGTCTTGAGCTGGGCCTTCAGCGTCCGGACAGTGTCACCCTGGGCCGTCACAGCCTCCTGCGCCTTGGCAATGGCAGCCTCGAGGGCCGCCGTGTCGCTCATCGTGGCCGCCTGCGATCCAGAATCGGCCTCCTGAGGTGCGAACGAAATGCAGCCGCGCGCCGCGGTGCGACGCACGTGGCCGCCGAAGACGCCGCCCGGCGCCACGTCCAGGAGTGCTCCGGGAGTACACCCAACGGGGGCGCGGGAACGTCCCGCGCAGCTGGGCGCACGCCGGTTTGCGCACGCGGCACTCCTGGGCGCAGCCATCCGTCCGAAGCACGTGCGTCGCCCCTGCACAGCGGCAGCCTCGCGGGACTTGGAAGCTTGTTGTCCATTTGCTCTGGACCCAGCGGAGGGGGGACGTAGGCCGAAGAAGCGCGACGCCGCGGGGGACGTCATGTTCGGGAGGGCGGCACGCCGTGCCTCTGGCATGATGGCCAGGGCGTGGGAGTCCGCGGGGAGCGGTTGCGGGACTGGCGGCGGGGGCAGGGGTTTCGGGCGATCGCGCGGCTTCAGGTGATGATTCCATCGATTGCCGCCGCCAACACGGTTGAATCGTGCTGCGAGGTCGCGCTGGTCGGCCTCGTCGGGCGAGAGTCTGCGCGCCCTGCACGGAGACGGCAGTGAGAACTCGTGGCATCTTTTGGCGCGCGAGACCATGAGCTTGCGGCGCTTTCGAGGTTGCTTCGTCGCGACGATACAGTGCACAGAATGCGCGTCTCTGCCGCCACGGAGGGCGCGCAGACCGCCCTGGATGCCCGACGATCGCCCATCGCCTGCCTCATGGTTGCCGGCCAGCCTCGCGCCGAGCACAGGGCTCGCTGGCGCTCACACCATCCCAGCCCCTCGCCGCCCTCGTGTACGCTACATCACCATCGCGGGCAGCCGTTCCCGGCATCCGACGGCGCCGCGACCAGCGCAGCACGCACCCTCGCCCGCTGCGCCCACCCAGGTCTCCGGGCACGCGCCCTCCCGTCCCCACCGAGCCCACGCTCACGCCGCGACCCCCCGCCGCTTCACGCACGCAGCGCGCCCAGCGGACCGGACTCCCCGGCCACGGGCAAGTCCCAGCGCGGCATTTTGGAGCAGGCCATGACCACCGAGGAGCGCGACGCGGCGCTGCGGATCGCCAAGGAGTCCGCGGAGGCCTCCGCGGGCGCGGCGGGGCTCGGCGAGGCGGCGCCCGCCGCGGAGGGCGGCCCGGGCTCGAAGTTCTTCGCCACGCTCGGGTACGCCATGCTGGCGCTGGGGGCGGGCGCGACGTACGCCGGGCTGGCGTACGACCGCAAGGAGGTGGAGGACGCGGCGCAGCGCCTCCGGGACGAGGGCTCGCCGCTCGCGCCGGCCGCGGCGCTGTACGCCGAGCAGCGCGCGCGCGTCGAGAAGACCCTGGAGGACTTCTCCAACCCCCCCTCGGACCGCCTGCTCCCGGACCTGGAGCTGGACTTCGGCCCGCACGCGCCGCACGTCCGCACGCTCGTCCTGGACCTCGACCACGTCCTCGTGCACAGCTCCTGGACCCGCGGCACCGGGTGGCGCACCTTCAAGCGCCCGGGCGCCGAGGAGCTCCTGCGCGGCGCGTGGCGCCTCGGCTACGAGGTCGTGCTGTACACCGACCAGAGCAACGTGTACGCCGACCCCATCATGGACCGCCTCGACCCCAACCGCGAGATCGTGCGCTACCGCCTGTACCGCGAGTCCACGCTGTACACGGGGGGGCTCCTGCGCAGCGGGAACTACGTGCGGGACCTCTCGAAGCTCAACCGGGACCCGCGGCGCGTGATGTACGTCACCGCCACGCCGGAGTCGATCCTGCAGAAGGACTCGTCGCTGCTGGTGTCCAAGTGGGAGGGCGAGGCGGGCGACACCGCGCTGCTCGACTTCCTGCCCTTCCTCGAGATGCTCGCGCAGGTGCGTGCGTGCCGCCGTCGCTGCTGGGGACGGCGGGGGCCGGTTGCGTGGGGTGGTGGGGGCCCAGACTGACGTTCGTGGTGTTGATTCCTCTCTCCGTGTGCAGGCGCAGCCGGCGGACCTGCGGGACGTGGTGCGGAGCTACGAGGGGAAGGACGTGGTGGCGACGTTCAAGGAGCGGATGAAGAAGCTCAAGGAGCAGCGCGGGGGGGGCTCCGGCGGGGGTGCGTCGGCAGGCGCCGGGCGGCGACGTGGGTTCGGAGGGTTCATGTGAGCGCGGACCGGTCGCCGGGCGACGCCCTGGGCTGCGGACCGGGCCGCCGTCGCGCGCGACGAGCTGGCCGTCGAGCGCGGGTCTGCGGCCCTCGTGCGGGCCGAGGCAGAGAGCAGGGGTCGGGTGGCCAGGGCGGTCGGGCACCCCTCCGCCTGAGGCCGCGGTCAATCGTCGCCCTCCCGTGTTCGCATTGAACAGCACGATAGACGCGACATTCGCGGTGCGTCGTGCCTTTTACAGTCCCGCAACGGCGCAGTCGGTCGGAAGAGAGCCCGACTAGGTCGGGTTCCGACCCGCGCGCGCCGGCGTTGCGACGGCGACGGCCGGCGCCCCGTCAGTTCGAAATCGCTCCGAGACGATGCACCGGGCGCTGGTCCAGCCTTGGTCGACGTAAGGGCCCGCGAGGATCCTCATGCCTGGCAAGAACGTCTCGCCTTGGTTGCAAGAGCCGCCGAAGAGGGAGCGCAAGGCGAGGTTCGCCGAGGACCCGCCTGCGGACGCGCCTGAGCTATACCCGCCGCGCCAGGCGACCCCCCCGCCCGCCCCTAGGTTTGGCCTGGCCGGGGTCCAGCACAGGACTCGCCAGCTACAGTACCAAGGAACGCTCCGCGCGCGCACGCCGCCTGGCGCATCCACCGTTCTCGCCGCCATGGCAGCGGTGGACCCTGACGCCCCGCCGCCGGAGGAGAACGCGAGCCCGTACAACCTCGGCAGGACGCCGCCCCGAGGTGCGCACCTGCCACGCGGCCCTTGACCGCGCCCCTGCGGCCCAGCGGGGAGACAGCGCGGCGCGCGAGCTCCCTGCGCCAGGGTAGCTGCATAAGTCTGTGCGAGCGGCCCTCGGACGGCCTATTCGGCCAGGGGCGCCACCGTGGGTCGCTCACAGGAGGCTCGCGGGGGGAGAAGACGCGTTGCTGCGGTGATGCGTGCGCGGTTCGGTCGTTTGCGCACGCGTACCGCTGCCCGTGCTCACGTGTGCGAATGAAGAGAGCAGCCTGCGGCGGTGCAACGAGGCCAACCGCTCTTCTCCGATTGCTGGTGGTTGGCTTCAGAGTGCGGGCCAGCGTTCCGTCCGCGCCGCTGCGTGGCGCCTCTCACCGCGCGCACACCGTTCTCCAGCTATGAGCAGCCGTCACACGGCGCGACAGCGTCACCCAGGCCCGAGCATGGCTTCGCGCGGCCTCCGTGCTCTCACACACCAGACGCACCGCGGCCTCGTTCGCAGGCGCATCTCCCGCGCAGGACAGCGGAGGATCGAGCAGCGGTCCCGATGGCAGGCACGCCAGCCAGGCTTACACGGAAGAGGTCGCGCAGGCCCCGCGCACGCCGCCCTCCGACGGCCATGACGTGCCGCTGCTGAACGAGGACCGCACGCGCATCGCGCCCGCCGAGATGGACAACATGCCGCAGGTCCGCCGCGCGCCCACGCTCCGCGCCCCCCGCGCACCGCGCCAGACCCGCCCCCGTCGACGCCGCGCTGCAACAGTTCTTTGTGTGTGGTGTGGGTCGCGCAGTACGAAGTGCTGGTCAAGGAGGGCGCGCAGCTCCCCGAGGTGGTGGAGCAGGAGCTCGCGGAGCTGGCGAACGCGCCGCTGCCCCGGCACGGCACGATCCGGTTCGCCGCTGGCGACCTGGCCGGCACGGACGACGAGGACGAGGAGGCCCCGCGCGCGCTGAGCCGCGGGCGGACGTCGCGGAAGTCGGCGAAGCGCGTGACGATGACGGAGGACGGCTCGCGGCACGGCGACCTCGAGGGCCAGCAGACGGCGACCCCGTCCGGCGCGCTGGGCGTGGTGAAGAAGATCCAGACGCAGCGGCAGCTGGCGGTGGCGGGGCTGAACAAGCAGAGCACGCTCAGCCGGCGGTACGACCGGCAGGAGTTCGTGCAGCCGGACCTCGCGGCGGCGGAGGAGTTCCGCAACACGCGGCACCCGCGGTGGGTCAAGATGGACGGGACCGACGAGGAGCTGCCCTTCAACCTGAACAAGCTGCAGCTGGTGTCCGTGTTCGGGCTCGGCGTGCTCTCGTGGTTCACCATCCTGAAGCGCATCGGCCGCGTCTTCGTCGTCATGCTGCTGCTCTCGCTCCCCTGGGTGATCTTCGCCAACATCGCCGAGTACACCGACGAAGGGTCCGGGCGCCGCGTCCGGTTCTCCAAGACCGCGGTGCGTGCCCACGATGCGCGTCGCCCGGCTGCTCGGCCGCGTGGCGCTCGTTTCCGTGTCTGACCGCTGACAAGCGCGTGTGCGTCTGTGTGTGTGCCGCGCAGACCTACACCATGTCCAGGGCCGTGCAAGCGATGTCGTTCGGGACGTTCGGGCAGATCTTCGGCGAGACGCCGCGGTTCAACTTCGAGCTCAAGATGAAGGCCAACCCCGGCGGGCTGGAGATGCGGCGCGAGTGGTTTTTGGTGCTGGTCATGATCATCGACCTGGCGCTGTGCGTGATCATCTGGGTCACGGCCATGGCGTACCGGAACTGGCTCGCGGTCTCCGGCAGCAAATACGAGGACGTCTGTGCGTTCCCACCCACCCTACACCTCAACTTACGCTTCCACATTTGCGAGGGAGTTTGAGGGTTGGAGCGCGCTGACGTTGCCCCTGTTTGTGTCCCCGCCTCCCGCAGCGACGATCAACATGAGCGACTACGCCATCATGGTCCGCGGCCTGCCCCCGATGGTGACCACCGAGGAGCTGAAGGACTTTTTCGAAAAGCTGTACGGGCGGGTGGTTGAGGTGTCGCTGGCGGCGAACGACACGTGGATGCTCGGGCTGTACAAGAATTGGTCGAACATCGTCCTGTCGCTGAAGAGCGAGGTCGCACGGTGGTGCTGGAAGGGCACCGAGAACCCCAACATCCAGAAGGTGAAGCACTTGGAAATGAAGGCCTACCGAATCAGCGACAAGATCGAACGCATCAGGTCCGCGGCGCCCCCCGCAGCACCCGCTCGCTCTCAGCTGCCCCCACAGCTGCGGTCGCCGCCAGGCCGCCGGCCGCGCCACACATGCCCCGCGTGTCTGCCGCTGCAGGGAGACGCGGAACTTCACGACGGTCGCGGCGTACGTGGTCTTCGACCGCTCGGAGTCGATGTCGCGCTGCGTCAACGAGCTCGGCAAGCTCGGCTTCTGGGAATGGGTGTACCGTACCACGATCATGCCGCGGCACAAGCGGCTGCGCGGGCGGCACGTCCTGCGCGTCAAGCGCGCCCCGAGCCCAGACGACATCATCTTCGAGAACCTCAAGTACAACCGCCGGGAGCGCATTGTCCGGCAGCTCCTCGTGGGCCTCCTCGTCCTGGCCCTCATCGTGGGCAACCTGCTGGTGGTCACGGCGCTGCGCTCCGAGTCCAAGCAGTACGCCAAGGACCAGGCGTCGCCGGAGAACTTCATGTACGACGCCGTGGGCTTCAGCCCGCCGCCGGGCGTCAGCCCCTTCCAGGCGATGCGCGAGCACTGCCAGCCCAAGCTGGACCTGTGCACGGCCGACATCGCGGCGGACAAGTTCTCCATCAACTACAGCAACCTCATGAACGACAACCCGAACCTCGGCGTGTCCGCGGTCGAGATCGCGGAGGAGTTCCGCGAGTGCTACCGGGGCGAGGAGTTCGGCGGCGACTGCATCCAGCGGGCGCAGTGCTACACGTGCTACTGCGAGGGCCTCCTGCGGAAGATGCGCGAGAGCAGCGTGGGGCTCAACTTCATCCTGAACGTGTACGAGCAGTGCCCGGACTTCACGCGGAACCGCCCCGTGATCACGCTGGTCAACCTGGCGGCCACGGCCTTCATCGTGTCGATCAACTGGCTCATCCGGTGGGTCCTGCAGCGCGTGGTGCACTTCGAGAAGCACGCGAGCATCTCCGAGTTCGAGGCCGCGATCTGCTGGAAGGTGGCCATCGCGCAGTTCCTCAACTCGGGCCTCATGGAGCTGGTCATCTCGGGGCGCATCGCCTTCATCGAGCGCAAGGCGCGCGACACCTTCTTCGAGGACCGCTTCCTCGCGGGGGACTACCTCGACCTCGACAGCGAGTGGTACGCGCAGATCGGCTCCCAGCTGCACCTCACCGTCGTCCTCCTCATCGCCGCCACCGTCAACATCAAGCTCGTGCACTACTTCATCCACCACTGGCGAAAGAAGAGCGCCGTCAAGAAGGCCACCGCGGACCCGCCGACCATCATCCAGGAGCGCCTCAACGAGGCCTACGTCGGGCCGGACTTCCGCCTCGCCGCGCGCGTGGCCGAGACCACCGTCGTGATCATGATCATCGTCGTCTACGGGCCCATGATGCCCATGCTCTACGCGTTCGGCGCAATCTACTGCTACATCACGCGCAAGCTCGACCGCCACCAGCTGCTCCGGCTCTGTCGGCAGCCCGCGCGGTACGGCGCCAGGGTCGCGGAGATCTCCATGCGCCTCATCTCCTACACCGTCCTGGTGCACCTGGCGCTCGCGTCGTGGGCGCACTCGTACTGGTTCGCGCCCTACATGCAGGACCGCACCGCGATCCGCCTGTTCCGCGACGAGAACAAGCCGGACCCCGACGAGGTGGTGACGCCCTCGGACTGGGCCGAGTACTACAAGCGGCTCACGCAGATCAACGCGTTCCCGCTGCTGGCGTGCTTCGTGGCCTTCGTGGCCGGCGCGACGGTGCTGAACCCGCTCGTGCGGATCGTGAAGAACGTCGTGTTCAAGTGGACCTGCGGGGAGCTGCTGGGGCTGCGCAAGCTGTGCTGCTGCTGCTGCGAGGAGGTGGAGGAGGAGCAGCAGATCCCGCCGTTCACCAAGGTCGTGGGGACGAACAAGTTCTCCGGGCCCTTCACGTTCGCCGTCGTCAAGCAGGAGCGGTATTTCAAGACGTTCGTTGCTGCGGGGATCACGGCGGAGCAAGTGGGGCTCGGGGGACAGGCGCTGGCGCTCGGCACGTCCGGGCTGTCGCCGGCGTCGCGCACGTGGTACGACCACGAGCTGCACAGGCACCACAAGGCGCAGCTGATCCGCCAGGGGCGCGCGATAGCCACGCGCGCGCAGCTGCTCAAGGTGCCCAAGCCGCAGGAGATGGACCCGGCGTTCAAGAACGCGAACAAGAACGTGGCCAAGGTCGTGCCGTCACCGCGATGACGGCAGCACGCGAAGCAACCAGAACACTGTCGTTGAACCTGCATGTACGTGTCTGTATGCATGTCGCACTCTCTTCGCACCGCACGAGCGGCAAGCTGTGACCGATCGCCGCCGCTTCGACACAGGCGCCCTCCGGCTCACATCTCAGTGCTTGAAGTGGCGGTTCCCCGTCACCACGAGCGCCACGCCGTACTTGTTGCAGCAGTCGACGGCATCCTGGTCCCGGATCGACCCGCCTGGGTGCGCGATCGCCTTGACCCCCGCCTGGCACGCCATCTCAACCGTGTCCCCCCATGAGAAGGGGAAGAACGCGTCCGACGCCATCGCGCTCCCCTCCACCTCGTCGCCCGCCTTCTCCATTGCAATCTGTGCACTCTTCACGCGGTTCGGCTGCCCCGAGCCCATTCCCAGCAGCCGCCCGCCGCGCGCCACCGTGATCGCGTTGCTCTTCACGTGCTTCACGCACCGCCACGCGAACTTCAGGTCCTCCAGCTGCTCGGGCGTGGGCTTCACCTCGCTCACGCACTCAAACTCAATGTCCTCCGGCACGAGCGTGTCCGCGCCCTGCAGCAGCCAGCCGGCGCCGACCTGCCGCAGCGAGCGGCCCTCGGGCGCGCGCGGCTTGGCCTCGAGGATGCGCAGGTTCTTGCTCTTGCCCTTGATGACCTCGAGGCCCTCGGGGGTGTACCCGGGCGCGATGACGATCTCGTAGAACATCCGCGTCTCGCCGTCCGTCGGGGAGCGGAACTCGCGGATCTCCCGCGCGAGGTCCGCGTCCACGGGGCGGTTGAAGGCCACGATGCCGCCGAAGGCCGACACGGGGTCGGCGCGGACGGCCGCGCGGTACGACTCGAGGAGGTCCGGGAGCGAGGCGACGCCGCACGGGTTGGTGTGCTTCACGATGACGCACGTGGGCTCCGTGAAGTCGCACACGCACTGGTACGCCGCGTCGGCGTCGAGGTAGTTGTTGTACGACATCTCCTTGCCGTGGTGCTGCACCGCGGCGCCGATGCCGCCGAGGTCGGCCTCGCACAGCGACAGATCGCGGTAGAACGCGGCCGTCTGGTGCGGGTTCTCGCCGTACCGCAGCGTCTGCGCCAGCTCCATGGGCACGGTGATGCCCGGCGGGGGGGCGTCGCCGCCCACCTCCGACCACATCCACTCCGAAACCTGCGCGTCGTACGCCGCCGTGTGCTGGAACGCCTTCCACGCCATCTTCTTCCGCAGCTCTGCCCCCGCCGCCGCGTCCGCGCCCCCCAGGCTCTCCAGCAGCGCCCCGTAGTCCGCTGGGTCCACGCACACCGACACGTGCGCGTGGTTCTTCGCCGCCGCGCGCAGCATCGCGGGCCCGCCGATGTCGATGTTCTCCACCGCCACGTCGTACGCCGGCTTCCCGCCCGCGGCCGTCACCGTCGCGCGGAACGGATACAAGTTGACCACCACCACGTCGATCGCCCCGATGCCGTGCTCCGCCAGCGCCGACATGTGCGCCTCGTCGTCGCGCTTCGCCAGGATGCCGCCGTGAACGCCCGGGTGGAGCGTCTTCACGCGCCCGTCCAGCATCTCCGGGAAGCCCGTCACCTGGTCCACCTGCACAGAGATGCGGGGCCGCGGAGCAGGTCGGAGATGGACGCGGGCGCCGACGCGTGCGGGCGGGGCGGCGCGGGCCGTGGCGGGCCGGGGCGCGGCGGGCGCGCGCGGCGTGTCGATGGAGCGTCGGGGGGGCACCTGGGTCACGGCAACGCCCGCGTCCGCGATGGCCTTCGCGGAGCCGCCCGTGGACACCAGCTCATACCCGAGCGCGACCAGGCCCTTGGCGAGGTCCGCGAGGCCCGACTTGTCCGACACGGAGATGAGGGCCTGCACGGTGATGCAGGGGGGGCGCTGCGGCCGTGAGGCGAGGCCGCGCACAGGACGCTCGCGCGCCGCCGCAGTTGATGCGATGCGGGGCAGGGATCGGTTCATCGAGGACATGCCGAATTCGGGGCGCGAAACGCACGGAAAGCGCGCCGCGCCCTCGAGTGGTGCGGGCGGGGCGCGGCGGCTGCACAGGGGGCCGGCCCCCAAGCGGCGACGTCTCCGAACGATTCGAGGAATTCCTTGCTCGCGGGGCAAGGGCGGCCGAATCGCTCGCGGGTCGCGGCGCGGGGAGCATCGGAACCCGCGATGGAGTCGAGAGCGCGGCGTGGGAGCACGCTGCGAGACGCACCTTGCCCTTCGACGCCGCGGCTGCGACGCGGCTCGCGAACCCCTGGCGCATTGCACGGCCGCGCGGCAGACGGCTCTGGAAGACACCGGCAGGCCGCACGGCCAGTGCGGCGGAGCAGGGTGCGCGGCAGGCGGCGCCGGGCACAGTGCGCCGGGAGGCCACCGCCCCTGTCGAGGTGCGGGCCAGGGTGGGGGACAGCGAGATCTGCATGCCGCGCTTGTCGTTAAGCAGAGGAACTCGGCGGTGTCGCGGCGGGCCCTTGTTTCTCTCGCAGGGCGCGCCCTGCCTGCCCGGGGGGAGTGCGCTTTGTCACAGCGAGCGAGGGCGACAGCAACAGCCGGAGGCGTCGCCGTCTACGCGCATTGCCGTTCCGTGCGCAGGGCTCGACGACGTCGGCGTAGAGAGCTTGCACGTGGCATCATACTTGAGCGAGGATACTGCCGCCGGCCCTGCTAGAAGGCGCGGCATGAGCGCTGCAGACCCGGCGGCGGCGCTGCCGACAGAAGAGCCGCAGAACGACGCACCTGTTGCGGAGGCTGGCGGGACGGACGTCAAGCCAGAGGCGCAGGTGCGTGCGACGGGAGCCTCTTTCCTGCAGAGCCTGCTTCGTGCATTTTACATGGGCACTGATTTTCCATGAAACGTGCATCAATCGGGCAGTGAAGTTGATGAAGTCTTGGCTCCACTCGAACCGTCGCGACGTCCCTCGCTGCAGTGCAAACGAGCGTACGTTTCTGCTGCACCCGCACTCGCACCTCAACGGCCTTGCCCTCGCTCTCGCGTTTCCAAACCGTCACCACACATTCCCATCATATGCAGCATGCTCCAAAGGTCCACGGTGGCGTAGACGCGGCCAAGTCAGCCCCGGATGCGACCGGGGGGTGCGACGACGCAGCAGCTGGGACCGCGACGGACAAGGGCGCTCCTGGCGACGCACCCGGCGCCCCCGCGGGCGGTGGAGGCACGGAGGCTGCGCCGTGCACGGTCAAGGCCGAGGGCGAGGAGGCTGGCGACGGGAACAACCCGTTCAAGAAGCGCAAAGTGGCGCTGTTCATGGCGTACGTGGGCGCCGGGTACAACGGCATGCAGCGGAATCCGGGCGCGAAGACGATCGAGGGCGATCTCGAGAAGGCGATCGTGGCGGCGGGCGGCATCACGGAGCAGAACGCGGGGGACTTTTCGAAGACGGGGTGGATGCGGGCAGCTCGGACGGACAAGGGCGTGTCCGCGGTGGGCAACGTGGTCTCGCTGAAGATGATCACCGAGGTGGCGGGGGGGCAGGGCACGATGGTCGACGCGATCAACGCGCAGCTCCCCAAGGCCATCCGCGTGTTTGGGTTCGTGCGGACCACGCAGGGCTTCGACGCGCGGAAGGCCTGCGACAAGAGGTGCGCGCGCGCCCACGCACGTGGTTGGCGCAGCGCCGCGTCGCCTGGCACGCACTGACCGTTGTTCCGCGCTCGTTATTGCAGGAGGTACGAGTACGTGCTGCCGGCGTATGCGTTCGACCCCACGTGTCTGGGTCCGCCGAAGGATCCGGCGAAGGTCCCGGAGTTCGGCAACGACGAGATGGCGCGCATGGAGGCCATCCTGGCGCAGTTCGAGGGCACGCACAACTTCGTGAACTTCACGATCAAGATGGAGCCGAACGACCCGTCCGCGCGGCGGTTCATCGTCCGGTTCCGGTGCAAAGACGTCATCGACATCGATGGCGTCCCGCACGTGCGCCTGGAGATCATCGGGCAGTCGTTCATGCTGCACCAGATCCGCAAGATGGTGGGCACGGCGCTGGCGGTGTTCCGCGGCGTGGCGCCGGAGGACGCGATCACGCTCGCGCTGCACCCGGGGCGCGCGGTCAACACTCCGATGGCGCCCGCGGTCGGCCTGCTCCTGGACGAGTGCATCTTCGAGGCGTACAACGAGCGGTGGGCGGGCGCCGAGGGCCGCGGGCGCGTCACCTTCGAGCCCTACTTCGACGCGAAGGAGGCGTTCAAGCGCGAGATGGTGTACCCGCAGGTGGTGCTGGAGGACGACCTCGGGGACGTGGTGCCGTCGTTCCTGCGGTCGCTGACCGAGGAGACGTACAGCTTCAACACCTGGAAGGACATCACTCCGGCGCACATCAAGATGCACCACGTGTCGGCGTCGTCGACGCGAAACCACAACGCAAAGTACGCCGGTCGTCGCCCTGTGCGTGCTTCGGCATGTTGACCAGTCGTTTTTGAAGTTGAAAAGCTGTTGTCCTCACTCATGTTGTTCGTCGCGGTGGTTGCGTGCAGGAGGCGTAGGGAGGAGGGCGAGGGTGGCGAGGACGGGGATGGCGACGAAGACGGGGGCGGCGAGGGGGGGCGGAAGAAGTTCGGTGGGCGTGGGCGCGGGCGCGGGCGCGGGCGGGGACGTCGAGGCGGCGGGAGGGGTCGCGGGGGGCGCCGCGGCGGTCGGCATTGACGCACGGCGCGTGTGGGTGGGTCGCAGTGTGATTCGTGCGCGCACAGAGCCGGGCGGCACTCACAACGAAGTTACATGCGTTGAATGAATCGCGTTCGTGTCTACGTGATTGCTGTTTCCCCCTGGTTCCCTCGCCACCGGCGCGCTCACGTGGTGGCCACGGCGCCGCCGCCGTTCTTCTTGACGCCCTCCTTCTCGTTGATCTGCTGCTGCTTGCCGATGGCTTCGAGCAGCAGCGGCGGCGCGTACTTGGGGTTCCCGTCGTGCTTTTCGCAGTCCTCGCAGAAGGCCATGAGGACGGTGTCGACGCCCATGTCGTAGATCTGGAAGAAGATCTGCGCGACCACGAAGGCCACGATGGCCGAGATCAGGATGGGCAGCACGGGCGACGTCAGCACCGTGTCGGGGTGCTTGTCCGGGTCGCTGTAGTAGTCCAGGTCGGACAGCCCGAAGGCCACGAGCGCGCACATGCCCATGACGGCGAGCTTGCCGAGCCACATGAGGAACCCGCCGATGACGTTGACGGCGGCGAAGCGCAGGATGTTCTTCAGGATGAGGCTGGCGGCGTGGATGGCCGACCAGCAGAACCCGCGGCCGGTGATGGCGATGACGATGTAGGCGTTCTTGTTGATGAACTTGAGGATCTTCTCGATGATCCACAGGCAGCACTTGACGCACTTGAAGATGAAGCCCGTCACCTGCGTCTGCGCGCCCTTCTTCTTCAGCTGCCGGTCGAGCTGGTCCACGAGGAACCGGATCATCTGCACCACCGCGATGATGAACGACCCCAGCGCGATCGACCCGAGGTGGTACCGGCACACCGTCTTGAAGCTGCTCCACAGCGGCAGCCGCGGGAGCTTGGAGCGGTCGCCGCGCGTGAAGTAGAACATCACGAACACCATGGCGAGGACCATCGACCCGACGCCGAGGACGAACTCCACGGTCCAGAAGAAGCCGAAGATGTGGTACAGCGCCGCCTTCTGCAGGTCGCCGTCCCACTCGGCCTTGTAGTAGCAGTTGGGGTCGTACGCACAGGGCAGCTGCCCGGCCTCCGCGCCGAGCGTCCCGCGCGTGAGCGCGTTGTCGTACTGGTCGACCACGTCGTCGAAGCTGCCGACCGCCGCGTTGATGGCGTCCGCGGCGGGGCCCAGGTACTTCTCCGCCAGCGTGAAGGTCGACGCGCTGAACGACTGCCGCTCCTCGACGATCTCGCCCGCGGCGTACAGCATCGCCATGACGAAGATCCAGTAGATGAGGAAGCCGACGAGGAACAGGAAGGGGAAGATCGGCCAGATCAGCACCGTGGGCACCGCGCCCACCGCCTGCGCAGCCACCTTCAGGCAGGCCACCGCGACCTTGACGCGGCGGATCATGAGCAGCGTGAGGAGGAGCAGGAGGCCCGAGAGCACCGCGAGCGTGATGCCGGCCGCCCGCCAGACCTTCTCGTCCTCCTCCGTGGCCCCGTCGCTGCCGTACTGCTCCTCGACGTAGTCCCCGACCTTGGTCCCCTCCGACCACTTCGCGAGGTCCCCGGACTTGGCGAAGCAGTAGAGCGTGCAGATGAGCGCGAGGACGTTCACGGCGATGATGGAGAACCACGCGAAGAGCCCCGAGAAGTACCGCAGGACGATCATCCAGAAGATGGAGAAGAGGAAGCCGCACACGAGGCCCGCGACGCAGATGATCATGATGCCCTTGTAGATGTCCGCCACGTACCGCTCCAGCCGCGAGTCCGAGATCTCCTCGTCCGCCGCGAACACGTCGAACACCGCCGCCGTGCCCTCCAGCAGGTCCTGGATCGTCGTCGTGTCCAGCTTCGGGAAGCACCGGTTGTACAGGTCCACGTGGTCGAACAGGATCGGCGAGCACGGGCCCTTCCCGGGCACGATCGACAGCGTCTGCCACGCGGCCTTGGGCAGCGCGGCCACGTCGGCGTTGTCGCTCGGGTAGCTGTTCGGGAGCTGGTCCCAGTACTGCACCTCGAGCTCCCCGACCACGGACAGCGACGACGCCGTGCCCATGCCGAACCGCGCCTGCGACCGGTACGGGCAGTAGAAGTTCACGTTGCCCGTGCAGGTCCCCGCCGCCACGTCGCACTTGGTCGCCGTCACCGCGACCTGGTCGCCCGCCGCGGGCTGCTCGGGGCACTCGTTGATGCAGATCTTGACGCCCGTCTTGATGTTGGCGAACGTCAGCAGGTCGAAGTTGTTGGTCCAGTATATCTTCTTGCGGTCGCCCAGGTCGTTCGTGCCTGCGGGGCGCGGGGCGCGGGGCGCGCGGACGCGTTGCGGCGGAGGGCGCGCGGACGCGTTGCGGCGGAGGGCGGCGTCCGCGCGCGGCGGCGGCGGCGGCGGGCGGGCGGGGGCGCACCGCAGGTGTTGCCAAAGGAGTCGACGCCGTACAGGAGCCGCTCGACCTCGCCGCGCTGGAAGGCGATGCCGCACACGACGAACATGCCGACCCACCACGCGATGAAGATGATCAGGAAGAGGATGTCCGTGCATCTGCGGTTCTCGTACGGCTTCACCGGCTGCGAGGAGGAGCGAGGGTGGTTGCTGGGCGGTCTCGCGTGGCACGGCCGGGCAGGGGCGCGGACCGCGTCCGCGAGAGGCAGCTTCATCACGTGCGCGCGGGCACGCGTAGCAAGCGGCAGGTCGCGGGAGTCCGGCGCGGCTGGGCCTGATCCCTGGTTCGACGTGTCAGCGCCGCTTGCTGCCGCGAACGACAGCTCTGCGCCCGGAATGTGCCTCGGCGGGCATGATGAAACCACGGCGATGCAGGCAGCGCCAGCGAACCCGGCACTGGATGCGCGGGAGGGGCTCTGGCGACGACGGCAAGGTGTGTGCGTTCGTTGGACAGGCCCTGCGGCCCTGGCCGCCGCCCCCCGCGACGAGGAACGCGGGCTGCGAGCTCATGCAGCAGTCCAGCGCGATGTCCAGGGCACACCGAGGTGCACGCTGGCCCCGGCGCTGTGGATGCGCGACGAGGCCTTGCACAGCCTGTGGGCCGCTGTGCGCAACTTCGCGGCCTCCTGGCCGCCCGCGATGGACGCCGGGGAGATGGGACAGTTCGACAGAGGCCGCGGGCGGCCTTGTGCGGCAATCTTGCGGGCATTGTACATGCGGAGAGGCTGAAGCGGGGAAACCACCATGACCGCGCTCCCCGGACCGGATGCGGGGTCGTACCTCATTCTCGTCCGGCACGTGCTTCACGTCCTTCTCCCGCCCGCAGCAGCCCATGGTGGGAACGTCCCCTCTGAGCCCGACGACAGCCGGCTACCGCACGCGGGCTCGAGCGAGCGAGGAATGGGGCGATGGACGCCCGCGCGGCGGCAGTGAGGTAGGCTGACTGGCAGCGGCGCACTCTCGCGTACAAACTGTGCAATGTGGCGCGGCCGTTCCGCTTTGTGCCGGGCCAGTCCCGCTGCTCGCGGGGGGGACCATTGCCCTGACCTGGCGCAGCGCCCGTGCCCGTGCGTGTTCGGCCCACGGCCTCGCGCGCATGCGCAGTCGTCCTGGACGGAGCTCCTGGCGTGCTTTTCGTTCGCAGCGATTGCATCGCACCACTCCCAGGGACGTGCCTTTCGCTGCAGTGTGTTCGCCCGCATCGCATCGGTGGCTGGGCCGCAGGGCAGTTGACGCCGGCCGGCGGGGATCATCCTGGATCCAGCTCGCCCCAGGAGGACTCTCCGCGTGTCCGGGGCACCCCCGGCGGAACCTTTTGCGTTGCATTGCCTGCCAGCTAGTCGCCGCCCCAGGAGCGCTGCACCGGGACCTGGGAGCTCTGTGCAGTGGTGCTCGATTGGATAGGCTTCGTTTCGCTGGTTCTGACGATTAATTTTCATAGAGGCTCGGGTGCGCGGCGAGGGGGCGGAGCACTGTATAGCAGCAATGAGCAGCAGGCGGTTGCTCTTCAAGAAGCACTCCAGCCTCGGGATTGACAGGGATGGCGAGTCGGAGAAGAGCTCCAGCAGCCCGCAGATCTCCGCCGCTTTGGAGGTCGAGGCGGTGGTGGGCCGCAAGAACAGTTTGACGATGAGCCAGAAGAATGTCCTGACCGAGTTCGCCAACATGTGGCAGGCAAGGCGGTCGTGCGCCCCCGCGACGTGGGACACACGAGCATCAGACCCCAAATTGACGCGTCCCGTTCCCAGAGCGCAAGTCGCCGTTCGCTGCGGGAGGGGGCAGCAAGGGTGCCACCTGCACTGCGCGCCCGCTCGCCGGTGCACGGCGGCGCCCTCGCTTCCGACCCGCGCGCTGAGACGGCACGCCGCTGTCCGCTCCCTGCGCGAGCCTCGGCCCAGCAGGGCGCTCTGCGTGCGCCCCCGGTCGTGCAGGACGTTGAGATTCGCTTCGACACGGCCAAGAACGCCCTCTCGCTCCTGCCGGGCGAGGCGGGGCTCGCGACCCTGCACGACGTCCAGGACGCCAAGTGCCAGACGACCACGCCGGTGCGACCCGCCGCGTCGCACGGCTCGCCCCTTGCGCCGCCGCGCGACACCCCGCCCGCTCACCGCCCGCGCGCCCGCGTCCGCAGGGCATCCTCCTCGTCACGAACCTGCGCATCGTGTGGGTGGACAAGTCCAAGTCGAAGGCGCTGAACCTCTCGATCGGCCTGGGCACCGTCCTGGGCGTCAAGATGGATGAGAAGGCCTCGCGGACGGGCGGCGAGACGACGCGCGTGGAGCTCCTGTGCCGCTTCAACCAGTCCAAGTACCACTTCATCTTCCTCTCGTCCAACCCCGACTCCCGCCGCAACTTCGCGCAAGTGCGCCGCTCCTGGAAGGCGTACGGCGCGTCCAAGGCGCACCGGGAGCTGCGCCTGCGCGCCAACGTGGTCGAGGCCGGCGAGCTCGTCGCGCTGCCGAAGGAGTCGGTCGTGGACTGGGTCCCCGGCGTGATGAACCTCGCCAACGACCAGGGCAACCTGGGCTCCTTCATCGTGACCAACCTGCGCGTGATCTGGTTCGCGCAGCACAACGAGTCGTTCAACGTGTCCATGCCGTACATCACGCTGCTCTCCGTGCGCGTGCGCTCCTCCAAGTTCGGCCAGGCGCTGGTCCTCGAGGCCACCCCGCGCGGCGGCGGGTACCTCCTCGGGTTCCGCATCGAGCCCGACACGCGCCTGATGAAGGTCTTCGAGCAGATCCGCATGGTGTGGAAGAACGCGCTCAACGGGCCCAACCTCGGCACGTCCACCGCGCTCTCCCAGATCGAGCAGGACGCCGCCACGCGCGAGATCGAGGGCGTCATCGAGGACGTCGAGATCGTCGACTCCGAGGAGGCGCACGACACGCTGCTCGCCTACATCCTCGACCCGGGCAGCTCCGCGAGCCGCGTGCCCGTGCTCAGCCGGGAGCTCGGCGTCGCCATCGAGCCCCTCAAGGCCAGCGTGACGCTGGAGGACCTGTGGAGCGTGGTGTAGAGGGGCGGGGCGGGACTGGCGGCGCGGCGCGGGACGTCGCGGTGCGCGGGGGGGTCGTGAGTGGGGGTTGTGAGGGTATGATGTGTTGGTTCCGGCGATGAAGGGGCGGGAGGGTGGTGCGTGCGAGCATGACCGTGCCGCGCATGGCTTTGCTGCGGGCGCAGCGAGGGAGATGGGGAGAGATGGGGACCTGGAGGCGGCGGCGGGCGTGTCGACCGTGGTGCTGCGGTACGACCACCTGCCGCCGCTCCTCCAGTTCTCGTTCGACGTCACCGCCATGCGCTACGACGAGGGTACGGACCTGGGATGCATTGGCGGAAAGCAAGGGTGCGTGTCGGGCCTCCTCGGGGCGCAGGAGCGCTCGTGATGCTTGCATGCTTGGCCAAGGGCTCGCTGCACGCCCGCCGCGCGCTCCGGCAGCTGCGGACCCTGCGTCTCGGGACGCGGGCAATCCGTGATCTCAGCCCGACGTGCGCGCGAGAATCGCTGCGAAATATCACCGCCGTCGCTGTGCGCCGCGCTCGCTTTCTGTCGCCGAACCAACCTGCCGGGTTGCCGCGGAGTCGCGGACGGCGTTTCGAGCGCAACGGCGCCCACCTCGGCCGGCCACCTTCTCCACGGGCTCGCTCGGCGCCCGGGACGGGTCGGCTCACGTCCCCCCCGGACGTGCCTGGGGCTTCGAGGAAGCGTCAGCTCGCTTCGAGCCTCACGGTCCGTCCCGCGCGGCTCGGCATCGTGACTTCTCGCAGGAGCGCGGCCATGGACGCGATACAGGAGAAGATAGAGGCGGCGTGGAAGGAGGGTCGCAGCAGGCAGGAGAAGGCGTGGAGGACGCGCTCACCTCCCTACGCGATGCCCCGCGCCCTGCGTGACGAGCTGTGCATCCTGTACGGCCGCCACAAGGAGCTGAGCAAGGCAGGGGCGAAGAGGGCGAAGGCTCTGCGCAAGAAAGTCGCTCCCTCCGGGGACGGCGCGGCGGACATGGACGCAGAGATGGCCAGGCGCATCCACGAGGTTCAAGTGCGTCCCGCGCAGCCCGAGCGACGCCCGCGAGCGCGTGCCTCCGGCCTCGCGCCACCCTGCTTGCCCGCAGGCCACTCGAGCGACGCCCGCTGACGCCGTCGGGCGCGGCCACGCCAGCCCCACGTGCTGCGCCCCCACTGCCAGGAATGTCGCCCTGGGCCCGCAGGACGCGCACGTGGAGTGGATCCAGCCCCTCTTCGGCCAGCCCGGCGAGGTCACGATGCCGGACGGCGGCCAAGGCACGCGCCAGCGCTACATCGTCGCGCGCGTGAACGTCACCCGGGACCCCTACGTCAGGTCCCTGCTGCGCCACACCGCGGAGCAGAGCGAGGTGCGCCCGCGGCAGCCTCGCCGCGACCACCGCGTCCCCGCCGCCCGTCGCTCCGCCGCCGTCGAGCAGCCCCGCCCGCCCACCCAGACTGTGACGCCAATGCCGCTGCGTGCAGGGCAACCAAGCGCCCGCGCGCGACGAGGAGCCCGCCGAGCGCCGGGACTCCGAGTCGAGCGCTGCGTCCGAGATGGGCGCCAAGCTCGAGGAGGACCAGCGCGCCGCGCTGCGCCAGGCGTTTGACGCGGAGACCGGCACGCTGCGGCCCAGCGTGAACATCGTGGTCGACATGCGGCTGCTGCTGTACCACGTGCACCTCGACGCGCCGCCGCTGGTCGCCGAGGGCGAGGACCCCCCCCCGACGGAAGAGCTCCGCCTGGCGCGCCTCATGGTGTATCCCCTAGCGTTCTTTTACCCCGTGGAGCCGTGGCCGAAGTGCACGATGCGCGCGGTGCCGCGCGGGGACAACCGCATGCGCCTGCTCAGCGCGGTGCTCGCGCCGGCGCTCGCGGAGAACTCCCGGGCGCGGCACCAGCGCTCGGTGTGGACGCGCGACCCCAAGGCCATCGAGGAGGAGGGGCTGTTCGAGGCGGACTTCAGGGACCCGCACGGTGCGCGGCCTGCGTGTGTGTGCGTTGGAGCGCGCGTGGCCTGTTCGCGGGCAAGCTGACGTGGAAGAGGGATGTGTGTTTGCTTTTGTGCAGAGGGCATACAAGACGGGCACGTGGCGGCGCACATCGCGCAGATCAAGGCGGCCCTGGCGCTGATTCTGAAGTCGACATTCGAGACGCTGTACCCGAAGGAGAAGTCTCTCGAGGGCGGGGGCCTCAAGCGCAGCGACAGCGACGCGAACGCCCTGGGCAAGCTCAAGGGCAAGCTCAAGGCCGGGGAGCTGTTCGAGCACTCGCAGCGGCCGCTGACGACCGTGCTGTACCGCGCGCTGCCGTGCGAGGACGACAAGTTCGCGTTCATGGCCACCGTGACCAGCGACGCCGAGCCAGGGTCTGCAGAGTTCTACCTCGACATGCTCAAGGCCGTCGAGGAGGCCGGAAAGAAGGTCCCGGCGAACCGGAAGCCCCCCGGGTGGACGCGCGGCGGCGGCGGCGGGTGCGTCACGGCGACGGTCGATCCGCACACATGCATCGCTGGTCGGTGTGGTCCCCCCGGTGAACCGACGAGGGACGGTGCGTACGTTGGTTGCAGGTTTTTGGGCAAGCTGAAGAGGGGCGGCGCGTCGCCTGAGGGCGCGGAGGGGGCGCAGGCGCCGTTCCGTGCCATGCTGCAGTTTGACGCAGACTCGTCCGGGTGGGGGGAGACGCCGGACCTGCCCGACGACGCGAAGCTGCCAGGGCGCGGAAGCCACGTGCGGGTCCTGACGGTGCGGCTCGACGACGCGGAGGCCACCCTGGAGGGAGAGCAGCAGCGCGCCACCAAGGAGTTCGCTGCGCAGAACGTCAACGACGACGGCGTGCGCGTGAAGCCCGGCGCGGCGTGGAGCAGGGTGCGTCTGTGCCCCCTGCGGACGCGCATCCCCCGCACTAGACCCAAGGGGCTCTGAGCTCCCCTGCGCCACAGCACTGACTGTTGTTGGCCGCGTCTTTGGCTGCCCCCGCAGGAGATGATAGGCGACGACGACCTCGAGGTGGTGGTGCGCCGGCGCGTCGACGACCCGAGCACGTACGACCTGTGCGCGGTGCCGCTGGACGACGCGGAGGCCCTGATGGGGGCGGTGCACTGCGCGCAAATCATGTACAAGGACGTGCAGGCGATGGAGAAGGAGGAGGGCGCGTCGGAGACGACTGACACGCTCGAGGACGACCTGTGCGTGCTGGCGTACGGCTACCGCGCCCTCGCGCGCCTGTGGCTGCAGTACCGTCTGACGCGCTGCGGGTTCTCGGCAGTTGAGGCAACGGTGGACCAGCGGCTGCCGCACGACCGCCTGCGCGAGCTGACGGAGGTGTTCGACATTACCTCGGACGACAGCTCGTACATGCGGGAGCTGCGGCTGAAGAACCCACAGAAGTATGCGCGCGTACAGCAGAAGCGCACCAACAAGATCATGCCCGAGATCCGGGCGGGCGAGAACGGCGGCGCGGGGGAGGGCAACGGGGTGAGCGAGAAGGAGCGGGCGAGGGAGGAGAGGCGGCAGCAGAAGGAGCAGCAGAAGGAGAAGAAGTTGCAAGAGAAGGAAGAGCAGAGGGAGAAGGCGAGGGGGGAGAAGGAGCGGCGGGAGGAGGAGAAGAAGGAGCTTGAGGGGATGTCGAAGGAGGAGAGGAAGGAGTTCATGCGGAAGAGGAAGGAGGACCTGAAGGACGGGCGGCGGGCGAGGAAGCTGGATTCCAAGGCGGACGCTGCGCTGGCGACGGCGCGGGCCGAGGTCGTCCCGGACAAGACGCCCGAGGAGTGGGTGCTGGAGCAGGAGGTGCTCGAGGCCGCGGGCATCCCGCTCGCGCACCTGGAGCAGCGCGCGCTGCTCATCACGATGCCGGGCTACCTGTTGCAGAAGAAGGCGGTCGAGGAGGGGTTCCTCGTCAGGACGCTCCCGGGGCCGGACGGGACGTTCTCGGGCGGCTTCGTCGGCGCGCAGTTCATGCGGGGCGCCCCGCTGACCGCGATGCAGCTCGAGGACGACCCCGACGCCGTCGCGCCGGCATACGCGCCCGCGGCGCCGTCGACGGACCCCCTGTCGCTGTTTGGCCCCGCGGAGGCGATGGTGCTGATGGAGTCGCGGCTCGCGGACGCGACCTCGACGACGCCTGCGCCGCACGGTGGCGTGGACTACTTCCGCGGCGGCGCGGACGTGTTCGTGCGGGAGCTGGTGTCGCAGGGGTTCGTGGAGTCGGTTGTGCGGTGCCAGCAGACGCAGGGGCGGGAGCAGCTCAAGGTCACGTGGGCGAGCCCGTGGAAGTTCAAGGGGTGGTGGCACTACGTGCGCAAGGCGGGCAAGTGGCTCTGGCAGCCCGAGGACCTCGTCGCGCAGTTCTACGGCACTGAGCGCGGCCTCTACCACGCTTTTCTCGCATACTTCACCGCCTGGCTCATCCCGGTCGCTATCATCGGCGTCCCCATCAACTTCCTAGGTGAGACACTGCCGCCACCTCGCTCGATAGATGTCGTCGCTGCTGCTGCGACCTCCGCAGTGCCGCGGCGCGCGACTCATCGTGCTGGCGTTCCCCACCCGGCGCAGTGTCGCGCGGCGTGGACACCGTGGACGGCACGTACATGTGGGCGTACGTCGTGTACGCAGCCTGCGTGGCGCTGTGGACCGGCTTCGTCGTCCTGGCCTGGGCACGACAAGCCCGCGTGCTGGCGTACCGGTGGGAGGCCGGCCTCTACAACAGCATGAGCGACAACATGGTGAGCCCCGACCCCACTCACGCCGCGATGGATGGGCACCTCGTCAGGGTTTTGCCCCCACCCTTCCCCCGTACCCGCTGCAACGCTCGCCGCTCGCCGTGCTTCGCGCGCAGACTCTGGACGAGGAGGTGCGGCCTGAGTTCGTGGCCGGCCTGGACGCGAAGCTCAAGGAAGGCGGTGAGGACGAGGCCAAGGTGCTGGGCTTCATCAAACGTGGCCTGCGAGTCGAGCGCGCGGGCAAGCGCGAGCGGCGCCGCGGCGGCCGGGAGCCCGGTCCGCAAGTCGACGGCCATGTTGGCGGCGCCCCGCCGTCTGCTGCCAAGCCGGGGAAGAAGGCGAGCTTCGTGGGGGCGTCTGCGGAGGCGTCGACCGCGTTGGTGGACATGTCGGACGAAGTGCTCGCGCGGCGGATCAAGGCGGACCTGCGCGCGTTCAACGAGGCGTACTTCCTGCCCCCGAAGCTGCGGCGGCGGCGGCAGATCGTCAGCATGATCATCCTGGCGGTCTTCATTCTGATGAGCACTGCCGCGACGTCGGTATGCCTCTACATCCAGTTCGCCCTGCGCGAGGGTGACCTGTTCGGGTTCACGGTGCACGACGGCTCGGATTCGGAGAAGGAACAGTGGACGCTGTACAGCTACGCGGTGGCGGGTCTGCTGAACGGCCTCTTGATTCCGCTGTTCCAGTTCGCGTACACGACCGTCGGGCTGCGGCTGGTGCAGTGGGAGATGTACCGCACGGACACGGAGCACAACAACGCGTACGCCGCACGCATGGCGCTGTTCTTCTTCTTCAACGCCAACAACTCGCTGTTCTACATCGCCTTCTGGCTGCGCGACTGGATCCACCTCCGCGCCCAGCTCGCCTCGCTGCTCATCACCGGCCAGGTCGTCGGGCAGTTCCGCGAGGTGCTCATCCCCTGGGCCATGTCCGTCTTCGTCCCGAAGGCGCTCGGGAAGGTCAAGGGCCGGCAGAGCGGCAAGGCGCTCCGCGTGCGCCTCACGCGCGGCGGCCGGCTCCGCGTCGTGCAGGGCGCGGACGCCGCGCCGCTGCGCCTCAAGGACGAGATGTGGGGGCTCCGCGGCGAGGGCAAGCCGGTGACGGACGTCGGGAACGACGCGGAGGCTGCCGGCACAGCGGGGGCGGGCCGCGACGACGCGGCGGCCGAGGAGGCGCGGCGTGCGCGCGAGGAGCGGGAGCGGGACCTGCTGCTGCGGTTCCCCAGGATCTGCAGCCGGCTGGGCGTGGACAAGCTGCACAGCGAGGGCCCGGAGGGGCTGCAGCGCAAGGTGGGCGCGCACGCGACCGCGGGGGTGGACGCCGGCGGCGCGGGCGCGAGCGGCGAGGTGGTGCTGCCGCTGGGGCACAAGGGCGGGCTGTACGGCGGGACGCTGCGGTTCCACGGTCGGCTGAACGAGGAGGACCTGCACGGGGAGTACCTGGAGCTGATGGTGCAGTACGGGTGGATATCGATGTTCGTGTCGGTGTTCCCGCTGGCGCCCATCCTGGCGGTGGCCAACAACATCGCGGAGATCCGCATCGACGCGTGGAAGCTGGTCAACCTGTACCGCGCGCCGCCGCCGCGCATGACGACGTCGATCGGCATCTGGCAGGTCGTGTTCCAGACGGTCGCGGTGATCTCGATCACCACCAACATGTCGATCGTGGCCTTCACCAAGTTCGAGCTCGCGTCGGACATCGACGAGCTCACGGCGGGCAGCGAGGTCACGGGCCTCGAGGTTCTCTTCCCAGACACCAGCTCCTAGTGAGTGCGCCCGCCCACGGGACCGCATGGCCGCAGCAGGACGCCCGCGCTCCGACGCTTGCACGCCTCTGCCTGAAACGCCCTGCACCCGCCGCGACGTGTTTGCAGTATGCGCCTCCTGTACGCCATCCTGATTGAGCACGTGGTGCTGGCGATCGCGCTGCTGGTGCAAGCGACGCTCAACCACCCGCCCGCGGTGATCAAGGAGGACATGTACAGGCAGCGCTTCTTCAACGTGCGGCAGGACGCCGAGAGCCGCAGGGAGCTCGCAGAGGCGGCTCTCAAGCCCAAGCAGACCACGGTCGCGCGCGCAATCGCGTCTGCGCGGCCCGGCGCGGTGAGCGGCGACGGGCTGCGCAAGCGCAACGTGGGGAACCAGCAGGGCTCGTCGTCGCAGGCCCCCCGGTTCCCGTCCGCGATTCCGGAGGGGGCTAGCGGCGCGTCGGGCGAGCAGCCGAAGTTCGTGGGCTCTAACCCGCCGAAGACGAGCTCGAAGCCCCCCGAGAAAACGCCGCCGCCCGCGACCCCGCAAGAGACACGCCCCGCGTCCAAGCCCGAGCCCGCTAAGCAAGAGCCAAAGGCAGAGCCGAAGCCAGAGCCGAAGCCTGAGCCGAAGCCAGAGCCGAAGCCCGAGCCGAAGCCCGAGCCGAAGCAGGAGCCCGCTAAGCATCCAGAACAAAAGCCTGAGCCAAAGCCGGAGCAGCAGTCCGAGCAGCAGCCAGAGACCGCTGCGCCACCCCTGCCGGCGAGGGCGCTCCCGCCTGTTGGGACGCCGTCCCAGTCGATGCGGGGCTCTGGTGAAGGTGTCCGGTCCCCGAATGCTTCGGGGAACCCCCGATCGCCGCCCGCGAACCAGGTGTCCGTGAGGATGCTGCAGCCACTCGAGCGGAAGTAGGCCTCGCAGCTGTGTTCTCGGCGGGCGGTGTTCTCGCAATGTTGTGAATTTTGAGGGTCACATTGCCAGAGAAAGAGCTCCGATGAAGCCTGCGCGCTGGCAGCGCCGGCTCTGCTGCTGGCAGCGGGGCCGAGAATTGGCCCAGCAGGCACGTCGCCGAGAGAAGCAACTCGTTTGAAGGTGCCACTGGGAGACCGGCGCACAGCGACGCCTGCCTCTACACGCACTACCCCGTGGCGCGCCGTGCAGCCAAGATTCTTCGGCTGCCTCTCGCGGTTTGCCTAGAGCGGGGATGAGGGATGCTGTGTGGGGCGATGCTCTATGCGTCAGTCAAAGCAGCAACAAGCTTGTCGATGTCGCCCCTCGTGTTGTAGTAGTGCACGGATGCTCGCAGGACACTCTCCAGGCCTCTCGTGCGGAAGTCGAGCATCGTCGACGTCCACCGCGACACAGACACGTTGATGCCCCGCGCGCGCAGGTCCATCTTCACCTCCTCCGCGTCCCGTCCTTGCAGCGTGAAGCTCACGATGCCGCACAACTGCTTGCCCACGTCGTGAACTGCGACGCCGGGAACGCCGGCGAGGCGCTCGCGGAGGTACTGCGCCAGTTCCTGCACGAACGGAAGAGCAGCACCGCCTTGAGAGACTCGACACCATGCGTGGTTGCGACACGGTCTGGCAAACAGCCCCGCATCAGGCGCGTAGGTCTCCACCTGGATGCGGTCCCACGCGCCATTCTGCAGTGCGTCCACTGCCTCGTCAGCTGCAACTCCAAGTCCTACGCGCGCTGCGAAACTCATCTCGTACTGCTCGTATCGCCGCGCGGACGGTTGCAGCTCGTAGCCCTCGTCGTCCGTCAGCACTGCGCCCCACACGTCCAGCGTCGCCGGCTTGTGCCACTGCATCGCCGCGTGCGACGCGTACAGGAACCCACACCCCCGGGGGGCTCTCAAATACTTGCGGCCTGTGGCTGTGAGGAAGTCGCACTGGATGTTCGCCACGTCGATTGGGATCTGGCCCGCCGTTTGGCAGGCGTCCAGCACGAACGGCCCGCCCCGCCGCCGCGCCACCGCGCCCGCGCCTGCCGCGTCGTATACGCGCCCAGAAGACGTAGGAATGTGGGAGAACGACAGGAGCTTGCACCCGGGGTCCTGGAGAAGCCTGTCCAGCTCCTGTAGGTCGAGGTCGCCTGCGCACACGGGCAGACCTCGCTCGCCGATGCCTGTTTGCACCTTGTTGCATGTCTGACGGCGTGCGCGAGCGGTCACGACGAAGCGCGGATGGCCGTCAGGCCCAGGCGCCGCCACGCACCTCCTGCGTCCTCCGGGCACACGGCGATCTCGATGCCGAAGCGCTGCTTGAGTTGCACGTACGTCAGGTAGTTGCTTCCGTACTCCGCTGGTGCCGTGACGATGACGTCGCCTGGCTTGAACTCCATGCCGTAGACGACGGCCTGCCATGCCTGGGTCGCGGACGACACGATGGCGACCTCCTGTGGATCGCATCGGATCAGGGCAGCGATGGCCTGGCGAGGTCGATCGAAGACGTCATGCGCGTACTGCTCCGCTGCCTCGTACGCCCCCATGCTCGACTCTCGATCCATCCATCTGCGTGCAGTGTCAGACGACGAGCGGGAGCACGTGCGGCGCCGACATCGCAGCGACCGCGCCAACGCGACGGCACCCGCCGAGCATGTCATGGGAGCCGCAGTTATGGGTACCTGTGTGCTGCGTCCAGAGTGGCTTTCGTCGGGAGTGCGGCTCCGGCATTGTTCAGGTGAACTATGTTCTCAGCGTTCGGCGTATCGCGCCGAGCACTGTCCCAGAACTCAGCCGCCAGCGCCCTGTTTCGCTGGCTGCGCGGACCGCTGCTGGTCCGCATCATGCCTGAGACGCACGGCAGCACGCTCCTGCAGCCCGGTCCTCCTGCTCCTCCTGTCCACATGGCATTTCCCACTCCCGCAGTCGCAGGTTCCCTGGAAGCCGGCGCCGTGCACTCGTCTGCTCTCGTAGTCTCCTCGGCCGGGCAATCCCAGCTGCGGGCGAGGCCTGCGCCTACTGTGCCGCGGGCGCGCGCGTGCTCACAAAGCTGCCGTGCCCGACGCCGCGCCGCCGCCTATAACGGCGTGCGCGCAGGGAGCCCCCGCGTGCGTGAGACTGTCAGTCAGGCCGGACATCTCCTCGCCCCTGCGCGGCCTTCATGGGCTCGGCCGCCCCGGCGACCATGTCGCACCAGGCTATCGTTCGCGAGCGTGGCGTTTGCATCGAGAGTCCAGGGGACGGCGTTTGGACCGGAGAGGTTGCTCCCATTGTTTGGCGCGGCTGAGCGGCTGCTGCACCCGGACCAGCTGAAACAAGATGGAGCCGGTCGCTGTGGATCGCACTCACTTCGGGGAGCAGCAGGTGCGCCTAGGCTTCGCCCCTCGAGGTGCCCTTGCCTGGTGCTTCCATGGCAGCTGCACCTCGGCTTTCACCGGCCTGGGGTGGAATTTCCAGGCGTTGGCTGCGCTGAGACAATGTCGAATATCAGCGTTTCCTTCCGCCACCTTGCTGGGCAGCGACGCGACTTCACCGCGCCGCCGCCGCGAACGCCGTTAGCGATTTGCGACAGCTCCGCGTGTGCGCCCAGGCCAGCACGCAGGTTGCTGTGCAAACGCTGCGATATTCGCTTTCACCGGTGCCCCGCATCGCGGCGTCGCCGCGGCGGCCGGCACCAGCGCGTGATTCCGCATGGAACTCTCTTGGCCTTGACGTGCGCCGGGCGGCCAGGCCACCACACTGCCGCCGGGCGCCGGCTCAGCCGCGCCTCTCGCACCTCCATCTCCCCCAACCGCCATCCGGTGGCTCCAACAGCGCAATACTCCACCGCAACCGCTCCCGGCCCCACCCCTTGCCCGCAGCACGCCAGGCACACCGGCGCCGTGCCCCTGACGGTCCCGAAGCGCGGCGTCCGGCACGGCATGGGCCCGGGATGCGCCGCTGAACACAGGTGCGCTGCCCTGCCCTCGCAGCCACGCCGCGTAGCTGCCGCGGGGCCCCTGCGCCACCTTTACCACCTATACCAGCCGCGCCCCGCGCCGCGCCGGCCCGCCCGCCGCCCCACCGTCGACACCCGCCCCCTTCGCCCGCAGCCACGACGTGGAGATGTCGCAGGTCGACACGCTGGAGATCAGCCACCCGCATGCGGGCTTCGCCACGGGGCCCTCGCACGACGAGGCGACGGGCGGGCCCAGCCCCGCGGCGCGCGCGGCGGCCAGCGCGGCCGTTGAGGCGCGCGCGGCGTTCGCGCACATCCCGGACACCGTCCTGGGCACGGCCGCCAACCTCCCCCCGATGCACCGCCCGGGCGACCCAACGGTGGCCGCGGCCCTGCGCGCCGCGGAGCCGTTCGACGCGGCGGTGCTGCGGTCCGGCGCGCTGGCGTCCGTCCTCGCGTACTCGTCGCACCTCATCGCGCGCGGGTCGCTCGACGACAACTTCTACGTGATGGACCTGGGGCACGTGGCGCGCGCGGTGCTGGCGTGGCGCGCGGCGATGCCCCGCGTGAAGCCGTTCTACGCGGTCAAGTGCCACCCGGACCCGGGCGTGCTGGCGGTGATGGCGGCGATGGGCTGCGGGTTCGACTGCGCGTCGCCGGCGGAGATCGACCTGGCGCTGCGGAGCGGCGTGGACCCGGGCGCGGAGATCATCTACGCGCACCCGGTGAAGCGGCCCGCGGACCTCGCGCACGCGCGGCGCGCGGGGGTGCAGTACGCGACGTACGACTCCCCGGGGGAGTTGGACAAGGTCAAGGAGTTCTACCCCGACATGAAGATGGTGCTGCGGATCCGCGCGGACGACCCGACGGCGCGCGTGCAGCTCGGGAACAAGTACGGCGCGGAGCCGCAGGTGTGGCGGCGGCTGCTCGCGGAGGCGCGCGCGCGGGGGCTCGAGGTGGTGGGGGTGTCCTTCCACGTGGGGTCCGCCGCGAACGACCCGGGGGCGTACGCGCGCGCGATCGGGAACGCGCGGTACGTGTTCGAGATGGGCCGCGAGCTCGGGTTCAACATGCGCCTGCTCGACATCGGGGGCGGGTTCTGCTGCACCATGGAGGGGGGGCGCATCGACGTGTCGGGCTTCGCGTCGCGCGTGAACGCCGCGCTCGCGGAGCACTTCCCCGAGGGCTGCGGCGTCGACGTGATCGCGGAGCCCGGGAGGTACTTCACGGAGCACGCGGGCATCCTGCACTGCGCCATCGTGGGCCGGCGGCCCGTGGAGACGCGGCTGCGCGGGGCGCACGGCGGGCGCTGGGCGACGGTCGGCATGCAGTACTTCCTCACCGACGGCGTGTACGGGTCGTTCAACAACATCGTGTACGACGGGTACGACGTCGGGCGGCGCACCATCCACCCGCTGCCGGCGTCCGGCGCCATGGTGCCGCCCGGGCGGGAGCTACCGTCGACGCTGTTCGGGCCGACGTGCGACGGCGCGGACACGATCGCGAAGGGCATCCCGCTGCCGGAGTCGCACCCGGGGGACTACCTGGCCTTCTCGGAGATGGGGGCCTACTCCATCGCGGGGGCCACCGACTTCAACGGAATCAAAGTGTCGAACCCGACCAAATTCTACATCTTCACGCTTGACTACTGAGACGCCCAGCAGGGGCGACACGCGCACGCGGACGACGTCTGCCGCAAATGTGACGAACGCACCGCCCCCGCCGCGCTCGACGCGCTGCGACCGGCCCGGCGGACAGCCAGCGGTGACACGCGAGTGTGCTTGCTTGCGCGAAGAAGCCAGAGCGCGATGGCTCCCACGCGCACCACAGTGCAGTCATGGGCTACGTTGGCCGGTGCCCCCTCGCCTCTCGGCCGGAACAGACACCCACGCAGCGGTCCCCCACACCGACCTCGCGTGGTGTGCACGTGACGCCGCGCGTCGCTCGAAGGTGTGGTCATCACATGCGCTATTGTGTGCGCGCGCGAGGGTTCACGCAACCAGCACGCAGGCGCCGCCCGCCTCCTTGATCCGCTTCTCCGCCAGCTTCGAGAAGAACTTGGCCTTCACGATCATCGGCGCAGCGGGCGCGTGCCCCTTGCCCAGCACCTTGAAGAACCTGCGACGCGACCACACACTCCGCAGCGGGCAGTGACGAAAGGCGCCGCACGCTGGCAAACGTCGTCCGTGTTGGCGGCCGGGCACCGGCCCGGATGACTTCGCGGCCGCACTCGGGGGACTATTGGCCCAGAGGATTCGCGCACTCTCTCAGAGACGGGGCAGCAGGTGCGGGGTCGACCGCGGCGGCTGCGGGCAACGCAGGGCGCCTGCTCGAGTCACGGAGGCGCGGGGCGGGTCTGTTTGCTCACCCGTGCTCCGTCACGTCCACCACCGGGGCCTTGGAGGCGGAGGCCTGCTTGAGGGCCTCCTCCGGCACCAGGGACGCCAGCTTGTCCAGGTTGACGATGGGGCAGTGGAACTTGTTCCGGGTCTGGTGGAAGTACCGCATACCGACCTTGCCGAAGTAACCAGGGTGGTACCTGCGTGGAACGCGGCGCACCGGGGTTGCAACGCGAGCGCCCGCAGCGGGCAGGGGGGCGGCGCGCGGGCATACGCGACGCACGGGGCGCGCAGGGTCATCGGCGCAAGCCAGCGTAGCGCGACGGCGCGCTGGCCGCTTCTGGGGCGCGGAACGCGGCTGGGGGTGGGGGCGGCCGTCTGCAGCGCGCTCCCCGGGCGCTGGCGGCGGCCCGGGCCGCCGAGACGCGTTCCGGGGGGCGGGTCACGCACTTGTCGAAGAGGATGCGGTGGTGGTGCTGACCACCCGCGTTACCGCGACCACCCGGATGCTTCCTGTGCTTGCCAATGCGGCCGTGACCAGCGGACACGTGCCCGCGCTTCTTGCGGTTCTTCCTCAGCCCTGCGAAAACATAGAGATGACGAGCCGCGCGGGGTGGGCACGCGAAAGACAGCAAGCCGGCAGCAACGGAGGACCGGCTCGGTCGAGCGTGCCGCCCAGGCTCGTGGGCTGCCCGGGCGCCTGGGATTCCGGCACCGGGCGCGCCGTTAGGGATCCACACGGCCGCGCGTGGGCTCGGTCGCACGCGTTGCGGCCCACGCGCGCGAATGTGGCCCTGCCGCAGCCCCCACCTCCAGGGGCGCAGCGGTTGCAGCGGCACGGCCAGATGGCGGGGGGTGAACATGGCTGTGAGCCACGAAATACGGGCGCTGGCCCGGGCGCATTGCGGGACGCAGGGTGCCGCGGGAGCGAGGCCGACAACGAGGGTCGCACTGAGCGCCGGCAGAGACGCGTGGGGGCTTACGTGTGGTCATCTTGACTCGATAAGCGCCTAGGGAAAAGGAAGGAGCGTCGCGGCGCGGTGGTCCCAAGTCTTCGGCGCGCGTCATCGTCATCGCCAGGGGCGTTAAACTGACGTCTGGTCCTCATGGCCCTCCTCGGTGCGCGCAAACCGCCCTCTTGTCGCTGCGCCTGCCTCGCACCGACGCAAGTCACGCGCAGGCCGGCCGGCATCCCGTTGTTGTTGACTGCTGCGGCGCCGTGCGGGTGTCCAGTGCTGCGCCTTGCAGGGCTCTCGCCGCGCGGCCCCGACCTCGCTCGAGGGCATCCACGACAGCGCAGCGCGCACGTCAGGGCGCCGCAAGCGATCCAACTGGCGTTTCTACGGGGAGGTCGGCGACGCTTTTCGGCTCTGTCGAGTGCAGCACAGGGCCCCAGCGGGCTGCTGGCGGAGAATCTGTCAACGGGCAGCTCCGTGCGCAGGGCGACTTGCAGGGAGAGTATGGTCGGCCGCACGTAGTGTCCCAGGCGCATCGACCGCAGACTATCATGGCCGGGAACCCCCAGGTGCGCCAGCAGGCGTGTCGGGTCCCCAGCGAGCCGTCTCAGAACGCGCCCCGCCACCGAGTCGCGCACGCTCGTCCAGCCCTCCGACTCCAGCGAGCAGGACTGTGGCACCCGCGGCGTCGTGCCGCGCGAGGCCCGCCAGCACCCAACGAATCTGTCAGCGCGGGGGGGCCGCTGCCCGGCAGCGGTCCTGCGCGGGACGCGGGCGCTGGGGCGATCGCCTCCCGCTCGACGTATGCTTGGGCCGTCGCCACCGTGCTGCGAAACGGCCTTTTGACCGCGACCGGGCGACGGGCCCGGGATGCTGGTTGCAGGTTGGAGCCGGGGCGCTCGAGGACCTGGGGCTGGACAACGCCGAGGAGTGGCCTTTGTGGGATCCCCAACAGGATGACGAGAAGGCCGAGTCGATTGTGGACGTCGCGCTGCCCGTCGGAGCGACCCGCGCGGCGCTGTGCTTCCACTCCGTGGGCAGCAACTTCCTGGTGCGCCCACGACCCTCGAGCACTGCGCGCACGCTGGCCCCCACCTTGCCCAGGTCGTCTCCGCTCCCAGCAGGGCACTTCGCGGCCCGCCACGCCGGCTCCCCTCCGTGGGCTGCACCCGTGCCCGCGCACCTCCGTCACGTTCCGCTTCGAGACGCGCAACGTCGCCCCCACGCGCGCGGATCCTCGCACGCGCCAGTGCCACACGCGCCGCGCGGCCTCCACGTTCGCAGCGCGAGTGGTACGAGCAGAACGGCATCACTGGGTTCACGGTGCAAGACTGGCAGGCAACCGACCCGCGGCCGGGGTCGAAGCCCGCCGACGAAGACGACACGAAGCGTGCGTACTCCGAAATGCTCCGCGGCCCCCGCGCCTGCACGGGCGCACTGAGCGCCCCACCGCCACCACGTGTGTGTGTCCTGTCGCCGGCCGCGCCCCGCGCCGTGCCACGCGGGGCACGACCAACCCGCGCCGCTGCGAGTGCTGTGCAGTGATCTTCCGGCGGCGGCGTCTCAAGTACAAGGTCGCGGAGGGGTACAACACGGAGGAGATTGTGCGCTGCACGGTGTGCGCGTGGGACGAGCGGTTCGAAATGCAGCAGTGCATCCAGACCTTCGCGCCGTACGGAGACCGCATCCGTGTGCTGCTCAAGGAGACGATCGAGGCCACAGGTGCGCCCGGACGACGCCCCCGGCCAGCACGCAACACTCCCGGGGGCTCTCAGCGCGATGCGAGCGGTGAACCCCCCACCCAACGTGCTCCGCAGGGTCGGAGTCGTGTCGCCTGGAAGTGCGGTACACCATTCGCTACGTGAAGGGCGTGAACGGCATGATCAAGTCGATCATTGCGTCGAACGTCACCAAGGGCCTGAAGAAGAGCTCCGCGATCAAGAGCAAGCTGATCGCGTCGTACATCGAGGTGCCGGGCGCCGTCGCGGGGCAGTTCGACCAGATCGCGGGGCCCTCGGAGGTCACCGTCCCAGACGAGCAACCACCTGTCAGCCTGACGGACGTCGTGGTGTGCGTGGGGTCCGCCGCGGGCGCCCTGGCGCTCCTGTGCGCGCTCCTGTTCGTAGACGCAGAGACCAGCGCTCGCAGGTGCGTTTCCGCGCGCGACCAACCCCCCGCGCACGGCGCCGCTGTGGTGCATGGACGTCAGCCACACAACCCTCCCCCCCGCCCACGTGGACGCGCAGGGTGTGGGACGCGCGCGTGTGCGACGCGTTCGCCGGACTCGGCGGGTGCGACGTGGCGGCGACGTCGGTCCTGCGTCGCATCGAAACGTGGGTGGGATGGCTGTTCATGCTGCCCATCCGGCTGACGCTCGTGTACCCCACGCAGCTCGTCGTGGCCATCGTGTACGGCCTCTTCTACACGATCTGGACGCTCCTCACCGCTCCGTGGCGCCTGTTCGACCTGCCGGACTCCCTGCAAGAGCTGTTCTGGCCCGCGGCGCTGGTGCTGTGGGCGCAGTTCATCGCCGTGCCGCTGTTCCCCACGGCCGTGTCGACGCTCGCGGAGATCTGCGGCGTCGACGAGGCCGACCTGCCGGAATGGCTGCCGGTCGCGTCCGCGACGGACGCGCTGGGGAGTCGGGTGGACGACACTGCGCCCCCGGACACAGAGCCGGCCGCGGAGGACGGCGACCCCGGCTTCACCGCCGTCACTGCGCAGTCCATGCCGCCACTCGGCCAAAGCGACGTCGGCGAGGAACCGGGGCCGTCGGCGCCCGATGACCCGGCACAGCGCTCGGCAGCAGCGTCGCGCCCGCGATCAGTCACCGAGTGGGCGTCGGGCGGGGCGACGGCCGCGGCGCGCTTGGCGCAGACGCTGCTGCTGGCCGCGCGTGGCGCGCAGGGCAGCGCGCCGCTGCCGAGGACGGGGCGCGGCATTCGGGCGCGCCACCAGCGCCCACGCAGATACAGGCACGTGTCGAGCAGCGGCGGGGGCGGCATGCAGCTCGAGCTGACCCCGATGAAGTCCGAGGCGCCGAACGACGACTCGCGGCACGCGCGGGAGGACAGCGAGACGGGGCGGCCCGCAGGGTCGACAGAGGCGTGGCAGGTGGACGGAAACGGGGGGGAGTACTTGCAGGGGTTCAAAAGCGCGCCACCGGGCGCGCCCGGGCGCCCGAAGACCCCGACGGAGCCTGCAGAAGCCTGGCCGGGCGGGCACCCGCTGGCCTCGCCGCCGAAGGAGGACCCCCCCCGCTCCGTGCACCAGGCACAGCCAGCTGAGTCGCCGGCCACGAGGTCGCCCGCGCACTCGGGGCACAGCTACGAGGAGCCCACATCTCCGGCTGCGGCGATGCTGGGCCGCAAGGGCATCACCTCGTCGCACCACGGGGGCGTGGCCAAGCCTGCTCGCAGCACATCTGGGCCGCGCCTGCGGACCTGCGACCCGGGCGTCATTCAGGAGGAGCTGCAGCAGGCGGACGAGGCGTTCCCGGGCTTCGATGTGCAGGCTGCGAGCCTGTCGCCGACGGGCATCGGGTCCCCGTCGAAATCGCAGGCAGAGCAGAACGCCGACCTGGAGGCCATGATCGTGCGCGGGCGCATCGCGCAGCAACAGGCCAAGTCGGTGAGCAGCGCCCGCCGAGCGTGTCCTGCTGGTCTGCGTGGGGTGCTGGGCACCGCGGGAGCACTGCCCTGTTCGGCCTCTCACCTGCTTGCCATGCCGTGTGTGTTCGCAGGCCGCGACGGTGCTGATGAACCGCGAGGTCTCTCCGGGCGTTGTGGAGGTTCAGATGTTCGAGAACGAGCGCGCGCAGCCGTTCCGTGGGTTCGGGCACACGTGGCCCGGACACATGCTGCCGTCCGACCGGGGCCACTGGTCGCTCGGCTCGGGCAAGGACTGCGGGACGAACTCGCAGGAGCGCGCCATCGTGGAGCCGCAGCTGCCCGCCGGCTGGGCCTGGCTCGGTCCCTGGTGCGTCGACCTGCTGCCGCGCCCGTGGGAGGGCGTCGACGAGGAGGGGTGGTCGTACGCGCTGGACTTCCCCTGGGTGGGCTGGCCGCCGCGGCGAAGCAAGGGCAAGCCCGGGCGCATCGACTTCGTGCGTGTGCGGCGATGGGTCCGCGTGCGCGTGCTGGAGGGCTTCCAGGTGCCCCCCGGGCTGCAGGAGCAACACAGCCAGCATCTGCGCATCGACATGTGCGATTGCCGGTTCTGTGTGCCGCCGCCGGAGGGGGAGGAGGATGGGCGCGCGGGCGGGAGCGGCGCCGCGAGCTCGTTCGACCGTTCGGGGGGCGCGTCGCCTGAGCAGAGGCCGCTGTCTGGAGGGGTGTCGATGCGGGACCGCCTCAGGGCGCGCGTGCTGGACGTCTGGAACGGCCAGGCGGGGTCGCCGGCGGGCAGCGGGTCCTGAGCGAGCCGCCGTGACCGACCGAGTTCGCGAGACTGTGACTGCGCGAAGCGACAATTCATTCACAACGCAACGAGGATCACGTTCAAGGTGCGCGTTGTTTCGCGCCATGGGCCTGGCGCGGTTCAGTGGCGCACGTGACGGTCAACGGTGTAGAGGAGGGTTGGGGGCCTGCTCTGAAGGTCGATTGGATCGCGCAAGCTGTTTTCAGGGTTTCTGTTCAGACCTTGCAGCTGGCCGCCATGACACCGCCAGGCTGATGTTGAAACAGGCGACACTAGCGTGCGGCGACGGGCGTTATCGGAGATATGCGCGCCTCTGGTCGCGAAAAAATCCACGCTGGTCCTCTCGACGCTGGCTATCGCTGATATGCATCGTCGCAGCTATATTTCAATGGGAGCGGGGGACAAATAGATGTTGTTGTGGGGCCAGCACGCAACAGCAACAGCAACGTCATGCCCGCGCCACGCGCGCAGTCTGCCCCGCACGCCCGCCGCGCGCCGGCCAGGCCGGCCCAGCGCCGCCGTCCGTGTCGAGACGCGCGGCGATGTGCCGCCCGTACGGGCACGCGTGCAGCTCCTGCAGCGCGGGCACCAGCCGGCTCTGCACCTGGTGCAGCCGCTCCGGGTCGCACCGGTTCACCAGCTGCTGCACGACGTAGTTCGCGTACTGGTTCGAGCACAGCGTGACGAGGCGGTCCCGGTCCGGCGCATCCTCCGCAGGCCCGGCCTGCAGGATGGCGTCGACGATGCTGTCCACGGGCTCGCGCTCCGGGATCAGCTCGAGGGCCTTTTCGACGACGTTTGACGCGAACTTATGGCGCGACATGCGCGCGGCGTCAGCTGCGACGTGCTCGGCCACGCGGCGGCGGTCGTCGTCGTCGCCGTAGCGCAGCACGTGCTGCATCACGTAGTTGCCGTACTGGTCCTCGCACAGCTCCGCGATGCGCTGGAGCGGGTCCTCGAGGAAGCGCCCGTCGCGCAGCTGCTTCGGCGAGCACCGCTCGAGAACCCGCTGCACCACGCGGCACCCGTACGCGTGCACGGCCAGGTCGCCCGCACGCCCGTTGAGGCGCGCGAGCAGCGGGTCCAGGTCCGCGGGCTCGAGGCACTCGATGCACTTCTGAACCACGTGGTTCCCGTTCTGGTCCTGCGACAGCGCGAGCGCGTCCGGCGCCACCTCGGCGGCCACCGCCAGCCGTCCCGCGCGCCCGAACGTCTCCAGCGCCCTCTGCACGACGCGGCACGCGTACGTCTGCCGGCTCAGCTCAACCACGCGCCCCTCAAACGTCCCGTGCAGCTCCCGCCGCACTGCCTCCGACCCGTGCTCCATTAGCTTCTGCGCGACGTAGTTGCCAAACACGTCCGACATGAGCTCCACCATGCGCGGGAGCAGCTCCGCGAGCAGCGCCTCGATCAGCGCGTGGTCGCCGCTGTCCAGCTTCTGTTGCAGGAACCGCGACCCGTGCTGGTCCGTCGCCACGTCGTACGCCGACCCCACGACCGACCACGGGTCTGTGCGCTTGCCCTTGGACGCCCGGATCTCCGCGATCAGCGCCTCCGCGGCCGTGCGGTACGGCCCGCTGCGGCCGCCGTGCGCGCCCGCCCCCACGCGCCCGCCGCGCCCGCGCCCGCCCGCGCGGGGCCGCGCGTCGGGCATCCCCAGGCCCCCACCCGGCACATGCGGGAACCCCGCGGGCACCCCCGCCGGCGCGGCCGCCCACTGGCCCTGCCACGCAGCGCTTGCGGCGGGGTGCACCATCCCCGGCGGCAGCGCATACGCCGCGCGGGCCCCCGCGGCGCCCTGGTACGCTGCGGCAGCTGCGGCCGCCGCGTGCATGCCCTGCTGCTGCGGCGCCGGGTGGTACACGACGGGCATCAGTGCTGCCGGCGCGGGGCTGCCGTACCCCGGCACTGCGCCGTGCGCGAGCCCCGCGCCGCCGACGTACCCTGCGTGGTGCTGCGCCGCCGCGCCGCCCAGCACGGGCCCCACCATGCCGTATCCGGTCGACGGGACGTGCGAGGCGTTGCCTGCCCACGTGGGGGCCGTGGCCGCCGCCTGCGCGCGGTGCGTCGCGCTCTGCGCCGCGAGCCCGCTCGGGCCGCGCTTGCTGCGTGGCCCCCGGCGGTCCGCTGCGCCGTAGCCCTGCGACCACCCGGGCGGGGCCGTGTCGGTGCTCGCGCCGCTCCCGTGCGACGACGCGTGCAGGGAGCCGCCGTCCGCGCGCGCCGCGTTCCTCAGGTGGGACCCCACGAGCCCCGCCGCCTCGACGGGCGTCGGGACGCGCAGGGGCGGCTCGACGGCGGCGTCGGCGAGATGCTGCAGGGCGGCGTCGGTGGGGACGGTCGGGTGGACGGTCTTGTCCGTGGGTTTGACCGCCTGCGCGTCGGCCGCGTCCTGCGACCCCGTTGCGCCCGCGCCCAGCGGGCTGGCGCCGTTGCGCAGGGGCGGAGGCAGCCGCGGGTTGAGCAGGCGGTGCCGCTGGTAGTAGTTGGCGTACTGCGGGTGCGTGCGGAGCTCCGTGTCCTTGTCCGGGCTGCCCGGCCCGCCGCCAGCACCTGCACCGTGGCAGGACGACGACGGCCGTGGGGGTGTGTTCACCTCCGCGGCACGCCGGGAGGTGCGAACGTCCGTGCGGCGTGCCCGTGCGGGCGGTGCAGCGAGGGGCGGGGGGGCGCGGGCGCACCTGGATCGCCCGCGTGATGCTTCGCAGGGACGCCCGCTGCGTGCGGGACGTCGCCGTTGGTGCCGGGGGCCGCGGCCGGCGGCGCGTCGAACCCGAGGAGCTGCGCGCTCTGCAGCAGGATGTCCAGGTCCGCGAGGTTGTTCATCGCCGGGGGCGCTGACTCGGCGCGCGGTATGATTTCGCGCGCAAGGAAGGCGCCGAGGTGCCCGGGGGGGCCGCCCGCCTTGCCGGCGCCCTGCGGAGCGCGGACGGAGGTGTGCTGTGGTTGGGGCGCGCCGTTGGGCAGCCGGGCGACACGGAGGGCGCGCGAAGCAGTCGCGGCCTCCCGCTGACGCATCCCGCTCGTGTCTCGCAGCGCGCGGGCAGGTGGGGCGCCGTCGCGGGCCCGCGCGCTGCTGCTGGCTGCCACGTGCAGTGGGCGAGAAAGCTGCTCGAACGGCGCCGGATGAGGCCCTCGTGCGGCGGATGGCGCTGTCCGTCCACGTGGCTACGCGCGCGTGGGCGCACGGGTCCGCGGTAGGCGCGGGCTACGAGATCAGGGGCAGCGGCCTTGGAGCAGCTCTGGCGTAGGCCAGCGGTCGCCTTCGGCGCGAGGGCCGATTTCGGCCGGCCCGATCTGAGAAACTGGCGGCAGGATTCGTGCGGGAATTTCGAACGGGGCCAGAAATCCGCTACGACGACAGACGCGCTCGGGACCTCTCGGCCGTCGAAGGCGCTCTCCACGGGCATCGCGGGCGACAGGGGGGCACCGCAGTCGGCCGCTGCGGCACCATGTTCGTATGATTTCGCGCCGCCGCAGCCCAGAGCGTCTCTGGGCGGTTCCGCTGCGGCACCATTCGAGCTCCCGCGCCAAGGGAGCAGCTTGCATGCACGGCTCGCGGGTGCGGATTCCCGCCGCGATCGGCGCGCGAACGCAGGCCACAGTGCACGACGCGTCCAGCACGACGCGCGCCGGGCGGGCGCGAGGGCGCGAACGGCCCAGGAGTGCCAGGTGGTGTGCATGGCAACGTGTGAGGCGCTGGTCGTCCTCGCGGGGCCGGGCGAGCGCGCGCACCTCGGCGGAGAATATGCCTGCGTCGACGAGCGTGGGGTCGTGCGCGAACGGGCTGCCCCGCCCGTTCCCCTCGTGCATGGCCGCGCCCGCCTGCATTATGTACAGCGGCAGGCTGTGTGGGCGCGGGCAGGCTAGCGTGCCTGTGATCGAATTCGCGGATCTATGTACAGACAGCTTTGCAGCGCGGCGCGACGCGCAGGGAACTTGAAACGTGGGCACCGAGGCCGCCGCCGGGACACACCGAGCGCTGCATGTCAGACCAGCCCCTCGCGGCGTCCGGCACGCAAGCGGCGGCACGTCACAGGCCCCGCGACCGCCCGAACACGCCGGATCTCGCGGGATGCGCGGGGCGACCGTGGAGGGCCACGCGGCAGCCCAGCAGGCCGCCGCCGTTGGATCAACAGGATCCGACCCCCCCCCTCGGGCCGAACGCGGCGCCTCTCCGCCGCGGCGGCGCCCATCCTGTGCCGCCCGCTGCTATGCGTGCACACGGCGCTGCGACGGCCCGGCGACGAAGCGAGTCTCACAGCCGTGTCCCAACATGCGCATGTCGGAGCGCTGCACGCCCGAGGCAGCCCGGCCCCGCGCGTGTGCGCTTAGATGGTGGTGCCGTCGTCGACGGTGGCGTTGCGCAGCACGGTGACGATCCCGGAGCGGATGTAGATGCCCTCGTCCTCGCGGTTGGCCTCCTCGACGCCGGCCTTGTTGACAATGGTGCAGCCCTTGCCGATGCGCGCGTTCTTGTCGACGATGGTGTTGCGCAGCGTGGTGCCCTCGCCGACGCCCATGGGCATCCCGTTGCCCTCGCTCAGCACCTGCGCCGGCGTCTCGAAGTAGTCGGCGCCCATGACGTAGGCCCGGTCAATGTCGCAGTTGGCGCCGATGGTGGAGCGCAGCCCGATGATGGAGTTCTTGATCTTCGCGCCCTGCCCGATGGACGACCCCGAGCACACGATGCTGCGGTCGACCTGCGCCTGCAGCACGTTGGCCGGCGGCAGGTAGTGCGGGTAGGTGTACACGGGGAAGTCCGGGTCGTAGAACTCGAACGCCGGGGGCTGGTTCGCGAGCGCGAGGTTGGCCTCGAAGAAGGCCTTGATCGTCCCGATGTCCTCCCAGTAGTCGTCGAACAGGTAGGCCTGCACGCGCAGGCCCTGCGCGGCGGCCGCGGGGATGATCTCGCCGCCGAAGTCGTGGGCGTGCGGGTACTTGTACTTGAGCAGCTGCAGGAGGACGTCCTTCTTGAAGACGTAGATGCCCATCGACGCGATGTAGGGCATCTGCTTGGCCTTCTCGGGGCTCAGGCCCAGGACGGTGGTGTCGACCTGCATGGCCTTGAGCGCGTCGCCCTTGGGCTTCTCCGCGAACTCGGTCACCGCGCCCTCGTCGTCGATCTTCATCAGCCCGAAGTCCGACGCGCGCTCGTCGTCGCACGGGATGCACCCCAGCGTGATGTCCGCGCCCGACTCGCGGTGCGCGTCAACGAACTGCATGTAGTCCATGCGGTACAGGTGGTCGCCCGAGAGGATGACGATGTCCTCGATGTTCCGGTTCTTGATGTCCTCGAGCAGCCACGCGTACTGCCGCACCGCGTCGGCCGTGCCCTGGAACCAGTTCTTGTCCGTCGGGGTCTGCGTGGCCGCCAGCACCTCCACGAAGCCCTGGCTCCCCGTCTGCAGGTTGCCCAGGTTGTACGTCTGCCCCATGTGCCGGTTCAGCGACGTGCTGTTGTACTGCGTCAGGATGTACACCTTGTTGATGCCCGAGTTGATGCAGTTCGACATCGGAACGTCGATCAGACGGTACAGCCCGCCGATCGGCACCGCGGGCTTCGCGCGGGACTTGGTCAGCGGGTACAGCCGCGAGCCGGCGCCGCCGCCCAGGATGATCGCTGCGGGGCGCGGGGGGGCGCGGCGCAGGTGAGTTGGTGGCAGCGAGGGGGGCGTGCGGGGGTGGAACGCGCGCGCGGGGGCGCGTGCGCGGAGGACGGGGATGCGCGAGCGCGGGCAGGGGCGAGACACGCTGACGGCACCGCGCAGAGACGCAGATGCGGGTCGCCCCTAGCACTGGGGACAGGCCGCCTGGCGAGGCTGGGTCGCGCGCGCGCGTGGCGGGGTGGCAGAGCGCTGCCGACAGCGCCAGGGGAATCCAGAGATCGATGTTTCGCCGGGCGGATGGCCCAAGGGGCGATCGTGCAAGAGGGGACCGCGCGCGACGGGAGCGGGGGGACCGAACGCCGTGCGGAGCGCAGAGCCGCGCGCCACGCGTCGACCCTCGAGGTGCGAGGGCGTGCCGTCCGATGAAGGACCGGTCTCACGGAGTCGGAAAGCGCGGAGCAGCGCTGGCAACGCGCCCAGGCGGTCGCGAGGCATCGAGCACGGCAAACAACCCTTGCGCGACCGGCGCGCGTGGCGCCGTCGCCGCGTCGCGAGCGATCCGGATGATATCGACGAGTTTGTTCGCGGCCATCGCACGCACCGGACACCGTCGTGGGGTTGTTGGGGGCCCGCTTGTCCACCACGGGCTTGGCCTGCTTCGACTTGCCCCCCACCTTCGCCGTCACCGTCAGCTCAGCCTTGCGCGACACCACGCGGGCCTGCTTCGCGTGCGTCACCCGCGCGCCGGTGAAGCTGCTGCTCGCCATGCTGGCCGCCCGCGACCGCACGTCCGCGGTAGCAGGGGTCGCCGCACCCACCATGCTCTTCATCGTGCCGAGTCCCGGAACCAGGCAGCTAGTCGTCTCTGCACAGAGACCCTGCGTTCGTGCGGCGGTACGCGCCGCGCCGCGCCCACTGAGCCCGCATCGCGCCGGCGGGCGCCAGCGCAGGGCTTGCAGGGGGTCCCCCTTGACAGTTGGGTCGGACGTGCAGGTCTCGCGCGGGAACGTGTGTGCGGCGCGCGCGGGGGATGACTGTGTACTTGCTGGTGGCGGAAAACGTGCAGCGCTGTCACATCACCGCTATCTAGGGGAGCGAGCACGTAGGAAGACAGCACACGGAAACAACGGAAGACGCGAGCCGTACAAGCGGAACCGGCCGTGTCTTGGCGGTTCAGCGCCTCTGATCCAACGGTCAGGCGCCTCGAACGGTCACTCGAACCGTTCCGCCGGCGAAGCGTCGGCAGCGGCATCGATCCCAAGCACATCGCCCTCTAGTGCGCCGTCCTCTGCTGTGCTCGCCTGCTCGGCAAACATGAGGGCTGGCGGCCTTGCCCTGACTTCGAGGTGAGCGGAGCCGACGGCCGAGCCCGCACGCCGTCGCGCACAGCCACCCTGACCCCGCCCAGCATATCTGTTGCAGCATCAGCGCTCTCTGCCGCAGTCACCCGACCATGTCTCACGTGGCTCCGACCCCACCAGATACATGCGTCTTCGAACACGCTTGCGACGCGCTTTGTGCGCATGTTGAAGCTGATAGCGCCCTCCAGGCCCCCCGCCCTGCTCTGGATCGCCGGCGATGGCACCCCCGCCGTGTCCCGCGGCGCGGCAACATCGCTTTCAGTCGGCGCTGACGTCCGCGAGACACCATCACCCGCCGACGCCCTGCGCCCCTCCCGCCTGTGTGTGCGGCGCCTGCGCGGCATTCACGCCCCGCTAAATCACCGCCATATCTGTCCGGGCGCGGTGGCGCGCGCCGCGACACAGCGGCTTGCCTGCCCCCGGCGACCTCCCACTGGCTCGACCATCTGGCTGCCCGTTCTGCAGGCCCAGCGTAGGCGGGCCGCGGTCGCCCCATGGTCGGAGCGGCTCGCTCACTGGCTCCGGAGCGCGCCGGTGTGTGTGTGCGCGCGCGGTGGACGCGCACGGCGCGCAAGACCTCCTCGCGACGTCCTCCGCGGTGGTCGACTTCCTCGCTGCGCAGCTCCATGGCCTCCCGCCCCTCGCCGACGTCGCCGCCCAGGCAAGCCGACCCCACCCAGTGCGTTGTGGGCACCACGCGCCCCCGCCTCCGTCGCAGCGCCGCTCGCAGCCCCCGCCCCCGCCTTCTGCGACGCGGTCGCCCCGTGCGCCTCCCCGCAGGCCGCGGACTCCCCCGCGACCAAGACGGACTGGCTGACGCCCCTGGGCGACGGGTTCGAGACGGTGCTGACTACGATCGAGGCGCAGCTGGCGGCGCGCGGCGTGCCGTACGCGTACGGGTGGTCGATCATCGCGCTGACGCTCGTGGTGAAGGTTCTGACGACCCCGCTGACGAAGCAGCAGGTGGAGTCGAGCCTGGCGATGCAGGAGCTGAAGCCGCGCGTGGACGCGATCCGCGAGCGGTACGGCGAGGACAAGGACCGCGTGAGCCGCGAGACGAGCATCTTGTACGAGGAGGCCGGGGTGAACCCGCTCGCCGGGTGCCTCCCCACGCTGGCCACCATCCCCATCTTCTGGGGGCTCTTCCGCTCGCTCAGCAACATCTCCGCGAAGGGGGAGTTCGCCGGGGCCGGGTTCTACTGGATCCCGAACCTCACGGGCCCGACCAGCGTGGCGGAGCGCGCGTCCGGGGCGGGCACGGCCTGGCTGTTTCCGTTCGTCGACGGACAGCCCCCCATCGGCTGGGAGGACGCGGCCAAGTACCTGGTCCTGCCCGTGGGGCTCGTCATCATGCAGTACATCTCGACCTCGATCCTGAGCCCGCCCGTCGACGAGGAGGACGAGAACCAGAAGGCGACGGCCATCCTGGTCAAGCTGCTGCCACTCATGCTGGGCTGGTTCGCGCTCAACGTGCCGTCAGGCATCTCGCTCTACTACTTCTCCAACACGGTGCTGACCACTGCGCAGCAGATCTACCTGCGCAAGCTCGGCGGCGCGGCCACCACGGTGGACGCAAGCAAGCTGGACGCCGTTGGTGCGCACCTACGCGACGCGCGTGCCCGGCGACCTGCCTGCGCTGCTGGCGTGCTCGCGGCAGAGAGAGCCGAAGCGTGTATCCTCTGACCCCGCCGCACTGGCGCCCGGGTTGTTGCGCAGGGACTGCTGTCAGGAGTGGTCAGGCTGCCGAGCAGTCCTACGAGGACGCGCAGACGCCTGACGTCAGCATGGACCTGACGGAGGCGAACGACGCGATGCAGGTGTGCTGCAGTGCCGTCGCTCGCGCACGGGCGCGGAAGGTCGCAGCCGCAGGCAACCCGAAGGCTGCAGCACAACTCATGGCATCGGCCGACTTCGTTGTTCCGCAGGGGGGCGAGGGATCGGAGGCCATGACGGCCGCAGCGGCCGTGTCGGGGCCAATGCCGAATCTGCGTTGCAAGCGCAAGCGTGCGGGCGCGGGCGTCTTCGACGGGCTCGGCATGGAAGCCTAGCGCGTGTCGCCAGCACTCGAGGCGCGGGGTTCTGTGTGAGCATCTCACAGGTCGCAGCCGCCCCAGGCATCGTGGCAACGACGTCCGCTCGTCCCAGCGTCCCCAGCGTCATCGCGCCCCCGACCTCACTTGCCCTCCTCAGAGGTCTTGCTCTTGCCCGACCGGTTCTTGGTGTCGCTGCGCCGGTGCGCCGTGAAGGCCATCGCGAACGCCCCGAAGAACTGCGCGTGTACGTTGAATTGCGGCGGCGCAGTGATCTCCCAGTCCGAGGGCGGGACGCCGCCCTCCGCGAAGAAGCGCTCCGCCCAGCGGCGGTGGTACTGCCGCATGAGGACGAAGTCGGCCGAGCCCGCGATGGTCTCGACGACGGGCAGGAGCATGTACGCGTCCCGCCCGTCCGCGCGGTACGCCGCGGCCACCTGCGCAGCCCCCTCGTCAATGTGCCGCCACCGGTCCTCCCGCTGGTCGTAGTCCAGCACGAACGCACCCTTGACGTCGCGGACCCAGAACACGCTGCGGAGCACACGGACCGACGACGCGCGACGATCGGCAAACGGCGCGCAAGGAAGCGGCCATGCAGGGTGGGCCGGGGCGGTGCGGACCTTTGCAGATAGTGTCGCGTGCCCCCGGGCGCGGAGCACGCCCTGGCGAGCGCGTGGAACTCCTTGGGTCCGAACAGGTCGCAGCAGTTGCTCCAAGACATCGAGGTGGGCCGCATCGAGGCAATGCGCTCCGCCACGCCTCGCTTCCGTTTCTCCACGCAGGCGTGCTCGACCTCGAGCGAGAGCGCCCCGCCAGCGACCGCGTCCGCCATCGCCTGGATGCGGTCCAGCAGGATGTCGGTCACCACCGACACTGCGCCAACGCTGTCGCTGCGGGTGCGCATCTTCGCGCTGAGCTCTTCGATCCCGACCGAGTCGAAGATCGTCTCGGTCTTGGATACCCGCGGCGTACCAGGCGGCAGGGCCCAGACGACGGGGCTGCCGACCTCGCCGCTGCCGCCCACCTCCCCAGTGAGCGCGTACGTGATGTGCTCGTGGCAGTCGCGCTTGAGCTTCCAGTTCCCGAACTTCGCCGTGATGCCCTCCTCCTCGACGAAGGTCCTGCGCGCCGCCCGCAGCGACACGTCGTCGTGGTGCCGCCACCACGTCAGGTACTCCATGACAGACTTGGGGTGCCACGACGCCATCGCAGGGTCGTCCACGAGCGCCTTGACCGCCTCGCGGAACCGCGCGAGCGCCCCCTTCGTCCACGACGTGCTGTACCACACCTGCAGCACGTCCCGCGCGACCCCCTGCCCCTGCCCCGCCGACGCCTGCTGCATCATCTCGATGATCACCGCCGCCTTGGCCACGTTGTACGAGCACGCGTCGAACCCGACCCAGCGCACCGGCTCGCTCGCGCGACTCTCGTCCCGCGCGGGCGCGAACCCCATCTGCGCCGCCTGCGCGATCCAGCTCAGGTCCAGGAAGCCCACACCCACGTGGATGTCGCCGCGGTGCAGCTTCTCCGCCGGCCGCAGCAGCGCGGGGACGGAGGGCTCGAGGACGGTCTCGTGCACCTGCGGGCTGATCAGCGGCCGCGCGTGGAAGCGCACGTCGCCCACCTGGGCCTGCAGCCACCACTGCACACGGTCCATCGTCAGCGCGTCCTCGGGCCGCACGCCGAGGCGCGCCGGGATGGCCGCGGACATCATCGCGGGGTGCGAAGACAGCGAGGCGTACAGGTCCACGAGGTCGTTGTTCGTGAGGATGTCCATCTTGCGCTGCTGCGCGATCAGGGCGCGGCACGCGGCGACGTCGCAGTGCGCCGGCCACTGCCCCGCGCGCTCGTACGACCGGTGGTACGCCCGGATGTCGCGGCGCGGCACCGGCTGGTGGATGCCCATCGCGCGGAGGGCGTCGGGCGGCGGCGTCATCTGCAGCACGTCCGCGTTCTCCGCCTCGAACGCCGTGTCCGGCGGAACCTCCGGGCCGCTGTCGTCGAAGTCGTCGCTCTCCGGCGCAGGCGGCGGAGCGCTGCTCTGGCTCGGTCCCGCCGACGCGTCCGGCGCGGGCGGCTGGCCGCCAGCAGCGTTGCCCAGGCGGCTGGTGATCGCGCTGCGCGCCTCCGCGTCCAGCGCACCGATCGGTGCGAGCGCGGCCTCCTTGCGCCACCCGAGGTCCAGCAGCGCGCAGGCGAACCGGTACTGCGCCTTGGCGTGCCCCGCGCGCAGGCACATCGACGCCGCGGCGTCGGAGACGGCCTGCAGGGGCTCCCCGCTCTTCAGACGGCACATCGCGCGGTTCGACAGCACCGCCGCGGCGCCGGGGAAGTGCGCGAGCACGTCGCGGTACTCCTTCCCGGCGAGCTCGTAGTCGCCCGACTTGTACAGGTCGTTGCCGCTGGCCTTGCCCTCCGCGCGGAGCGGCGCGAGCTCGTCCTCGGACTTGGCCTCGATGGCGCGGAACTTCGCCTCGTCCGCGGCGGAGGGCTGCGGGGGGAAGCACGCCCCGGGCTCCTTGGCCATCAGCCGCAGTGCCGTGCGCAGGGCCTCCTGCTCGCCGGCGGGGCGCCCGCCGCGCTGCTTCATGCGGCCGAGCAGCTCCTCGACCGCGAGGTCCCTCTTCCCGACGGTCATGCGCCGCGTCTGGTCGCACATGAAGAGCCCCGCATCCGTCAGGTCGAGCCTCTCCAGCGCCGTCGCGGCCCTGAAGTAGGCCTTCGGGTTCTTCGGATCGACCGCGCGGCCGGCCATGGCCATGGCGAGCGCCGCGAGGGGCCGGTCGCGCGCGAGCTCGGTCGCGGACAGGTTCAGGAGCGTTGTCGACAGGACCTTGTCTGCGTCGTGGCGCTCGAGGCTGCTGGTGTAGCTCGCGACGGCCTTGGCGTACTGCCCGCCGACGAACAGCTCGTTGCCCTCCGCGCGGTACTCCTCCGCGCTCTTCAGCTTCTCGGGGCTCTTGGCGCGCTCCTGGGGGGCCTCCGAGTCCTCAAACACCACCGACCTGCGCGCCGGGAACGATGCGGGAGCGTCGCGGGGGCGTCGCAGAGACACCTGCGCGGGCGCGGGGCGCCGCGTGCGGCCGTGCGCGCCCAGGGGGGGGGTGTTGCTTACTTGGGGTTGTCCACGCGGACGCCCGTGCTGGTGTCCGCGAACACTTTGTACAACGGCTCCACGATCGCCACCTTCCGGCCCTGGCGGAACGCGTGCAGCGGCGACCCGCCCTCCGCGAGCGCCTCGGGGTTGTAGATCCCGCACTTGATGACGTCACCCACCTCGTCCTCCAGGACCGTCTGGAGCGCGCGCACCTGGAACGGGCTGACGACGAGCGTCCCGCGCAGCACCTTGCCGTCGTGCACCGTGCCCGTGGCCGTGGGCGACCGCAGCTCCCCGACGCGGACGGGGGTGCACGAGGACACGGGCGGCACACGCCTGCCCGGGTTGGGCGCGCCGGCCGGCGTCGTGGGGAGCACCGCCCCGTACCCCTGCCTGTTGCGTACGCTGTTGAACTGCGCGAGGGCTGCGTTGTGCTCGCTGATCGTGGCCTGGCGCTGGCTGGGGCTCTGGGAGGCCTTGCGGGGTGCGCTGGGGGCCGGGCCGGGGGCCGGCGCGCTTCCGCCCGGCTGATTGAACATTGTGACGTTCGAGACATTGAAGCCCGCGCTCCCGAACGCCTGCTGCATGGCCGAGAAGGCCCCGTCGGGCGCCGCGCTGGCCGTGGTGCCTGGAGCAGCGTTCAGCACAGTGTTGATGATCTCCTGCTGGACCGGAGTCATGCCAGAGGCCTGGTTGCCGTCCCTGGACGCCGCTCCATTGGAGGGGCCGTTGGATCCCCCCGTGCGGCCCCGCTTGTTCTTCTTGCGCGATCCCGCCATGATGATGGTCCGGCAGAGGGACGTCGGCGATGCGCGAAACGCAGCCTGATAGGCCTGCGAAGGACCAACAGTAGGCGGATCGAGGAGCGGCGTCACGGCAGGCGGGGCAATTCGCGGGCGCCGAGGGTAGGGTGCTCTGCATCAATCATCAAAGCGAACGTGTGCATCGCCCCTCCCCAGCAGGCCCAGGAGGCGTCGCTCCGCCAGCCTCACGGTCATGTCAATGCGCAGGAGCAGCAGGGTCGGGTTTTTGTTCCTGCCAGTCGTTACCTGGCTGCTGACGGAGCTGAACTCTCTGCCAGCCCCACAAGGTCGCAAGCTCACTGGGAGCCGGAGTGAACGTCGAGGAGCTCGCCAGTGCGGCAGCGTCGGCCGCTCGCCAGGGTCACGAGGGGCGGAGCGGTCGGTCCGGGAAGAGAGATCCCCAACGCACCAAGCACGTCAGCAGACCCGGCAGCCGCGAACCCCCCCCGACGAGTGGCCTGCCCCGCGGGTGCCTGCCGCACTAAACATTGCGCTTCGATCATCTGGGCGGGCGCGCACGGCGGCTATTGTCAGCGGGCGCACACTGGAGGGCTCAGGGCGCGGCCAGGTGGCGCGGGGGGCCGGGTGGGGCGAGCTAGGGCGCGATGGGATTCAAGCTGTTCGAATTCGTTCCTCCGTCGGACGACTACGAGTCCGACGGCGATGACGCCGGGGCTCGTGTGGGGCGAGTTCCGCCGTGGAACGGTGCGTACAGGGAACGCTGCGCCGCGTGCTGCCCGCGGGCCGCAACGCGAGTTTCCGACCAGGTGCTCGCCCGTGATGCGTCTCCCATGCAGGTGAGCGTGCCGCTGAGATCAATGGGGCGGCGGGCGGCGCGGTCGAGGCGGGAGCTCCTGCTCTAGCAGCAGCCCCGTCGTCGGCACCGGATGGCGGTAAAGAGCAGCCTCTTCAAGGCGGACCGCCGTACGACGAAGTACTCTTCCCTCTCTGGCCACGGGTGCGCCTGGTGTGCGGTCGCACGCGCCCGCTGCAACACCAACGAGGAACTTTACTGCAGCGCTCCCGGCTCGGCTCTGGACGCCCCGCACACACACCGCTGCACCTCTGCGGCATGAACCGCACATGGACAACCGAGCATGTGCGTCGACGCCCGCGTGCCGGCCCCGAGCAACCTGTGTGCGGCGTCCATGTGCCTTGGACTGCGTGCAGGGCGACGGGTCGGATCCCTGCGACTCCTGGGCGCCCGTGGACGGCCCGGGGAGCCTGCACCCTCTCATAGAAGCCGCGTGCGACGTGGCAGTGGACGAGCTCGCCGACGCCATCCTGGGCCTGCCTGGCACGTCGCCGCTTCAAGCCGAGATCCACACGGCGACGAAACACAGGAACGTCGAGGAGACGCAGTGGGCGCCGAGGACGCCGGCGGGGTGAGTCCAGCGCCGGGCCCCGAGGTCGACCGGACCGCCGTGCTGCGGCACAACAACGACGAGCGCATGTTGTTTCTGTCGCGCGTCTGTGCGAATCCCCGCGAGCGGTGTGCGCGCCCCGCAGGATGGAGTGGGAGCGGATGGTGTCGTTCTTCGAGGGCGGTGGGTACAGGGTGCGAGAGTGCCAGCGGTGGCTGGTGAAGCGGCCGGGAGTGCTGCACGTGTTCACGGCCTCGGTGCAGACGTTCGCGCCTTACTGCGACAAGATGCGCACGATGCTGCTGTACGAGATGGTCGGCATCGGGCCGCAGAAGGTGCGACGGCCCTGCAGCGGGCGGCGGGCCATCCGTCGCGCGCGTGCTGCCTGCGACGCGGTGAGCGAGGGCCGAGCGTTTGGCGTGCGACTCGTGCTCACCTGCCTGCGCCCGCACACACGCGTCGCAGACTCTTTTGCGCATCCGGTACTACACCAAGTTCATAGCGCCGGTCAACGGCATGCTCCGCGGCATCATCAACAACGGAGCAGGGAAGGGGCTTCGCAACAGTTTTGCGGCCAGCAAGGGCGTCATCTACGCACGATACCCGTGCACCGACGACGCGGCGACCCTGGCGTCAGCTTGGGCGCAGGCTCGCGGCGTCCTGTCCCCTGGCGCACCAGCAGCAGCTGCAGTACCAGCGGTGCCAGCCGTCAAGGCGCCACCTCCGAGAGCGCCGCCCAGCACGGTGAGTCGCGGCCGCACGGCCACGAACGCGCCGCGACAGAAACGACGCTCCGTTCTGCCTTTGCGTCCCTGCAACAGACGTCCGTTGCATGCTTGGCAACACGCGCACGGGCCGCTCGGTGTGCTCGCAGACGGCGATACTGGCGGCCGCCGTTGTCGCGGGTGTCGCGGTGGGCTCCGTGGCGTACTGGCTGAGCTCGACGCCCGAGCGGCGCTCCATGGTGTCGGCGTGGAGGTCCACCATCACAGACGCTGCTCTCGCGGTGCGCAACCCGTTCAACCTTGGTCTGGCGTCGACGGCGCAGCAGTGAGGCTGCGAGCGCGTCCTGTTGTTGCCGGGCCGCGTGCGCGGTCGGCTGTGTCGATGAGCGGTGTGATGCACTCCCGTGAAGTGATGAGGCCCTGTACCCTGCGACCACCGCACGTGCAGGCCAGGGCGACGGCGCACGGCGCCTGGGCTCGCGTTCCGCGCGCGAACGTCGCCCGCCAGGCCGGCGCGCGGTGGAGCATGACGCTCAACATGGTCAAAACGCAAGCCCGGTCTCACCCGCTCATGACGGACTTCCTGCGCGCCGAAGTCTGGTTCTCGCTCGGGGGACTTCTCGTCGGCCTGCTCCTCGTCGCCGCCAACCGCGCCCTCGGCATTCCCAGCGGCCGCGGCAACACCACCGCGCAGAGACCAAGCACGGTCCCCACGCCGCCGACGCCGACCGGCACGCCGCGGGACTCCGCCACGGAGATCCGCTTGGACGCGGTGCAGGTCCGGCCCCGCGCCCCCGGGGCACCAACCGCCCACGCTTGCAACATCCACGGCACGAGGCACGCTGCCGCTGCTGAGCCGTCGTCGACAGCGCGCCGCTTCTCGCAGGGCGAAGCCGCGACGTCGCCTGGCACGCACAGCAGCCCAGGGACGCCGCCGTCCAGCAAGGGGCGCCGGAGTCGCCTAGCAACTAGTTCAGGGACGCCCGGCAAATCGCCGGCACGTCCGTCGCCGCTGCGGCTGCAATTCAAGGCCGGCGGCGGCTGGGAAATCGATATGTAGCGACCGAGGCACTGGTATGTAGCGGCCGAGGTGGCCTTGCGGCAGCGGCAGGTGTCCTGCGGGTGCAGCATGTGACGTGGGTGCCTCCCTCGCCCAGTTGCTCGGTCCAGTCCTGGCACCGACGCGTGATCGTCTACGGGGCTCGCGAGGCAGGGCCGCACGTGCGGTCGACGCGGGGACGCGCGCGGCCCGGCACCGCCCGCCCGACTAGGGCTCCTCCCTTCGGGACTCCCCCTGCCGGCCGTTCCCGCGCGTCGGGGCCTCGATGCGCGCTCCCACAGCGCTAGTGGGTCAATTTGGAGTAGGCCTCCTATCGGATCCCGGCTGCGAAGAGTTTTCCGGTCCGCGCGCGAGTGGTCAACGGCTACCGACTCGAGCAAGGCGTTCAGCGAGGCTCGACGGTGCACACGGGCCCGCGCGCTGTTGCGTGCCTGCACGAACGAGTTTCGTCAAGATGTGGCTCGGCGGCTGGGTGTCTCACCCTTGGACGGTGAGCAAGAAGCACCAGACGCTGGTGAACCAGAACAGGTGCGCGCTGGCGGCCTCTACCGGCTGTACGTAGTGGTGTCTGCACCCGAAATCGTCTCTCAAAGACAAGGTCTGGCCGTGTGTTCATTTGAGATCCGAACGACGGCAGCGCGCGGGGCGAACGACGGGCGCGTCGCTGTTGACGAGCACGGGCTCGACCGGACTCGTCAGCGCGAAAGCGGGCATCTCGCTCGATGAGGCAGCTTAGTTTTGATCCATGTTTGCAGGCAAGAATGGTCGGGCCGCACGTCCAGGCGCTCGGTCGAGGAGAACGGCTATTCGGCGAAGCGGTCAAGCGAGACGGGCAGCCGCGCGGCTGCGAAGGCGGCGACGAACGGCGCGGCGTCAGAGGGCGGTACCGAGAATGCCCTCCCCGGAGTCGCGCTCATCGTGCTCGGCATGCAGGTGCGTGTGCGCCCCGCGCACGAATCAGTTCTGCCACCTCTACCAGACATAGGCCCCGCCCAGGCGCCGTACATCCCCTGCGGCGCGGCGTACGACGCGCCCCCGGTCTCTCCCGTGCCCGTTCGCGACGTCGCGCCGCGTGGCTCTCCCTGGTCGCCCGCGGCGACGCTTATCTGATGATGCTGAGTGTACCCGCAACTGCCGTGGTCGGTCGCGCGCAGGAGATGCGCCGCGAGCTCGCGACGAAGAACTGCGTCAAGGCCATCAAGGACTTGCTCAAGTGGAGCCACAAGAACACGGACAAGATCCACACCAACGTGTTCACGCTGGAGACGTCGCGTGAGCTCAAGGTCAACGCCCCGCACCGCCCGCGCCGCGCGCCGCGCTGCCGGCCCTCGGACGGCCCGCGAGCCCCCCGGGGCCCCGCTGATCGCCTCTGCCGAGCTGTTCCGAACCCGACGCGCGCCCGCGACGCCCGCCGCAGGACGCGTCGCGGTGCAACACGATCAAGGAGGTGGCGCGCCTGATGCGGCCGTCGGACAAGGTGCTCCGCATCCTCAACTCCGGCGTCGACGGACAGGCCCCGAGCCTCCAGGACCTGCGCGGCATGCTCCAGGACTACGCCATCGGCACGGTGTTCGTGTGCGGCGTGCTGGAGAAGTCGTGGGCTGCTGCGCTGGCGAAGGACCTGGGCGACAAGTTCCGCATCGTCGCGGTGCCCGAGGCCATCGCCGCCTACGACCTGGTGCGCCCCCGCCTGGCCGTGCCGCACGCGCCGGCGCCCGCCCCCTCCGGTTCCCCGGGGGGCAGCTGCTGCCTGTGGTGCGCCCCGGCAACCACGACGAGTGCCCTGACCGCCCCCAGCTGGCTGCGCGTGCATGCAGACGGGCGTCCCCGTGGCCGACCTCGCGCGGTTCTTCGAGGAGGAGGACTTCGGGCAGGAGGTGAACTACCTCAGTGTGCGCGAGCTGACCCAGCAGGGCAACCGCGGCAGCCTGGACGGCGCGGGGCACGCGGCCCACGAGGCGCCGGACACGCGCAGGGACAAGCCGCCGAAGAAGGAGAAGCCGCCGAAGAAGGAGAAGCCGAAGAAGCAGACGTCGCAGCTCGCGAAGGCTCCGACGCAGAACCAGATGATGGAGCAGGCCAAGCTCTTCGAGCAGCACATGATGCAGCAGCACAACTACGAGCAGCAGCAGGCCATGGCGCAGCAGCAGCAGATCCTGCAGCAGCAGCAGTACATGCAGTCGCCCCAGGCGCAGCAGCAGGCCATGATGTCGGAGGCTGCCCAGCAGCAGTACCAGCAGTTCATGCAGCAGCAGTACGCGCAGCAGCAGCAGTACATGCAGCAGCAGCAGTACGCGCAGCAGCAGTTCATGCAGCAGCAGCAGCAGGAGCAGCAGGAGCAGCAGCAGCACCTGCAGGCCATGGAGGCGGGCCCGAGCGGCGTCAACTCGGCCGGACCTATCCCTGCGATCTGAGGCGGACACACCGGCAAGGCGGGCGGGCGCGCGAGAGCGCATCGTGCCTGCCCCGGGCCCACGCATTGGCGGCGTGATAGGGGCGAGCGCAACTCGAATTTGTGGTTGCCCTGGTTGCGCTGCAGAGTTACACCGAAGCACGCGAATTGCAAACCTAGCTGATGCCAACCACGTCGATTCGATCCCCGTTCCACCGGCTGGCAGACCATGACGCTCCGTTGACTAAGAGCACCGTGTCAGGTCGTGAAGTACCGGTTGGATCCGTGTCAGTGCATGTGAGGAGCATCTTGCGCAGGTGTCAATCACTTGTTCTGCGGGTGTGCCAGTCTGAGTCTCGTCTGCCGTACCTTTTCGGTCGCTCAAGCGCCTTGTAGGATGGCGAAGTACAACAACCATTTCGGTCGCTCAATCATCCACGCGGCGAGGTCAGCGAATCACGAAGTCACCACTTTCATGCGGTCGCGACCCTCTCTTCGCAGCGAGACTCACGCCCAAACGCCGCGATCATGCCCACCTGCCGTGCCCCAGCCCCAACAATCAAAACAGGCGAGGCGTGGGTGTCGACTCTCCATGGTGTCGACCCTCCGCCGCGTCGATGCTCACTGCCGCGCCTTCCCTTGGTCATTCCGACCTCGGACCGCATTCGACACGTTTCGTCGTACTGCACGCCCATGACACGGTGCTTCAGTACACCGTGTAGAGCAGTATCGCTACGGAGCTTCGCTTCCCCGCGCACGCAACGCGCGATGACGTCGCGCAAGCCCCCCGCCTACTGCGCTGGCCACAGGCCTGCCGCGCGGTGCACGTCCCCCGTCCGGGACGCGGGCTCGACAGCCCGTACAGCACGACCCGGCGCCTCACGCAGTCGCCGCGCGCGCAGCAGTGCGCGCCCGCGCCCACGCTTGCCGGTCCGCGCCCCCGTGCCGCGCGAGGGATCGCAGGGACCGTCCCGCACCTTGGCGCGTCCTCCGGCGGCGATTTACGCACCCACAGGCGCCCACATCCCCCCGCTGACTCAGCGTGCAGCACACTCCCCCGGGCCGTTTCTCGCGCGGCCCGCCCGCGCACATCGGCCGGTCGCGCGCCCTCCCGTCCCACTCGACGAGCCCTGCGGTTCCAAGGAGCGGACGCGCGCCCACAGAGCCCCCCCGCGCCCCCGCGACGGCACATGTTGCAGAGCCCCGCCACGACGATGCATCGCGCCCCGACAGCCCCGGGCCCCGCGCCCTGCCGGCGCCCGGTCCTGCGACGCTCCGCGCTGCACGGCAGCCGCAGAGCGCGCGCGTGCGGCCCGCGGCGGCCCCGCATGTCCCCCGCGCGCGCCTCCCCGCAGCAGAGCTCCTCATGCGAGTGCTGCGAACGCATCCTGCGCTACACCGACGGCACCGTCCGAACCATCCGCTACCCCTGCCCGGACAAGGACAGCTCGCCGGAGCCCCGCGCGCGCGCGTCGCTGCCGCCGGGCGTGGGCGGCGACGGGGCCTCGGCAGCGCAGACCATGCGCCGAATGCCGCGCCCCTCGTGGCCGGCCGGAGACGTCGCCGGGGGCTCCGCGACCCCGACGGCGGGGCGCGACACCACGGCTGCGAGCGCGCCCGCGAGCGCCGCGCCCGAGGCGAAGCCCGCCTGGAACGCGGCGGCCGAGTTCCTGAGCTACGTCGGCACTGACGAGTACAAGGAGGCGCGCAGGGCCGAGTGGCGCAAGGTGAGGCCCGGCGAGCGCGCCCGACGATCGCCTGCCGATGCATGCGTGCGGGGGCGGGGTCGATCCGGCGTGGCACCGGGTGGCGTGTTGCTGGGAGCGCGTACCCTTGTTGAGCGCGGGATGCCCGCCCCAACTGCAACCGCGCGGGAGGCGGCCGCGGGGCGCGCGGGCCGGTCAGTGGGCGCCGCGTGGGCGGGGGACGCACGGGTCCGGCGACTGGCGCTGACGCGCGGCCGCATGTCGGTGTTTCCGTGTCCGCAGGTGCGCGCCTCGTATGAGGTGTGCAACGGGTGCCCGTTCGTGATGACGAAGCCGCTGTACGTGCTCTCGGTCGGGAGGTCGGCGCAGGACGCAGACTACGGTCGGGGGTACACCATCAGGACGGAGGTCGCGGACACGAACGAGCAGGTGCGGCGCGCGAGGTCTTGGGAGCACAGAGTCCCTGCGCGCAGCCCCCCGTCACGCGTCGCGCTTGCGTCGAACGCGGCGCCCGTGTCTCCCTGCAGGCGGACGAGATGGCGCGCGTGCTCCAGCTCAAGAACCAGAAGGAGGGCGAGGCGCCCATCCTGCGGGTGCGAAGGATGCTGGACGGGCTCGTGGTGTTCGAGGGCGAGGACGACGCGCAGCAGTTCGCCGAGTACCTCGAGGACGACGGCCACCTCGACGTCGCGGTCGCCAGGTGCGCGGGCACGTTCGCGGTCGCCCGTCCTGATGTTCCTCCAACGTGGAGGGCGGCCGAGACGCGCCGACCGCCGACTCGAGGCAATTTATACCGCGCCAGCCGCGTTCCGCGGGCCCACAGACGTCGGCTCATTCGTTCGGCGCCGCTCGCCCTTCCTCGCGTGGGCCGTTCCCCGCCCCGCCCCGCCCTGAGCCTGGCAAACACGCGCCCCGCCTCCCCTGTGCGCAGCGTCGATGCGCACGAGCTGTTCCGCATGACGAACGACGTCAAGGCTGTCGTCGTCCTGTTCCGCGAGGGCAACTACATTCCGAGCATCTCGCAGCTGACGGTGTGCCCCACCTCGGCCAGTGCTCCCCTCGCCCGCACTCCCCGCCGCGGCCGCGCGACGCCGCAGCCATGCAGCAGCACCAAGGTCTCTCCACGACCATCGGCACCGCCCGTCGCGACACGTCCCCGCCGACCGCGTTTCCTCCGCAGGTGGCCCTGAACGGGGGGAGAACGAACAACCCGCTGGAAACGTCGTCGTTCGACGACATCTGACATCTGACGCGCCCCGCACCCACGCTGCGACCGCGCCCCGCTCGCCGTCCGCCAGCGCTCGCTGGGCCCGGCGCCTGTCGCCACTACGGCACCCCCCTGTACATTCGCACACACGCGCGCGCAGCAGCTGCACCTCGTCGCGCCACGCAGCCGAACGACAATGTAACACCGGCCTGTGCCCGCGCCCCCGCCCGCTGGCTGGGAACCAACAACAACTCACGCGGCCGCCGCAGAGGGGCCGCGCGCTGACCCTGCTCACGGTATCTGCACCGGGCCCGCCCCGTTGAGGTGCTGCACGCGCCGCCACTCCCACACCGTCGTCAGCGTCCCGCCCTCCTCCGGCCGCGACTCCACCGTGTCGAACGTCTCCGCCGGCAGCCCGCCCACCATGCACCGCGCCCTGTGCACAATGTAGGTGCACCGCACGCCGGGGTAGCTCCGCGCGTCCTCCACAGTCTCCGTCCGCGAGTAGCTGCTCTCGTCCAGGTCCACCTGCAGCGGGCGGCGAAATGCTCCTCGCGTCTGCCGCCCGCGCCGCGAGTCTCAACAGCACAGCGTCCACTCCTCGTGCCGGGGCGCCGTCGCTCCGGGCGCCGCGCACCTCGAGCCACCCGTTGATGGCGGGCCCCAGCTCCTCCTCGATCGCCCGCTGGACGGCGTGCTGCCAGAACTCGCCCACGACGAGCTTCTCGGACAAGACCACGTTGCGCTCGCGGATGCGGCCGTCGGGGAGGATCTGCCGCACCTGCAGGCACGGCACGTCGAGCGAGGCGTTGCGCACTGCGGGGCGGGCTCCACCGGTGTCGCGCAGGGCGCGCTTGGTGTCACGGGGGTCGCAGTATGAGACGCTCTCTTGGGAGACGGGGCAGGGACGACGAGAGCACCGCCGCTCGCAGGACGCTGCGCGGGTGGCGGTGCTGGCGCAGTGCGATCGACGCGGGGCGGCTGGGGAGCGCCGCGCCCTTGGCTGTCGGGCGCGTGGTTCCGTGCTCAGCAACAGAGAGCGGGCCCGGCGTGCTGCCGCGCGGACCTGCGCCGCCCGCTCCGACACGGGGCGGTGGCCACGTCCGGCGGCCGCCGGGGCGGTCGCGCGCACCTCGTAAAGCAGCAGCCCCGGGTCTTCTGGCGGCCACACTGCGAGCGTGAGCACCTCCACCAGCCTGGACACCACGCCGTCCTTCACCTCGAGCCGTGACTCGCCCTTCGTCACTTCGTCGGCCAGTCGTGCTACTGACTTGTAGCCCCCCGTGCCCCACTGGTCCACTGAGACCCCCCGTTCGGTGAGCCACGTCTCCAGTTCTGCGGCCGTTCCTCGACTCGGGAACCTATCCGGGACGGCCGCCGTGCTCATTCGCCCTCGTGTCCGGACGAGAGAGGCGTGAGGAAGCGGCCGATCTGTCGGTCCTGTGCGCACGTGCGAGGGCCCGTTCGGAGTGCGACGGTGCAACTGGCAGCGTGCAGCAGAGCAGTCGGCCCTTCGAAACACGCGCATGAGCGGCGCGTTCTCTCCAGACTCCGCGCACAGCTCCGGAACAATCGGGAGGCGCGCAGCGGCCCCGCCATTGTGCACACGAACCCTCCGTGCGATGCCACGGCACAGTACAACCAGTCTGTCATAGAGGCCGCCCGAGTCCACATACCCCTCGCTGCTGAGAGCCCTTTCATCGCGCCCGCGGCCGCACGGCACGTGCATTCAAACACACACATCTGCGAACGTGTTCGGCCCACATTCGCAGCAGGATTCCCCGCGGAACTCATGCGGACCCCTTGCCGCGCGTCCGTGGCGGCTGCGCGGAGGCTGCTGCGGCGCCGCGCATCCCAGGCGACCTCCGTGAATCCTCGAGGCGCGTGTACGAGGGCGCACGCCGCCGGGGGCGCGCATCGCCGCGACTGGGATGGGCTAGCCTCGTGGCGGAGCGCTGGGCTGGATGAGCGGCGATTCTGGGGGCCGGGGGAGTCGGAGCTGCAGCCCGGGACTGCAGTAGCGGAGCCGTGCGGGCCGCTCGCGGCTGAAATCGGCCAATACGCGGACATGGACGCTCCCGCCAGCATAGCCGAGGCCTGCGACAGGGTACTGCGCTGCTCGGACCCCATTGAAAAGGCGTCCCTGGCGCACATCGCGTACCAAGGTGCGTTCCGTTCTCCTCCAAGCGAAGCGCAGCCGCTCTCGATCCGCGAGAAACCCGTCCCAGCGGCGCCTCCCAGAGCCAGTGGTGCTCGCTGTCCTCGCGCTAACCGCAGAATTGGTGGCGCGCGGGCTTCCGGTCGGGTCCAGCGTTGGTCCTGTCGACTATCCCGCTCGCCCCGAGCGCCCGAAGCTCGTCCAGACCATCCGCGAGGTGCCCACTGTCGACGAGGCGGACATGCACCCATCAGCCCACTGCCTCCACCTCCTGGCGCACATCGAGCTCAACGCCATCGACCTCGCGTGCGACACCGCAGCGCGCTTCGCGCACCTCCGGGTGCGCCGCCCCCCCGCCCTCCGCGCCGCGCCCACCGCCGACGCCCCCGCAGTGAATGAGACCCCCGCGCGAGACACGCGCCGCGGGCGTGCTGCGCCCAGCTAGGACGTCGCCGACCGCCTCCCCCGCGCGCCGTCGCTCGCAGCTGCCGCCGGATTTCTACGCCGACTTTCTGCGCGTTGCTGCGGACGAGGCGCGGCACTTCGGGTGGGTGGAGCAGCGGATGCGCGAGCTGGGGTCGCGGTACGGCGACATCAACGCGCACGATCTCCTCTGGCAGGGGTGCGCCAAGTCCTCGGGGGACGTCCGGCAGCGCCTCGCGGCCATCCCGATGTCGCAGGAGGCGCGGGGGCTCGACGCGGGCCCGCGGCTGGCCAAGCGGCTCGGGCGCAAGGAGGGGGACTGGCGGTCGTCGGCCATCGTGCGGCGGATCGCGGAGGAGGAGCGCGCGCACGTGGCGATCGGCGTGTCGTGGTTTGTGCGCGTGTGCGACGCACTCGGGGAGCGCGACTACGGCGAGGCCTTTCGCGCGGACATGCGGGCGGCGGGGCTGGTGGACGTCCTGCGCGGGCCGTTCAACCACGGGGCGCGCGCGGAAGTGGGCATGGACCGCGCGTGGTACGACAAGGAGATGTGGGGGCACGACGAGGCGGGCGCGTGCATCTCGCGGGGGCTGTCGAGGGAGGACCTCGAGGTGCTGCGGCATCGCATGTCGGGGCTGATCGGCGCCGAGCACGCCGCGGCTGCGTGAGGCGGTGTGACAGCGCCTCGCGCAGTAGTGGGAGGGGGACCGCTCGACGGGGCGCCCCCCGCGACCTGCTCGCGCCCAAGGCAACCCGCACGGGTCGCTCGGGACGATCCCTCGCGAAGCACGCAGTCGCGCGGGTCGCATCGCACCGTTGAGGCGGTTCGTGCACCGTCTGCCTGATCATTTTCCATGGGGGGAGTGGCGGCCCGGGCTCACTGGCAGCCCTCGGTGCCGACGGAGCACACTTCTCTGAGTGTACGGTGCACGGAACACTGGAGCGGTGCCCGGTCTGGAGTCGTAAACGTCGCATCGGCATCTCCGAACTTCTTCGCTGTTGAGCGGCTCACGCAGCTCCTTCTGAATGCTCAGCCCGACTCTCGCGTTGCCTGCCCTAGTATCAATCTTCTTTCTGAATCCGTTGAATCTCTTGCGTGTGTTGAACCCCGTGCGCTTCGCGCGCCTCTCGCCACCAGACGCGCAGGATGCCATACCACCGCGGACTACGTGCGACCCGGCCTTCTGGTGCGACTCCGGCGCGGTGTGCAGCAGGGTCTGCGCACAAGGGTCAGTGCAGGTCGATCCCTGGCTCGCGTGGGCTGCGCGCTGGCAGGCCACACACCAGAGCGCTACGGCTGGTGTTTGCGAGATGCAGCTGCTGGGCTCGCACAACTCAGCCATCACGACAGCCGCGGGCTTCGGTAACCGGGACCTGATCTGGTCCGCCGCGCTGCCGCGCTCGCTTCCAGCGGAGCGCCGTCGCGTGCTGACCGCGAGCCAACGTCTGTCCATCTTCGATCAGCTCTCACTCGGGGTCCGCGCAATCGAGATCGACGTGCACGCCTTCGGTCCCACTGGGCCGCTGCGGGTAGCGCACTGCGGCGGGCTGGACGGTCCGATCGCGTGGCCTCTGAACGGCGGCGCGTTTCTGTTGAAGTGGGTGCTGCGGACGCTGCATGTGGGGGTGGACTGGGGATGGAGAGCGCGGGAGATCGGCTGCGAGCCAGGGTTCAGCTCGGTACCGACGCGTGAGCAGCAGCACGCAGCGTCTGCGGTTGCGGAGGTCGGGCGCTGGTTGCAGGCGAACAAGGACCAGCTGGTGGTGCTTTTCTTCGACGACGACGGGGACCTCGACTCGCACGGGCGCCTGGTCGAGATGGAGAACATCCTGGACCAGACGATCGGGCTGTCGAAGGTCCGGACGTGCCGCACCGCTGCCCGACCAGGCAAAGGACCGTTTCTTCTTTTCGTGACGTGCAGTGCATTGTGCGTCGGCGCCGCAGGTAGTCTCGCGCGAGGACGTTCACCGGTGGACGAACGGTACGTTCACGGCGTGGCCGACAGGCGCGCGGATCATTAGCGAGGGCAAATCTGTCATCGTGTACAAAGGGTGGGGTGCCAGGGACAGACCGCCATCGGAGTACATCCTGTCGAGACGGGAAATGTGCGCGCTGCAGGAACCGAAGCTACAGCAGTTCAAGGTGCGCATCTGCCGATCGGTCGTGCAGCTCCGTGCAGGCAGACCGTTGCCAACAACAACAGTTTTGGACTTGCCTGATGGGATCCGATCCAGTCATGAGTCAGCGTCTCAGATCAATCCTCCCCTACTGCAGCCCTATCCGTTGTGTACCTGTGGCCACGGCGGTCCGTGCGGCGGGGCCGCGCAGTGGACGCGCCTGCACAGCTGCGAGGTTCAGTACGGCCCATGGAACTGCGGCTTCCACCTGAGGTCGGTTCAAGAGACCCCCCTCCTCGACGAAGAGAGCATCCCACAGGCACTCGCGTGCGGTGTGTCGGTCGTGTCGCCGGACTTCATCACGCCGGAGCGAGCTGCAGCTGGAATTTGGAGTTGGGCTCCGGGCCACCCAGGGCAGGGCGTGGCTGCCGGCGAGCTGTGTGCAGCCGCTTCCGCGCAGGACGGGCGGTGGCGCACCATCGCGTGTAGCATGGTGTTGCCAGCCGCTTGTCAGAGCGTCGATCCGACGCCGTCAGACGGCGGATGGGCAGTGTCCGGGCTGTCAGGGTCGCAGGAAGAGGCGGTGCGGAGCTGTCCGCAGGGCTTCCGCGCTGCCGTGCCGCGGACGCCAAGGGAGAATGCGCTGCTGCGAGAATGCCTGCGCGAGAGCGATGCAGCGGCAGCGTGGTTACCGCTCACCGGCGCCTCGAACTGGAGTTGAGCCTCTCGATGCCGAGAAGAAGGAATCCAGACGAACCACATGGTCGTTTCGGAGCAGCTTCTGTGCGGCGGGACCGTAGTCCGATTGTAACACGTCACAGCTTGCAACCCTCACGGCCATCTTGCGCGCTGTCGCGCGTTGCCCGCGCCTGCCTCCCAGCATGGCAGTCTCGTACCTCCGCGTGCTGCCGAAGACGAACAACGTCAACGACCACGCTGACCCCGCAAAAACGCGAGGCATTAGTGTCGCCCCTACGCTGACGCGCCTGTACGCCAAGGTCCTTGTAGCCAAGGTCGAACGCGCGGTGGCCCACAGCCGCGACGACTCCCAAATGGGATTCCGCCCCAAGCGCAACACGATCCTGGCCGCGTTTAACGTGCAGACCGCTATTGACGTTGCAACGCGGAAGCGCCTATCGGGCCTCCCAGAGGACTACCCCCGGTCCCTGTACGTTGCGCTCCTCGACATCGCCAAGGCGTACGATTCGGTGCCCCACGAGGTGCTGTGGAAGTGCCTTGAGGCCGCGGGCGTCCCCCCCGACGTGCTTTCCGCCCTGCAGGCGTACTACGCGTGCACCGAACTGCAACTCACCATCGATGGGCAGCCTTCCGGCGCCCCCATTCCACAGACCATCGGGGTCAAACAAGGCTGCCCGGCGTCCTGCACCCTGTTCACCCTCGTTATGGACGATCTAGCCCGATACCTTCATGCAAAACACCCAAACCAGGGCTTTCCCCTCCCGACCACTCCCCGCCCATCGGGCTCTGACACCTGCGGAGCCGCGACACGCAACCTCTTGATGTCCCTGTTCGCAGACGATGCGGCCCTTATCGAACGCACGGCAGAAGGCCTCCAACGACTGCTCACCAGCACTTGCCGCTGGGCGTGCTCGGCAGGCCTCCGCCTGGCCCCCAAAAAGTCCACCTTTCTCTCGTTCGGGGACACCCCCCGTACCACGACCCTGACCATGTTCACCCGTATCGACCCCGCCACCGGCCTCGTTGCCAAGCAGCACAACATTGCCCCCTGCAAAAGCTGCAAGTATCTGGGCATCACCCTTGGCCAAGACAAGGGCCGACCACCGGGTGTATCGTCGCACATGTCCACCGCGGGCGACAAGTCCCGGAAGGCAATGTACAGCCTGTCGAAACGCTGCTGGCAGACGGGAATCTTTGACCCCCTCCTGCAATCTGCCCTCTTCAAGACATACGTCACACCGGTGTCGACGTACGGCTGCGAACTCTGGTCACCACGCCTCGGCCTCAAGCCGCTGCGGGACCTTGACGGCCGCCTGACACGCATCCCGTCCCAACACCCCGCGCGCGCCCAGCGTGCATTTCTCGCCTCCCTCATATCCACCGCCAACCAGCGGATCACTTCCTGCTACAAGACGCCGCCCGAGCTGCTCTTCCGCGAGTTCGGGGCTCTTCCCCTCGAAGCGACGTTGTGGGCCCGTAACTTCGACTTTTGGGACTCGTTGACGAAGCTGCTGTACACAGCGCGAACGAACCCGACCTTGCCCCCCGACTTCCCGCACATGACGGTCCGGGCGTTCACCGCGCAGCTGCTGCTCGCGGCGGAGCCCGATTCCGACGCGTTCGTCAGCCACCCTCCAGCAGGAGACACGGCGGAGGGCGACGCGACATCGTCGAGCGCCGCACGGATGGGCCGCCCCCGTGCGGCTCAGCCGGACCCGTCGGACGACACGGACGACGACGACGGAGCTGCACCGCCGGGCCAACAGCGGCGACTACGACAACTTCAACTCCCCCCGCACATGCAGCCGGGCCGGCGCGACGCAGGAGCACGGACCGCCGCGCGCCGAGACCACGCAGCTCGGGCCACCCGAGGCAGGGGACGTGCAGCACGGGGCGGCCGCACACCATCTCGATCGCGGCCCTCGCTACCACCGGCATCCCGCAGCACTGAATCGAACCGCTTGACTGTTCGCACGCTGGACCGGACCACGCGAGGGGGATCCCGCGCTACACCGAGGCCGAACTACTGCGAGGACTCCTCGGCTGCCACTGGCGACGACAGCGAATCAGAGTATGAGGGGTCGCACAACGCTACTGCGTCTTCAACGACCTCCCTAACGGACTCGGATGAGCCGGGCCAGCGGTCGCAGCCACGGAGCACCCGGGGACGGGGGCGAGGCGGACGATCACGGGGTCGCGGGCGGCGCGGGGGAGGCAGGAGCGGCGCGGGCCGACGGGGACTACGCACGACGTCGACAACTCGTACGAGCACAAGGCGCGCCGAACCCGCAGCCCACCGCCTCCGCAAACGCGAGCTACCGTGGGCAGCGCACATCGCGGCGGCCATCACTCAGATAGGCGGCACGCCAGGGACCCCGCAGCAGCCACACCCTGCACCTGCTATGGGCAGGGTACGAAAGATCGCTCAGGTCGTGCTGCCGGACCACGAGCCCGCGGCAACCCCGGATCCCCGGACCGAGGTCACTCAGCACGGGCTTGGCCGCACACGGGCCAGGTACGCCTGGTGGTGCCAGCCACCACCGCGCACCATCCCTCCACATCTGCTCGACACCGCGATCTACCACGCGGACCGCCGTGCCCTGTCCCGCCTGCGTGTGGGAGCTACGAGGCTGCGCACCTCCACGATGGCCATGGCGGACCAGGAGCAGCAGTGGCAACACACACCGCTGTCGCACCCGTCGAAAGTCTGCCGCTTCTGCGCGGACGTGGCGGCATCGCCCGCCCCGGAGGACCTCCGCCACCTGCTGCTGGACTGCTGCGCCCCAGCGGTACGCTCTCTCCGGGAACGAGCGGGTCTGGCCATGGACTCGTCTGGGCAGCTCACGCTGCCACCCCCGCCTGCTGCCGATGCGCCCCTGTCGTCCACGGCAACTGTTGGACAGCGCCGCCGCTTCGCTCTCAACCGCCGGCTACGCCAGCACCTCGAGGACCTGTACGGCGCTGCAACACTCGACTCGGAAGCCGCTGCCAACGCTGCAGTGCGTTATCTCCTGAACCTGCCGAATCAGCGAGGCATGGCGATCTTTGCTCGTGGCATCGAGGATCTGCTCCAGGCCGACTCTGTCACAGCTGCCGAATCTGTTGCTACCATAACGGTGGGGGGTTAGCATGACTCGCCACCTAGTCGAATGATCTTTTCAGGTCTCAAAGCCTTATGGCTGACGACGCGAAGAATGTGACACCTCACCTCACCTCAGCGGCAAATGACCACGTCATCCGTATGCTTCTCTCCAGTCCCCCGCCTTCGCCTTCCCCTCCACATATACTTTGCCCGGCGCTCGGGTCCTCGGCTTCCGTCCGTCGAACCCCGGCAGGTTGGCGGTGTCATCTTCCACGCGCTCAACCCGCAGCGCATATGACGGCAGCCGCTGCACGCCAAGGACGAAGACCACGGACCCGACGATCAGTCCCAGCGCCGTGATGCTGAACCCGACCCAGAAGTAGAAGAGCGCGTCGTCCACCGCGTCGCAGTCGTTTTCCACCACCTCCACACACAGCTCCGCGACGACGGAGCACCCGCTCAGGTACGCCAGCGGAGCCAGAGCGCCGCCCGTCGGCGTCGTGAACGTGTCGATGACGGTCCGCGTCGCGTTGTCCTTCCCACCTGCAACGCAGGCCGTGACAGACCAGCGCACAGTCAGCGCCAGCCCTCGAGAGACGGTGCCACGCGCGGCGTGCTACTTCGCCGCGCTTTCACCCAGCGCGACGGATCTGGGGGCACTCACGAAGGGAGAGCCACAGGCCGTCGAGGAGGCGTGCGTCCTGCGCGCACGTGTCCCGGTCCGTCGACGCCGTGCACCGGTACTCCCCGAAGCGTTCCGGGAACTGGCCCGCACGCACGCGCTGTGGCACTGGCGCATCGGCCGGCGGGGCGCCCAGTGGGCACGCGTTCGTCTGGAGCGAGTTCCGGTCGTACGGCTCGCACATGTACTGGATGCTGCGCGTGGGCTGCGGCGACCTGCGGGGGCGGGGCGCGGGCGCGGGCGCGGCGTGGGGCCGCTGCGTCGAGCGGCGGCGCGACCGGCGGGCGGCGGGCGGCGGGCGGCGCACCACTGCGGGTTGCTGTACTCGGCCTCGAGGCGCGAGTTCATCTCGAGGATCATCGCGTTGGCGACGGTCTTGGACTGCAAGATGGCGTTGTCGACGATGGAGGGGTCCGGGCAGGGGAAGAAGGTCTGCAGGCGGGCCTGCGCCGTGGTGGGGTCCGCGGCCACGCCGCGGCCCTCCATGCACATGTCGTCCCAGAAGGTGTGCAGCATGAGGCCGGTGCCTCCGAGCAGGAAGCTGATGAGCAGGAAGAAGGGGAAGAACGCCGCGGCGGTGGCCAGGAAGGTCGGCAGGTTGAAGACCGCGCCCACGGCGCCCACCACGGCCAGCCCCGCCACGATGGCGCTCACGCACAGCGTGGCGATGTAGATGCGCTCGAACGCCTCGTCGACGTTCTCGCGCTGCCCCTTGATCTTCGACGTCACGCGCGTGACCTCGGGCACCACCGAGTTGATCTGCGACCGCAGCTGCTGCAGGTTGGGGTCGTCGGCGCCCGCGTCCAGGTTGGCCGCCGCCGCGTCGGCGCCCGCGGATATCTGCACCGCGGACAGCTCCAGACGGTCGATCTGCGCCGCGACCGTGCCGACGAAGCCCTCGGAGACGTCGTCCTTGATCCCGGTCGACGACAGCCAGATGAAGGACGCGCCGACAAAGATGACGGCCGTCGTCATGAGGATCGCCGCGCGCAGGACGCCGCGCTGCCGGGACGAGTAGCCCTCGCGCTTGCCCGCGGGACAGAAGCTCTGCAAGAGCGTAGGGGGGCGGCTGGGCGCGAGGTGAGTGCTTGGGCGGCCTAAGAGGTGTGCGGACGGAATCTCAGTCGAGAAACGACGACTCCTCTGCCACATCTCAACCCCGAAGCAAGAGGAGCGATACAACCGGGATGGCCCCGACGAAGCCCGCATCCGAGGGCGCGGCGACGGGATTCCGTCGGAACCGCCGCGTGTCGCGCGGGCCGCGTGCGCGTGGCGAGACGCGGGTGCCAGCATGCCAGGTGGCCGACCCAGGGGCGCGAACGGAGGCGCGCAGAGACGCCGTCGCGCGCACGGAGTCGAAATTATGCAGTCCAGTGCGTCGCGCGGGGCCTCGGCGCGCGGTTCGCGGCTCCTCGCGCGCTGCCCTCGCTGCTGCAATGCAGCGCAGGAGCTAGCACGGCGTAGCGCGCAGTCGAACGCCCCGCTGGCGCGCACCTTTCCGCAGAAGCAGCAGCAGAAACGAGTGAGGAAGAAGAAGAACCACGCCAGGAAGCTCACGATGGCCAGTGCGTAGAACGGCAGCGCGACCCAGGCCAGCGACCCCCAGTACCCCTCCGTCGACGGGTCAAAGCCCCCGCGCCACGTGTTGAACCCGTTGGTGATATCCCTCCGATCCTCGTACTCGATTCTCTGCGCGGCGCACGCGTATGACCGAGCCGGTCAGCCCAGCCCAGCCCAGACCAGTGCCACCTGTAACGCCCGGTCCGCGGCACCTCCGCTCTACGGCACGGCCAGGGCGGCAGCCCGGACCGCATCCAGCGCGTGTTGCGACTCCGTTCGCACGCGGCCGCTGCGCGGCGCCGTCGAAACGAGCGGGCACGCAGGTGTGTGTGTCGCGCGCGATGCTCTTGGGTCGTGGGCGCACCACGAAGTTGGCCTGCAGCTGCCGCCCCGCGGCCGTGACACCCACTATACAGTCCAGAAGCGCGAGTCCGCCCGCGGGAGCTCCCACCGACCGGACGCGACGCCACATGGCGCCCTGCATTGCGCGCTACCAGCGCTCTCGCCGCGCTCCCACCTCGCGAGCGTGGTCGCGGGCGCCCCCCGCGCCCAGGACAGTGTCCTGCGACCCGGCTCCCGGCGCGCCAGAGAAGTCCGCGTCACGCTTCGAGCAATGTCGGCCGTTCCACTGGGGACGAGTGACGCCGCACCGCACTGCAGTAATTCGCGAGGATCAGCGCCGGAACGTGCGGTGGGACATGCTACCGCCGGAATGCGTCCGGTCACGCGCGCGGTGCTGCGATGGAGGCCGTGCGGGCCACGCGCGGGGGTGACAGACTGAGCAGGGTGCGACGACGCGTGCAGGGACGCGCGGCGTCAATGGGCGGCCGCGGTGGCGCCCCGGCCAACGCGACAACCTCTTGCACAGCATAGGTGGCGGAGCAATCTCCGCGACTGTAGAGCACGGCCATTGGGCAATGGCCGCATAGCGAGGGTGGCTCGAGTGCGCCCCTCTCGTACGGACCTCGCGGTCTGGCAATAGCATATCAGCACTCAATTAATACCTGACGGACTCGCGCGGTCGTCCTCCCGGAAACGGGCGTGAATCAGCGAGTTCGCCACAATGGTGAGGAGCACCTGTTTTAGTCCTGCGCCTCCGCACGCCCGGCCCGGACGCCCGCGCGCCCGCGAGCCACGCCGCAGCCTACACCGGTCGCTGCCGGCGCCGCACGGGCGCGCGGTGCCCGCGCCACGCCCTGCCACGGCGCCCAGATGCCGCCCCAAGCGGCCAGCCACTCGAGCATGCTCTGCGCCGCTGCGCGCCCGGCCGGGACGCTGGCGGCCCGCACGCGCGCCGCGCGGGCCCACGGCGTCCACCTGCGGCCCCGCGCCGGGTGCGGCCGGCTCAGGTGGCGCTGGGCGCGCAGGGGCGAGCGGCGTCCTCAGGGTGGAGCTGCCCGGTGGTCCTCGCTCCCCCGCACGGCCTGGGCGGGGCACTGCGCTGGATGCGCTACGCCGGGCTCGTCCCTTCCGTCGTCCACCATCTCCACGATCGCGCGCTTCCGCCTGATTCGCGCCCCGGTGGCGCCCACGGCGCGCTCCTTGCTCAAAGATCACTGACGCCCCGGTCCGTCTGGTGTGCGTGCTTGCGTGCAGAGCATCCGGTGGACGAAGCCCGAGCTCATCGGCGATCTGCCGTGCGCCCGATCCGGGCACACGCTCACGGCAGTTGGCTACAGGTGCGCGCTCGCCATGCCCGCCGAACTGCCATGCCGGGCCCGCTGGGCCGCCTCGCCGCGGGCGGCGCGTCCGGAACACTGGCCACGTCGCACTGACCGGCCACCTGGCCATGCGAATCGACGCCTCGCGCGGCGTTTGCGGCGCTCGGCGCGTCGTTGCGCGGTAGGATGTTGGAGGCTGGTCTGGACGGCGGCACAGCGCGCGATGCGACCGGTCCGCGTTGCCCGGCTCCTCGCAGGAACATTCTGTTCGGCGGCGTGGGGCGCGTGGGCGGCAAGCCCCAGACGCTGAACGACGTGTACACCCTGGAGGCCGGGGCAGCCAACGAGGGTGCGGGCGTCACCTTCAAGCAGCTCAAGGTCCACGGCGCCAGCCCGCAGCCGCGCTCGAAGCACGTTGCGGTCGCCCTGGACAACACGCACCTCCTCGTCTACGGCGGGCTGAACCACAAGACCCGCCTGAACGACGTGTGGGTGCTGGACATCATCTCGGGCAAGTGGACCGAGGTGACGCCCGAGAAGGGCCCCGAGCCGCGGTCGCACACGGCGGCGATGCTCGTGGACAAGAAGGTCTACATGTTCGGCGGCTACGGGGGCTCCGGGCGCACGTTCGGCGACCTGTGGACGCTGGCGGTGCCCGACAAGGTGGATGGCAGCGAGGCGTTCACGTGGTCCGAGGTGGAGCCGCAGGGCAAGGCCCCGTCGCCGCGGTTCTCGCACGCGATGGCTTACTTCCCCGTGGACGGGCACTGGCGCCTGGCGGTGTCGGGCGGGCGCGACCTGATGAGCATCCACACCGACTCGTTCGTGCTGGACATGGACACGGCGTCGTGGCTCGAGCGGCAGCTGCAGCCGCGGCAGGGCATGGGCAAGATGAACCTGCCGGTGTCCAACCACCTGTTCGACGCCATCGAGTCGGTCCCGTCGTGGAAGATCTTCACGCTGGGCGGCAAGCAGAGCACCATGTCCTTCCTGGGGCAGGTGGAGGTGATGGACGTGCAGGCGTCGCGCTGGACGACGCCCGAGGTGGCCGACTCGGCGGAGATCCCCGAGGCGCGCGAGGACTCGGCGTGGGTGTACGACCCCAAGTCGTGCAGCCTGGTGGTCTTCGGCGGGTGGGCCAACCGCTGGCTGGGCGACGCGTGGCTGCTCAACGTGTCGCCGATCATCGGCCCGCCGTACGCGTGCACGGGCGTCACGCCCGCGGTCGGGCCCGTGTTCGGGTCGACCGAGGTCACCATCAAGGGCCTGTCCTTCCGCGAGGGCAAGATCGAGGTGCGCTTCGGGTCCGGGAAGATGGCCGAGACGGTGCCCGGGAAGTTCGTCGACTCGGAGACCATCGTGTGCAGCACGCCGAACTTCGAGGCGTACGGGGCCTACCCCGTGGACGTGCGCGTGAACATTGGCGGCGACGGGTGGACGGTCAACAAGCTGAGCTTCAGCTACTTCGCCAACACCTCGGCGGCCAACTCGATGGCGTTCGGGCCGGGCGTGGGGTCCACGGACGTGCGCCACTCGCTCATCGCGGAGGACAAGGAGTACCCCAAGGTGGCCAGCTGCCTGGAGATGCCCGTCCTCATCCAGGCGCGCGACACGCTCAACGCCAAGCGCAGCACGGGCGCCGACCTCTTCGTCGTGACCGTCAAGTCCGAGGACGGCAAGGTCCAGGGCACCTCGCGCGTCGTGGACCTCGGCACGGGCGTGCACGAGGCCTTCTACACCGTCCCGGCCCCGGGGCGCTACGTCGTCGACATCCGGCTGTACGACCCCTCGGCAGAGCCCGGCGACACGCAGCACGGCGAGGAAGCCGGCGCAGGCGCAGGCGCAGAGCGCTCGGCGGCGGCGATGCTGCCCATCCGCGGGTCACCCTTCACGGTGGACGCGGTGGACCCCTTCGCGTACGCGACGCTCAAGGGCGAGGCCCCCGAGGCGCGCGACGGCATGACGGCCACGCCCATCGGGCGGCAGGTGGTGGTGGTCGGCGCGGACGACGACGCGAAGCACGCGTACGTGCTGTGGGCCGAGGCCGAGCTGGCGGACTGGCACTGGGAGAAGGAGCCCGTGGACGGCGACGGGCCCGAGCACTCGCGGTTGCACCACACGTGTACGCTTGTCGGGAAGGACAAGCTGTTCCTGGCCGGCGGCATCGACCCTGAGACCAAGACCGACACGCTCGACATGTACTACATCGAGAAGGACGAGCACGGGTGGACGTGGCACAGGCCGCCCAAGTTCGACCCCACGAACGTGGCGCACGCCGAGCCGTCCTTCATTCAGGAGGGCGAGATGGAAGGCGGCGACACCATGCACGGCAGCGGCGAGGGCGACGAGGAGGCCAAGGGGGGCGAGGACGCCCCAGCGGAGAATGGCGACGCCGAGAAGCCCGAGGGCGAGGACGCCCCCGCGGAGGACGGCGCCGCCGAGAAGCCCGAGGGCGAGGACGCGCCCGCGGAGGACGGAGCCGCCGAGAAGCCCGAGGGCGACGAGGGCGAGGGCGGCGACGAGGGCGAGGGCGGCGACGAGGGCGAGGGCGAGGGCGGCGCGGCCGAGGAGAAGCCCGAGAAGGTCCGCGTGCCACAGCCGGGCGACCAAGGGTCCGGGCGGTCGGCGCGCTCGCGCCACACGGGCATCTCCATCGACGGCGGCCTGCTGATGCTGGCCGGGGGCGTGGAGCACGAGCACATGGCCGGCTCGATGGTGTCGTACGACCTGGAGGGCGTGGCGAAGGAGGCCGGCCTGGAGGGCGTCGACGTGCCGGCGCGGTGCGGCGCCGCTGGCACGCACGTGCCCGGGGAGGACGGCGGGCACTTGGTGCTGTTTGGCGGCGAGGGCACGGACCAGGACGGCGAGAAGATGATGCTGAACGACGTGGTGCTCCTGCAGCCGAAGAAGCAGTACGTGAACGCCGCGGGCCGCATCCTGCAGCCCAAGTTCACCGTGTCGATCCCCACGTTCGAGGGCGCGGTGCCGGCGCCGCGGAAGGGCGCGGTGATGACCGTGATCCGCGGCACACAGACGCTGCTGGTGTACGGCGGCGTCGGCGCGGACGGCGCCCTGCTGCACGACGCGTGGATGCTGGACGTGGCGGCGCTGAAGTGGACCTTGGTGATGCAGGGCGCGCCGGACGCGGTGGCGAACCCGACGGTGGGCGCGTTCATCGGCACGCAGCTGGTGGTCATGCAGGGCGACGCGGAGACGCGCAGCAAGGCGCTGACGAAGTGCGCAGTGCTGGACCTGGAGAAGTCGCGCGCCAGCTGGTCGTTCGTGGCCAAGATGCGCAAGGACGTGGCCGGGCGGTTCGCGGCGCTGGACGAGTGGGTGGAGCGCCAGGGCGCGGGCCTGGACATGGCGCTGAACGTGGAGTCGCTGTCGGACAGCAAGGACAAGCAGTACAAGGTGGCGGAGGCCATGTACGAGGTGCTGGCGAAGAAGGAGTCGGTGGAGCTGGAGATGGACGCGCTGGCGGAGGTGTGCTCGCAGCTGTCGCGCGGCGGCGTACCGACGAAGAAGGAGGAGTCCGAGCTGGCCGACCTGCAGGAGCGCTGGCAGGAGATCAAGAAGGACGCCGTGGGGCAGGTGCTGAAGGACTTCGAGCCGTTCAAGAAGCAGCTGGTGGACGAGCTGCGCGACTCGTGCAAGGACTTCGAGCGCGGGAAGCTGCGGCAGTTCGCCAAGGCCTTCACGGAGCAGCCCTTCTTCAAGTACATGCCCGAGCGCGAGAAGGCCATCCCGATGCTGGACCAGACGAAGGAGGACCTGCTGAAGCTCAAGCAGGAGATCCTCGGCCTGCAGGGGTACGCGCACTGGTTCGCGATCCCGGAGATCGTGGAGCCGTCGGTGAACCAGATCAACAACCAGCTGACGGACATCAAGTCGATGCGCGACCTGTGGAGTCTCGCGGTGACGGTCGAGAACCAGTTCACGGCGTGGCGGCAGACGCTGTGGTCGGACGTGAACTGCGAGGAGATGGAGGACGGCGTCAAGGCCTTCGTGAAGAAGATCAAGGCGCTGGACAAGCGAATCAAGGACACGGCCGCGTACCAGGGCCTGGACCAGTCGGCGAAGAACTTCATGACCTCGGTGCCGCTGGTGGCGGACCTGCGGTCGGACGCGATGCGCCCGCGGCACTGGGACCAGCTCATGGAGGCCACGTCGAAGAAGTTCGTCATCGACGACAAGTTCAAGCTCGACGACCTGCTCGCGCTCGAGCTGCACAAGTTCGAGGAGGAGGTGGGCGAGATCGTGGATTGCGCGCAGAAGGAGGAGAAGATGGAGCAAAACCTGGCCAAGCTGGACGAGTCGTGGGCCAAGGTCGAGATGGTGTTCGCGCAGCACAAGAACTCGGACGTGCACACGGCCAAGCTCGGCGAGGACGACTTCGAGGCGCTCGAGGACAACCAGGTGCTGGTGCAGGGCATGATGGCCAACCGGTACATGGCCACCTTCCGCGACCGCATCCTCGGGTGGAACCAGCGCCTGATGAACGTGTACGACGTCAACCAGCTGCTGACGGAGATCCAGCGCACGTGGGCGCACCTCGAGTCGCTGTTCATGGACTCGGAGGAGGTGAAGAAGGAGCTCCCGGAGGCCACCGAGCGCTTCGTGGGCATCGACCGCGACGTGCGCGCCATCCTGCGCGACATGTTCGCCACCAAGAACGCCGTGGCGTGCTGCAACAAGGAGGGCCTCATCGCACGCCTGGAGAAGCTGCAGAGCCAGCTCGAGCTGTGCGAGAAGGCGCTGCTCGAGTACATGGAGGCCAAGCGCCGCGCCTTCCCGCGGTTCTACTTCGTGTCGCAGAACGACCTCCTGGACATCCTGTCCAACGGCAACAACCCCGTCAAGGTCATGAAGCACACGTCCAAGATCTTCCAGGCCATCGACTCGCTCAAGCTCGACACCAGCGACCCGCCCGCGGGCCAGCGCCCCAAGGGCCTGGGCATGAATTCATGCGTGGGCGTGGAGTACGTGGCCTTCAAGACGCCGCTGCCGCTCGAGGGCAAGGTGGAGCACTACATGAACGACATGATCAAGAAGATGCGCGACGAGCTCCGCGTGATCCTGTCGGACTCCGTGGCGGCGTACCCGAAGAAGGCGCGCCACGAGTGGCTGTTCGACTGGCCCTCGCAGATCATCCTGGTGGTCAACCAGATCTTCTGGTGCCAGGAGGTGGAGAAGGCCTTCACGGACATGAAGTCGCAGAAGGGCGCGCTGGCCAAGTACAACGAGTTCCAGGTCGACCAGCTGACGAAGCTCATCGAGGTCACGCGCACCGACCTGGCCAAGCCCGACCGGCAGAAGGTCATGAACATGATCACCATCGACGCGCACTCGCGCGACATCATCGCGCAGATCGTCGAGTCCGGCGCGGACGCGGCCGACTGCTTCCAGTGGACCATCCAGCTCCGGACCTACTGGCAGCAGGACATCGCCGACTCCCGCATCCGCATCTGCGACGCCGTGTTCCCCTACGGCTACGAGTACCTCGGCAACGGCCCGCGCCTCGTCATCACGCCGCTGACGGATCGCATCTACATCACGGCCACGCAGGCCTGCTGGTTGTGCATGGGCACGGCGCCCGCGGGCCCCGCCGGCACGGGCAAGACGGAGACCACCAAGGACCTGTCGGCGCAGCTGGGCAAGTCGATCTACGTCTTCAACTGCGCGCCCGAGATGGACTACCGCACGCTGCAGGCCATCTTCAACGGCCTCGCCGCGTCGGGCTCGTGGGGTTGCTTCGACGAGTTCAACCGCCTGGTGCCGGAGGTGCTGTCGGTGTGCAGTGTGCAGTACAAGTGCGTCATCGACGCGCAGCGTAAGAAGGCCGCGCTCCCCGGCCGCGGCCTGGAGTACATCGACAAGGAGGGCAAGAAGCACCCCGCCATCGACTCGTGGACGTACCTCACTGCCGAGGGAATCGAGATGCCGCTCGAGGAGGGCTGCTCGGCGTTCATCACCATGAACCCGGGCTACATCGGGCGCGCGGAGCTCCCCGAGTCGCTCAAGGCGCTGTTCCGGCCCATCACCGTGGTGGTGCCCGACCGGCAGCTCATCATGGAGAACATGCTCATGGCGGAGGGCTTCGTCGAGGCCAAGATGCTCGCGAAGAAGTTCGCCGCGCTCTACTACCTCCTCGAGGACCTCCTGTCGCCGCAGAAGCACTACGACTGGGGCCTGCGCGCCATCAAGTCGGTGCTGGTCGTGGCCGGCTCGCTGCTGCGTGCCGAGGAGGGGCAAGTCGAGGCGGACGTGCTGTACCGCGCCCTGCGCGACTTCAACATCCCCAAGATCCTCGCGCAGGACATGGTGGTGTTCATGGGCCTGCTGACCGACCTGTTCCCGGGCATTGACCCCCCGCGCAAGCGCGACCCGGAGTTCGAGCGCGTGATCGTCGAGGAGGCCGAGAAGCTCGGGCTCACGGCCGAGGACGACTTCGTGCTGCGCGTGGTGCAGCTCTCGGAGCTGCTGGCCATCCGGCACTGCGTCTTCTTGATGGGCCCCACGGGCAGCGGGCGCACGGAGGTGTACCGCACGCTGGCCAAGGCCATCACGACGGGCACGGACGAGCCGCAGAACGACTACCTGAAGATGTTCAACCGCATGCGCGTGCACGTCAAGGACCTCAACCCCAAGTCGGTGTCGACGCAGGAGCTGTACGGGTTCGTCAACATGGCCACGCGCGAGTGGAAGGACGGCCTGCTGTCGTGCTTCATGCGCGACTTCGCCAACATGGAGGGCGAGGACCCGAAGTGGCTGCTCCTGGACGGCGACCTCGACGCCAACTGGATCGAGTCGATGAACTCCGTGATGGACGACAACCGCCTGCTGACGCTCCCGTCGAACGAGCGCATCCGCGTGACGCCGTCGATGAAACTGATCTTCGAGATCCGCGACCTCAAGTTCGCCACGCCCGCCACGGCTACGCGCGCGGGCATCTTGTACGTGTCGGAGGCGCAGCAGTGGCACAACATGACCATGTCGTGGTGCGATCGCACCATCCCGGGCTTCGCGGAGAAGGCCAAGCTCAAGGACGGCGACAAGGTGCTGACGACGATCAAGGGCCTGTTCGAGAAGTACGTGCCGGACACCATCTTCGAGATGAAGAAGTCGTACCAGCACATCACGCCACTCAACACCATGAACTGGGTCACGTCGCTGGTCAACATCCTCGAGGGCTGCTACACGCCCGCCAACATCGGCGCCGGGTCGGACCCCGGCATCTACGAGCTGTACTTCGTGTTTGCCATGATCTGGGCCTTTGGCGGCGCGCTGTGCGAGAAGGACGGCATCAACTACCGGAAGAACTTCGACCGGTGGTGGAAGTCCAAGTTCACCACGGTGCGGTTCCCGGGCAAGGGCACGGTGTACGACTTCTTCGTGGACGCCAAGAAGGCCAAGTTCGGCAACTGGTCGGACTTGGTGGAGGAAGTGTCGTTCAACTCGAAGACGACGGGCATGGGCTCGGTGTTCGTGCCGACGCCCGAGACCTCGTCGCTGTCGTTCTTCCTGGACATGATGATCGACGCCAAGAAGCCCATCATGTTCGTGGGTGGCGCGGGCGTGGGCAAGACGCAGCTGGTCAAGGGCAAGCTCGACGGGCTGGACCTCGAGGAGTACGTGTCGCAGGGCATCAACTTCAACTACTTCAGCGACGTGAGCGCCATCCAGAAGATCATGGAGAGCCCGCTGGAGAAGAAGGCCGGCATCAACTACGGGCCGCCGGGGCAGAAGAAGCTGGTGTACTTCGTTGATGACATGAACATGCCCAAGCTCGACCCGTACGAGACGGCCATGCCCATCTCGCTCATCCGGCAGCACCTGGGCTGGGGCCACTGGTACGACCGCGCCAAGCTGACGCAGAAGAACATCAACGGGACGCAGTACGTGGCGTGCATGAACCCCACGGCGGGGTCGTTCATCATCAACCCGCGCCTGCAGCGCCTGTTCATGACGCTCGCCATGGACTTCCCCAGCCAGGAGTCGCTCATGAGCATCTACGGCACCTTCCTGCGCGGGCACCTCCAGCACTTCGACGCGTCCGTCCAGGAGCTCGAGACCAAGCTCCTGCAGGCCGCGCTCGCGCTGCACGAGAAGGTCTCGACGACGTTCCGCAAGACGGCCATCAACTTCCACTACGAGTTCACCGTGCGGCACCTTGCCAACGTCTTCCAGGGCCTCCTCATGTCCACGCCGGACCAGTTCAGCACCGCGAACAAGTTCGTCAAGCTCTGGCTGCACGAGTCGGAGCGCGTGTACTCGGACCGCCTGGTGTCGCCCGACGACCTGCAGGCCTACCAGAAGGCCACGGAGGCCATCACGCGCCGGTTCTTCAGCGACGCGGACGACATCGGCGAGTACTTCAAGAAGGATGGCGGGAAACCGCTCATCTTCAGCCACTTCGCGCACGGCATGGGCGAGAAGCTGTACGACTCGATCGACACGTACGACCGCCTGTCCAAGCTCCTCACGGACGCGCTGAAGGAGTACAACGAGACGAACCCGGTGATGGACCTCGTCCTGTTCGAGGACGCAATGAAGCACGTGTGCCGCATCAGCCGTATCATCTCGAACGTCGGCGGCCACGCCCTGCTGGTGGGTGTGGGCGGGTCCGGCAAGCAGTCGCTGTCGCGCCTGGCGGCGTACATGTGCGGCTACTCGACGTCGATGATCGTCATCTCGGGCAACTACGGCCTGAACAACTTCCGCGAGGACCTGCAGAAGATGTACAAGAAGGCGGGCGTGAAGCAGGAGGGCATCGCCTTCCTGTTCACGGACTCGCAGATCGTGGACGACCGCATGCTGGTGTTCATCAACGACCTGCTGTCCTCGGGCGAGATCCCCGACCTGTTCCCGGTGGAGGACCGCGACGAGATCATCAACCAGATGCGCGGCGAGACCAAGGGGCGCGGGCTGGTCGACACCAACGAGAACTGCTGGGCCACCTTCATCCAGTGCGTGCGCGAGAACCTGCACATGTGCTTCACCGCTTCGCCCGTCGGCGACAACTTCCGCGTCCGCTCGCAGCGCTTCCTGGCCACCATCAACTCCACGGTGATCGACTGGTTCCAGCCGTGGCCCGAGCGCTCCCTGCACTCGGTCGCGCGCAAGTTCCTCGACGAGGTCAAGTTCGTGAACGACCAGATCAAGTCCGCCGCCGTCGAGTTCATGCCCTTCTCGTTCAGCAGCGTCAACGCCATGTCAAAGACGTTCCTCGAGCGCGAGCGGCGGTTCAACTACACCACGCCCAAGTCTTTCCTCGAGCTGATCAAGCTGTACAAGTCCCTGCTCGCGAACAAGCGGCAGACGGTGTCGGAGGGCATCGAGCGCCTGGAGGTGGGTCTGGAGAAGCTCAACAAGACCAAGGCCGAGGTGGACGTGCTGATCGAGGAGGCCAAGCAGAAGGCGGTCGAGGTGGAGCAGAAGGTGGAGAGCGCGAACAAGTTCGCGGAGGAGGTGGGCGTCGAGAAGGAGAAGGTCAACAAGGAGAACGAGTCCGCGCAGGTCGAGGCGGACAAGTGCGCGGAGATCCAGGCCGAGGTGTCCAAGATGCAGACGGACGCGCAGGCGGAGCTCGCGCTGGCCGAGCCCGCGCTGGCCGAGGCCGAGGCCGCGCTGAACACGCTCGACAAGAAGGACTTGCAGAACCTCAAGGCGCTGAAGAAGCCGCCCGCGGGCATCGACGACGTGACGGCGGTGTGCCTCATCCTGCTCGAGGGCAACCCGAAGGACAAGTCCTGGGGCGCCGCGCAGAAGGCGCTGTTCGGCGTGTCGGCGGACGTGCTCATCTCGCGCCTGAAGGGCTACAAGGACAAGATCGACGGCGGGGAGGTGCCGAAGAAGATCGTGGACGCGTGCCGGCCGTACCAGGAGCTCGAGCACATGAAGCCGGAGTTCGACATGACGAAGAAGTCCACCGCCGCGCAGGGCATCCGCGACTGGGCCAACGCCATCATCAAGTACTACGACGTGGTGTCCAAGGTCGAGCCGCTCAAGCAGGCGCTCGCGGAGGCCAACGAGCGCCTCGAGAGCGCCAACACCGCGCTCGCGGCCATCCAGGAGAAGGTCGCCGAGCTGAACGCCATGGTGGCGGAGCTCGAGCGCCAGTTTGACGAGGCCAACGCCGACAAGGAGGCGGCCATCCTGGAGAAGGAGCGGTGCGACCGGAAGCTCAACCTCGCGAACCGCCTCATCAGCGCGCTGGCGTCTGAGGGCGAGCGCTGGGCGGTGACGGTCGAGGAGCTGAAGCGGTCGTATGCCGTGCTGACGGGCGACATGCTGCTGTCGGCCGCGTTCGTGTCGTACGCCGGGCCGTTCACGAGCAAGTACCGCCAGGAGCTGACGAAGACGTGGATGAACTGGCTGAAGGAGAAGGCGCTGCCGATGACGGAGGGCATCACGGACCCGCTCAAGGTGATGGTGGACGACGCGGCCATCGCCGGGTGGGTGTCGGAGGGCCTGCCGTCGGACCCGACGTCGGTGCAGAACGGCACGATTCTGACGAACTCGGAGCGGTGGCCGCTGATGATGGACCCGCAGCTGCAGGGCATTGCGTGGATCAAGGAGCGGGAGTCGAAGAACAACCTGCAGGTGCTGCGCATGGGCGCGCCGTCGATGATGGTGGCGATGGAGCGCGCGATCGAGGCCGGGCACTCGGTGCTGATCGAGAACATGGCCGAGACGATCGACGCGGTGCTGACGCCGGTCATCACGCGCTCGACGTACAAGAAGGGCCGCTCGTTCTACGTGAAGATCGGCGACAAGGACGTGGAGTACAACAAGAACTTCCGCCTCTTTCTGCACACGAAGCTGTCCAACCCGCACTACCCGCCGGAGGTCCAGGCCGAGACCACGCTGATCAACTTCACGGTCACGGAGAAGGGCCTTGAGGACCAGCTGCTGGCGCTGGTGGTGAACAAGGAGCGCCCGGAGCTGGAGTCGACCAAGACGCAGCTGATCGTGCAGAACAACGAGTTCACCATCCGCCTGAAGGAGCTCGAGGACTCGCTGCTCTACAAGCTGTCGACGGCGCAGGGGGACATCACCGAGGACGTGGCGCTCATCGAGTCGCTCGAGGAGTCGAAGCGCGTGGCCGACGACATCACGGAGAAGGTCGCGGAGGCCAAGGAGACGGAGACGATCATCAACGAGGCCCGCGAGAAGTACCGCCCTTGCGCGGCGCGTGGTGCCATGCTCTTCTTCCTGCTCAACTCGCTGGGCAAGATCCACGCTTTCTACCAGTTCTCGCTCAACGCGTTCGTGTCGGTGTTCTCCCGCGGCATCGACATGACGGGCCTCGACGACGGCGTCAGCATCGCCAAGGCGCGCTTCATGAACGCCGCGCGCAAGGTCATTTCCGGGCAGTCGTTCGACTGGAACGTCGACATGATCAAGACGATGACGCCCAAGATCTCCGACCTCAAGCACAAGCACGACGAGGCGCTCAAGGAGTCGGGCAAGACGGTCGACCAGGAGGAGGTGGTCAAGATCGACCTCGACGACCTGAAGAAGAAGGAGCTCGCGCCCGAGGAGCTGCAGGCGCGCCTCACCGCGCTGCTCGAGAGCACGACGTACACCGTCTTCGAGTACACGCGCCGCGGGCTGTTCGACCGCGACAAGCTCACCGTGGCCTCGATGCTGGCCTTCAACATCCGCCTGCGCGCGGGGGCGATCGAGGCGGACGAGTACGAGGCCCTGACGCAGGGCATCAAGTCCACGAACCCGCCGCCGATCACGGACGAGCTCTCGCACTGGCTCACGGACACGCAGTGGGCCGCGCTCGACCCCGTGAACAAGCTGGGCGCCTTCTCCGCGCTGACGCGCGACATGGAGAAGCACAGCAGCAAGTGGCAGAGGTGGTGCGAGCTGGAGGCGTGCGAGAAGCACGACATGCCGGGCGAGTGGGGCAAGCTGTCGCCCTTCCGCCGCCTGCTCATCATCCGCGCCCTGCGGCCCGACCGCGTGACCAACGCGCTGAGCCGGTACGTGGAGCAGGAGATGGGCGACAAGTACATCAACCAGATGGCCTTCCGCGCGAAGGACGTGATCATGGAGTCGCTCCCTTCGACCCCGATCTTCTTCATCCTGTTCCCCGGGTACTCCCCGTCCAAGGAGATCGAGGCGGAGGCGAAGAACTTCGGCAAGGACGTGGAGAACGGCAAGCTCACCATCATCTCCATGGGGCAGGGGCAGGAGAAGCCCGCGGAGCAGTGCCTCGACAAGTACATGCAGGAGGGCGGCTGGGTGTTTTTGGACAACGTGCACCTCATGCAGAACTGGATCCCGTCGCTGGAGCGCAAGCTCGAGCTGGCCGCGGAGAGCGCGCACGAGGAGTTCCGGTGCTTCTTCAGCGCGGAGCCCATCAACGGCGCGCCCCAGGCCAAGATCATCCCGGAGTCGATCCTGCAGGGGTGCATCAAGGTGTCCAACGAGCCGCCCGCGGACATGAAGTCCAACATGCGGCGCGCGCTCGCGGCCTTCTCCCAGGAGGACGTGGACCGCCTCTCGGACGAGACCAAGCAGACGGCGTACAAGTCGATCCTGTTCGGGCTGTGCTTCTACCACTCGCTGCTGCTGGGCCGCAAGAAGTTCGGCACGGGCATCGGGACCGGGTCCGGGTCCGGGATGGGCTTCTGCCGGAACTACTCGTTCAACATGGGCGACCTCGTCACGTGCGCGGACGTGCTCCGGAACTACCTGGAGGGCAACGCGGAGGTGCCGTGGGCCGACCTGCGCTACATGTTCGGCGAGGTGTTCTACGGCGGGCACATCACGGACGACATGGACCGCCGGTGCTGCAACACCTACCTCGAGGTCCTCGTCAAGCCCGAGATGCTCCCCCAGGGCGACAACCCGCCCACGCTGGAGCTGGCGCCAGGCTTCAAGGCCCCCCCGCCGGAGTCGTACGCGAGCCTGTGCGCGTACGTCGAGAGCGCGCTCCCGGACGAGTCCCCCGTGGTGTACGGGATGCACCCGAACGCGCAGCTCTCGCTGCTCACCGCGCAGGGCGAGACGCTCTTCAAGACGGTCACCGACGTCTCCGGCAGCGGCGGCAGCGGCGGCGGCGGCGGCGGCGAGGACCGCGTGCGCCGCGGCGTGCAGGAGTTCATCGAGCTGCTCCCCGAGGCGTTCAACATGGTGGAGATCGAGGCGGCGGTCAAGGAGAAGACGCCGTACATCATGGTGGCGCTGCAGGAGTCGGTGCGGATGAACGGGCTGCTGGGCGAGATGCGGCAGTCGCTCGAGGAGCTGCAGCTGGGGCTCGACGGCGCGCTGAACATGTCGGAGCGCATGGAGCTGCTCGCACGCGGCATCGCGACCAACACGGTGCCCGCGCGGTGGATGGCGGCCATGTCGACGCGCATCCAGGAGGTGTACTCGCTGTCGGCGTGGTTCCAGGACGTCCTGCGGCGCGTGGACCAGCTCCGCGGGTGGACGGCCGGCAACATCGTCACGCCCAAGTCGGTGTGGCTGCCGGGGCTGTTCAACCCCAAGGCCTTCGTGACGGCCGTGATGCAGACGTACGCGCGCGCGCACAAGCTGCCGCTCGACGTGATGAAGTTCATGACCGACGTGACCACCAAGACGCCCGAGCAGGTCTCGGACGCGGCCGACGTGGGCTGCTACGTGCACGGCCTCTGCATGGAGGGCGCGCGCTGGGACAAGGCCGAGGGCATCCTCGCTGAGTCCCACCCCAACGAGCTGCACCCGGTCATGCCCGTCATCCAGATCCGCCCCGTCACCGTGGAGGACTACTCGCTCGACGGCTACTACCTGTGCCCTGTGTACACCAACATGCAGCGCGCCAACGTCTACTGCCCCATCGTGTCCTCCTTCACCCTCAAGTCCAAGGACAACCCCGCCAAGTGGGTCCTCGCGTCCGTCGCGCTCCTCCTCCAGGACGACCTCGCGTAACCGCGGGACCACGCACCACCCTTTCAACCAACACACCTTACACCCTACACATCAGGCCCTGCCGGCCCCCCGGACCGCCCACTCGGGGGGCCGCGCCCAGCCTGGAGACGGCCCCGCCCTGCCGAGCAAGGCGCCCGCCCAGCGCCGCGCTCTGACACGCGGGGAGGGTGAGTCTCGACAACCCAGACCTCATAGTTGTGCAACAAACAGGTTGTGATCGCGTTTCAGACGAGCGAGTGAGCCATCCGCCTCAGCTAGCCCGTCTCATGAGCACAGCGAGGTCCAGGAACATGCATGCCGGGAAGCGGGGGGGCGGTGGTCATCCTGAGCGTGCCGGCAGGTCGCTTGGGTGACGGTGCGTGTGCCCCACCCCATCTCTGCCGGGCCCTTCCGCGTCTGCGGCCGCCCGCTTCGGCCCTGAAGACACGGCTCGCTCGAATTCACGCATGTTGGTCGGGGAAGCGCCGAGCCTCGCGCGGCTGGTGGGCATCCAGGGCGGCGGCGGGTGCACAGGTGTGCCCGGCTCGCGGGAGTGCCAGCTCGCCAAGGCGCGGGATCGAAGCGATTTGTCTCACAGAGTTGCAGGGACGCGCACGCTATTCTCGCACGCGCCGTCTGCGTCACCGCCGTGGGAGGTCATCAGGCGTTGGTGGCGCGAGTGTAAATCAGCTGCGAGGCGTGCTTCGCAATCGGCCGGATGGCGCCCTTCTCCTCCAGCTCCTTCAGGGCGGCGCGCGCGAGCGAGCCAGTGATCCTGAGGCGGTCCGACAGCGTGGACACCGTGATGAGCTTGCTCTTGACGATCTGCACGCACCGCGCCACGCCGCACCGGGTCAGCTCGGCGCGTCAGGGGCGTCACTGGGACAGAATACGGGCCCTGGGTGGCGTGCGGACAGGTCTAAGGCTGCGTGGGAGCCGCGAGGGCCGTGAGCCGGCGCAGCAGCCACTCCCAGCCCAGGAGGGACGAGCTCGTGGGCGAAGGAATGGAGCGTGGTTTCGCCCCCGGAGGGCGGACGTGACGCATCACGGCGAGCGCGAGCGTGGCGAGGCAGGTGCCCGCGCCGCGAGACCGGAATCGCGTGGCCGCCTGCCCCAGGGCGGCGCTCGCACCCACGCCCGGTGGCGGCAGGAGCGCCCCGAGACCACGGGGCCCGCGGTTCTCTGCCGATGTTTGTGCGTGTGATGCTGCGCGTGGTCGTGCGCCTTCGCCAGGATGGCCGCAAGAGGCCCGGGTGCGACAGCATGCTCAGTGCGCGCGCCTGACGCGCGCGTGCGGGCGCCGACGGCCCGCACGTTCGCCCCTGCCCGGCTCAGTGAACGTCGCAGGCGAGGGTGGCGCAACGGACCGCCGCTACGCCGGCCGGAACCTGCTGGCAGCAGGTTGGGCCCATGCTCACCTCCGTGTTCAGCTTCTCGTAGGTCTCCTTCGAGAACAGCACGGCGTTGTTCATCTTCTCCGCGACCTTGCCCTTCGACCACTTCTTCTTCTTACCCTTCGAGGCGTTCTGTGCCGCCAGGGCCTTGGCGGCCTTGGAGGCCTGAACCTTGGGAGCCATCTTGCGTCTCCTTGCGAAAGTTTCAGACCCTTCGCAACCGCGCCGGCAAGAGAGGCAGGGGTCGAGATTGCTGTCCAGCATTGGAGCCGGGCCGGAGCGGCCGCTCGACGACGCCCCGCAGCAACACCCCCCACCAGCCCCACTGCGAGCCTGGCAGCGCGACCAAACTACCGGCTCTTGCCGCCACGACGTTGAAGAAATTGTCACACCGCGGGTCGTCCACGAAACGCAAGCGGTGGCGCGGCGACAGCTCGCGGCTCGAGCCCCGGCCTGCTGCGCATGCTCGTGCCGACGTGCCGGGCCGCGATCGACGGCAGCCCGCCGCATGCTCGAACAAGTCGTATCCACATCCCGATTCCCCGCACGCAGCAGCGATATCCGCGACGGCGCACGCTCAGCGCCTCCGACCTGCATCAACCCCGTCTTGCGACGTGACGCAAGTCGCGACCCGTCGTTCTTACATCGCCGCACGAGCGAGCGCGCGCCTGCCAGCACCACGCGACCCCAGTCACTCAGCCTTGTGAGGCGGACCTCGATGACACAAAAAGCCTTGCGCCTGCGTGGTCGCTGCGGGACGCCCGGCGACCTCGCACAGCACCAACGGCCGTCACTTCCTCCGCCCCTTGTCCACCTTCGCGCGCTTCTTCCCGCGCTCTGCCCCCTTCTCCGACCTCCCCCTCCCCGCACGCACCCCCGCCTGTCGCTGCTGCTTGAACCCGATCTTCGCGCCACCCGCGCCCAGCTCGCGCCCGCCAGCGCCCTCCCCGCCCTCCCCGCCGCGTTTCGCCTTCTTCTTCTTCCAGTCCGGGCGCCCGGCCCGCTCCTTGCCACTCCCGCGCGCCCGCGCCGCCGCCACCCTTGCAAAGTCGTCGTCGGGCTCCTCCCCGACCTCGTCGCGGTACCAGTCCGCGTCGTCCTCTTCCGCCTGCGCGGCCCCCTCGCCCTCCGCCTCCGCGCGCCGCCTCTTCTTCGGCTTCTCCTCCTCCAGGCGTGCCTTCTCCTCCTTCTTGCGCCGCACGTTCGCCTCCTGCTGCGCGCGCCGCTCGCCGCGCAGCCGCTCGCGCTCCGCCACCCTGCACGCCAGCACACCGCAGCGCGCGTCTCGCACGGCCCACGCACGCACCAACACAGAGCTGTGCCCCCCGCGCAAGACAACACAGGGCGCGGCACACGCACTTGTCCCGCAGCCCGCGCTTCTCCTCGTCCGTCTTCTGCACGTGCGCGTGGAACAGCACCTCCCCCGCGCACAGCCCCTCCTCCACCTTGACCACCTCCAGCTCCATGCGCGGCCCCAGCTCGTGCAGCTTCACCACCGACTGCTGGTTCGCGACGTTCCCGCGCCCCACGAAGTCCTGCGCGAGCTCGAGCCGCGCGTCGTCGTCCTCGGCCTCGCTCTCGGACGCCTCCCCGCCGGCCCCCAGCAGCTCCGCCACGTCCCCCAGGTGGCCCAGGTCCGGCACACCCCCCCCGCGGCGCTCGACGAGGCGGCGCACGCCCCGCGAGACGCCCGAGGCGCGTGCGGTGACGAGGTAGTGCCGGAAGGAGATGCGGCCCGTGGTCTTCGAGCGCGAGAGCAGCACAACGCGCTGGCACTGCGACAGCCGCGCCGCCTGGACGTCGATGGGCGGGAACAGGTTCTGGAACATCGCCATCGAGAGGGCCATGTGATCCTCCTTGCCGAAGTTGTTCATCACGACCAGCGGCGGGTGACGGAAGGCCTGCGGCGGGTAGCGCGGACGCTTGGCGGCGGCCTGCACGTCGCGCACCAGCGAGTAGTTGACGATCCGCATCGCCAGGGTGGGACCCTGCAGGGGAGCGGGGGGACGGGCGGCGGTTGCTCGCGCCGGCGGGGAGGCTGACGTCGTCGGCCAAGGAAACATCAACGCTGGCGGCGGGGGCTCACGCGTGGGACCTTGCAGACCCGGAGGTAGCTGGCGCGCTGCGTGGCGGTCAGCATGAGGAAGTGCGTGACGCCCAGGGGCCCGGCCACTGACACGAAGTCCTTCAGGACGTTGCGCTTGGACTCCTTGAGTCCCGTAGCCGTGTGGGGCAGCATGACCTGGCGCAGGTCGTGCTCGAGCGCCTTGATGACGTTCTGCGCGAGGAGGAGAACGGAAGTGTGAGCCGCCTGCCCGGGAGCCGCGACGAGGCGTAGCCGTCGCTGCGCGCGCGCGAGCGGAAAGCACAGCAGTCTGTTGCACTCACCCCGAAGCGGCCTCTTCGGAACACCATGGACTTCGGCGGGCCCTTCTTCCCCGAATCTGGATTCTCCACGACATGCGTCCTCTTTTTCCTCTGCGTCACGGGAAAGGAACAGACGCGCGCGCCCGTGACACTTGGGCTGCTGCCGCAGCAGCAGTGACGGCTCCAGGGCACGTCGAGCGTCGAGCACGCGTTCGTGCGGGGTCGACCCGGCGCGTGGTGTGACCCCAAGCGTCCCTGCCAGCCTCACGTCGACCGCCACGGGTCGCTTACCCTTGGCTTCGCCATTTCGGCCGCCTACAAGGCGCCTCCGGCCAGTCCTGCTTGTGCCCGCCCGGTCTGTCCGCAGGGCGAAAGAACTACAGCTTTCGGGTTCAGGAGAGCGCGAGCGCGTGAGGAACAGCAACGCGCCGCGCGGGCCCGATGGAGCGGTTCTTCCTGCGCGCGCACGGGCTGGGTAGGAAACTGCCACCTCCTTGGAGTCTCCGAAACCACGACGGCACACCTCCCGTCGAGCCTCCGCGCCGCGACCGAACAGCGCGCCGCCACGCACGCGCAGACCCGCATTCTTGGTGTCGGCGCGGCGGGCTGTGAGCGAACGTCCTCTGCGCGATGGCTGCGTCCCTGTTGCTCCCCACACTGGGCCACCAGACCCTGTCCCGCAGCTCCGGCCGCGATGAGCCACCACGGACGCTCCTCACATGCGTGTGCGCAGGTGCGCACCGAGCCTCGTCGCCTGGCGCTCGTCTTCAGCAGCGAGCGCAATCCCTTTCATGAGTTTGAAGCATTGAACTCGTTTTTCACCGACGCCGCTTGGTCGTCATCCGCCCCGGATACCCGGACGACGCTGCAACCTCACGGCGGCTCCCGACCACCTCGCACGCCGCAACTCGCAGCGCAAGCCCTGGCCGGTGCGTGCATCGCCCTGAGAGGCGGCACACTGGTGTTTGCGATGCTCGGCCTCCTGGCGCTCAGCTCCGCATCTGCGGGGCTGTGGAGCTCCTGCGACCGGTCCGAGCAGAGCAAGCCACGGCTGCGCGCCGGACTCGCCTACCACGTCGTGGGGTCCCTGTTCTGCCTCGTGCTGCTTCTGCTGGCGGTCCCGGGCCTGCACAGGCAAACGCGGTGGGACTGCGCGCTGGCCGCGCTCCAGGAGGGTGCCGTCGGAATCATGCACGACATCGCGTCGCAGCGCAGCAAGATGCACACGGCCTCGCAAGGTTGGTTGGCGCATGTCACATAGAGACACCGAATCCGTCGCGTGGCCCACCGGAGTCACGGGCGCCGACGGTGCAGCGAGAGCGTGCCCTTCTCTCCGCAGGGGTCCTCGTGCGTCTGGGGGCACTTGACAGCTGGCTGGCGCACGTCTCGGAGGACATCAAGCGTGACAGCGTCACCGAGGGCGAGAAGGAGATGGTCTACTACAAGCAGCTGTGGCGCCACGCCGACGCGAACCTCATCAAGCAGAAGCTGGAGCAGCTCGAGCGGATAGCGGACCACCTCGTCGAGGTCTGATCTCGCGGAGTCGGCACCCCTTGCCACGAACGGACGGCCCGCACGCGGACGGAAGCCGCAACGATCAACTTATTCGCCGGCCTGCAGGATCTTCTGGGGAGCGGCGAGACAGCAGACATCCCTGGCAAGCTCGAAGAGACGGTTCAGAAGGTTGCAAGCACCTTGAACGCAAAGGCTGCCGAAGAGCTCCGTGCAACAGCGACCAAGCTGCTAGACGTCGCAACCGGCCTACGTGAGATGGTGCGAGGCGTCAAGGCCAGGACGCAGGGGCTGACGCCGTCCGACTACCTGGCTGCTGTCAAGGACCTGGATAGCGCGCTGGTTGGGCTGGTGGGCTACCTGGAAGCGGCCGAGCGCATCACCGGCCCCTCCGACGGACGACTGACGTCGCAAGAGTTCGTGTCTGCGTTCGAAGTCGTCGGGGGCTCCATCGCGGCTCTACTAGACGATGCCAAGATTGTGCAGGACGCACTCAGCCGCAGCGCGGCGGGGCAGGACTTCTACACCAAGATGCACGTGCGTCGCCCGCCCTGCGGATGACACGACTTGGCTCGGATAGGGCGTGAGCGCGCGATCGTGGCGCGTTCATCGCCACGTCGCAGAGTGCGGTCACTACCACACGACCTGCAGGTGGGCACGGTGGACCGCGTTCGCGAAGGGTGGCGCGAGAAGTGGGCCGGAACCACCGACGTCGCTCCCAGCCGCGAGTCCGTGTTCGCGGAAGACTTCCTTGACAGCCTGCCGCAGCGTTGCGTCACGGAACATGCCTTCCTGCACAGCCTGGTGCGCCTGGCACTGATCCTTGCGGTGGCCTGCGTGGCGTCGTCGTTCCTCGTCCTCGGCCCCTTCATGGCACGCTCCATGTCGACCCTGCACGAGGACTGACGCACGCAGCGAGCAGCAGAGAGCGAGCGAGCGACCTGGCTGCGGTGACACAACACAGCCAGCTGTCGCTCACAAAAAAACGGAGACAACGGACCGCGTGCGAGGCAGGAGCGCTACTGCAACGACGTCTCGTTGTGCGCCATCAGGTCTGCGAGCGGGACGAGCAGCAGGTCCTCGTCCGTGCCGTACGCGGTGCGGGCCCTGTGCAGGTCCTCCGGGTGCAGCGACAGCTCCGGCGTGCTGGCAGCCGGGTCGCGCACAATGAACACTTCCCGTCGCGCGTCGTACCCTATGATGACCAGGAAGTGCCCCGTGTATTCCTGGTCCGTGCCACACGCCGTTGCGCGCTGTGAGCTCCGCGTCACCCGGCCCCGCGGCGCCGTGCTGCGGGCCTTCGAGCAGCCCGCTTCGGTGATCGAGCCGTCCGCGCTGTCCGTGGAGCCCGTCTCGCCCGTCGCCGCCGTCTCCGCCACCGTTGCGCCGTTGCCCGTAGGCAGCTCGCACGGGCCCGCCGCTCGTTTGTGCCGCGCCAGCGACCGCCTGGACGGCGTCCCTCCCGCCGAGGCTTCTCCGGCGTCCGCGACCCCGATCCCCACGTCGCGTCGAGGGGAGCGCGCCCGTTCAAGCTGGCTGGGTGCCGTCCCCATGTCGCTGTGCGCACCGGCCGCCGACCGCCCGCGGCGCAGCACGGTGTTGTCGACCAGCACGATGACGAGGTGCTCGCCAGCGAGGACGAGGCTCTTGAGGTCGTCGGACGACAAGCTCCGCTGCAAGTCCCGGACCAGTGGGTGGACGCCGGTCAGGTGCGAGTGTGTGAGATCCGCGGGCGGGCCGCTGCGAACGTCGCCCCCGTCTCGCGTGGCGGCGGGTCTGTCTTGCGGGCCGCCCCGCATCGCACCTGGACGGCGGACCGGCGGCACTCGGAGCATTTCATAAACAGGTCGTTGACCCTCCTGCCGTCCTCCGCGAGAGTCCCGCGGTAGAACGACTCCCTTGCGTAGTCGGGGTTCGCTCCCAAGGTGGTCGTGAGCAGGCTGGAACGCACGCCGGCCCTGCGAGGGGGCGCGGGTCGGGGTGCTCCGCTGCTTGAGCTGCGGCCCGCCACGTGTTCGCCGAGCGTTCACAGCGAAGCGCAAGCGACCAGAAGGGACAGGTTCGTTTCGAACGTCCGCGGCACGCCGGTGCTAGGCGCGCAAGTTGGCCTCGCAGCGCTGCACACAGCCAGGGTTGGCGGGGCAGCGCACCTGTGAAGAAGGTGCGCCAAGTCGATCGTCCAGACCGAGGTGGTCGGACACATGGAGCGCAAGATATCCAGCGTGTAGCCAGAGCGCCCTTGGTACAGCAGGACCATGAGGACGCACGCCAGACCGCAGTCCCACGCCATCTCCTGCTGTACGTGTGGCACACTCAACGCAGCCCAGAAGCGCTCCGTTCCATCCGTCGCTCCCCGCACGCATGCGCTGTCAGCTCTCCTCCTCAGTTCCTGGCGAGGCAGTTCGACGACCCCCTCGCCGGAGGGCTGCGCGGCAGCAGAGATCCCACTGCAGGAGCACACACGGGGGGCAGCGCGGGCGTCGGGTGGGCCTCGCCCGTGACGCAGCGACGTCAAGGCCCATCCCGACAACTGTTTCTCGTCGTGCGCAAAGCTACACAGCCCCTAGACGCCGCAACGCCCGTCGGGATGGCGCGAGGGGAGCCAGCGAGTGGTTCTTCCGTACCGTGCGCACGCATCCAGCCTGCTCAGCGCAGACACGTTTCCGGACGCCCCAGGCGCCTCCCTCGCCATCTCTGGTCCGCGTCGCCTGAGTCTCGCCCGCTGATGGCGCCGTCTGCGCGCCCGCCAACTCTCTCACTACTCAGGCGCGTGTGGCCGCGAGATCGCTGCCGAGTAGCGCAGCCCCGGCCGGTGCCACGTCCTACGCCGCTCGCCGGCCTCGCTGCGGCCCCATGTCGGCGCCCGAACCCGGAGTCCCAAAGGATGGAGGCACCTTTTTCCTGACTCAGCGACCGCGGACCAGATGGCGGGCGCGAACCGGGTGACGGGCGCGTCGGGCACCGCGAGAGCAGGCCGAACCCTGACGTGGCGAGGCTGGCAGGGCAGTGGCTGGGTCGGCCGTGGCAGGGGGAAAGGTTTGTGTTGCGGTGTGTCACGCTGCCCTGTGGTGCCGCTGCGCGCTGCTCTTCGCGCCGCTGCGGTGCAGGCCACGCAGGCAAGCTGCACGCGCCGGGCCAGTCGGCACACTCCGCGAGTGCCGCACCCACACGCCGCCGTTGGGCAGCACCCAGCAGTGAGCCGGCCGCGCGCCACGGGAGCGGCGCTTCCCGCCGCCGGCGCAGCGCCCTCTCGTCGGGGGACGGGGGCCTGCTGCTCGGCCGCGTCACGACGCCGCGCGGGTGGCCACGTGGCTGAGGGGAGTGCGTGGGGAAGGGCAGGGCGCGTGCGGGGCGGCAGAAGGCGGCGCGGTTTTCGGCACGCGGCAAGTGTGAGCCGCAGAAGGTGTGAGGTCGTCGTTCCGTGCGGCGTTCGATTTGTGCTGCGACCGCAGCTCGAAAAGTCCCGTAAGTACTAGACTGGTAGAACCTTCTAGTAAGCACTTTGCGCGGACGTCGGGGAGCAAAGGCGCGCAGCGGCGAAACTGCGCCGCACTGGGCCGCCACCAGCAGCTTCCTGGCATCCCGCCATATTTTTTTCCACGGTTCCCCCTCGGGAGCCGAAAACATGAGCGGCCTCAAGTCCCTGGGACTGCGCACCGTGAGCTCGGCATCGCTCGCCAGGGGACGAAGCCCGGCCGCTGATTTTGCGTGAAGTAGTAGGCCCCCATATCAGGGCCCGCCGTTGGTGGCCGCGCAACAATGGCCGAGTCCTCTGGCAGCGAACGCCGAAGCGACAGCGACCGGCGCGACGCGCCCCCGTCGCCGCGACTCCCGGCCGCATACGCCGACGACGCCGCAGCTGCCGAGCTGCTGCGCACGTTGGGCGGCCAGGTCGCAGCGCAGTCCCAGGCGGTGTCACCAGCGCCTGGAGAGGCCTCGAAGTCTCTGCCCTCGTCTCGCGCCAACGACCGCGCGCGGCAGGTGCGACGGCACGCCCGCGATGTCGTGCATTATGACATTCCGCAGCGCAGTGATTGTTGTCGGTAATGTCCCTCGTAAGGAGCTCCTGGCCAGGATGTTTCCCCCGTGCTGCTTGCTCTGCATGGGCCGCATTGCCTGCCTCGCGAGCCGCTTGGGTCAACACATTTTACAGACGACTGTGTGCGCGAGCGCGCCGCCCCGTAACGTCCCATAATATCGCACCTCGGCGAAGGCTATTGCGCCTTCGCCTCCTTTTCCGCCGTGCCTTTCGCGGTGAAGCCATCCGTGACGCGGTTTCTGCCGGAGGCGGCGCAGACCGTCGAATTCATCGCCGGCGGCGGCATTCTCCCCGGGTTCGCGGCGTGCACGCGTCGCGCTGCCAGGGCCGAGTCGCTGGCTTGGCGCAGTGCGCGCCTCGACCTTTCGCGTGCACGACGGAGCGCCAGCGTCGCGGCAGGCGCTGAATCTCAATCATTTGCTCCGTTGCGCGCAGGCATCGGCCGCCGCTGAGGCTTCCACCGGCTCGCGCGTGGACATTTTGTGGCTCCTAGCCAAGCAGCATGCTCCTGTGCGCGCGCCCGCCCCTCTCCCGCGCTGTGCAAACCCCCCGACGACGCAACCCCCCCACCAGCCTGGTGTCGGAAACACCCCCGACCTGGTCCCCTCAATGAACCAGAGTATTGCCGCTCTGTTGCAAGCCTCACCTCTCCCCCTGCACTCCACCGCTGCCCGACCCCCCGCCGCGCGCGAAGGGGACGCCCCCCACGACCCCCCGCGCCTGTTCGCCCCGTCGTGCGAGCCGCCGCACGTCGATATTTCACGCCCCGAGGCCCTTTCCGCCGCGATCCGGCAGGCGTGGACGCAGATGCTGCACGAGCCCCCCGCGCGCCCCGGACAGCCCACGGTGCCGCTCCCCTCGCCCTCCCAGCAGCCCGCCACGGTAGAGTACTCCGTGGAGCAGCACCAGGCCGGCGCGCTCTCCGCCGCCGCCGCAGCGACCTCGCAAGCGGGTGGCACCTCAGCGCCCCAACCGACGCCCGGAGGTACGTCCCGCGCCGCCTGCGCCCGGCCAACACGCCCGCCGCCCAGTGCCCGCCGCGCGCGACCGCCCGAGCATCGCGCCGCACACGTGCAGGCAGCAGCTGGCAGGCGCCGCCCCTGAGGCTCCCTTCGAAGCCCCGCCTCGAATGGACGCCGGAGCTGCACGCGCGCTTCGTGGCCGTCGTTGAGGAGCTCGGGGTGGAGAGCGCGATTCCGACGGCGATTCTGAAGCGCATGGGGGTCCCGGAGCTCACGCGGGAGAACGTCTCCAGCCACCTGCAAAAGTACCGCCAGAGCCTCCAGGACAGCGGGAAGCTGCACAAGGAGTGGAAGCGCAACAAGGGCGGGCGACCGCCCCTGCCGCGCAGCGACAGCGATCAGAGCGGGGGCTCCCGCCGGCCGTCGAAGAAGAAGAGACGGAACTGACGCTGGTGCCTCGGCGCAGGGGCAGCTGGCGGCGCCTCGTCGTCGTCGCCCCGCGGCCGCCCACACCGGCCCCGCGCCGCGCCTCGAGTGGGCAGCGGCGCTCCCGCCTCCTGCGGCTCCAAGTGGCCCCTGCACTGGCACACGGTGCGTTTTTCAGTCCGTGCGTTCCTGCACGTTGACACGATCGTTCAGTCGAAGGAAGACACGATATTCGAACGCGATCCTGCGTGCTCACGTACGACGATCGGCTTGGCACGCAGACGGGCGCTCACAAGACGGTCTCTCTCACCCGTCGACCTTTCCAGCGGCTGGCAGCCGGGTCAGACAGTTTATGTTGAGTACCTCTGAAGCAACACCCGACACTCCCTTCCCCCCCTCCCCCCTTCCCGCCCCCCCTTCCCCCCTCGCCTCCCGCTGCTCCCCGACAACCCTCGTTGCTCGTTCCCATCCTAGGAACACCGGTCCCTACGCTGCCCTCCCCCCAAGAACTCCCAAATACTGGTACATTGAATCAGTAACGCTCCACCCCACCGTCTCTCCCAATGTCGGGCAACCCGCTTCCCCCCTTCCCTTCCCTTTTGTGGCAGCCACCGCCTCGCGTGTGGTGTTGCCAGTTCGTTTGAACCGCCACTATCTCATTACGACTGCAAGGCCGGCTACCAGTGCCTGCAAGCATGTGGCTGCAATTTTGGCCGAGCGCCAAGGCCGTTGGCACGGCAGTTTTGCACGCAACGCCCCGATCGTTGCTGGACCCGGGTTGAGTTCGCCGTCCCCCGTGACCGGCCCAAGACCCGGGACATTTTCCGGACCGGTAATCGGTCGTCGTCCGCGACATACCGCGTCGCCTCCAAGCCGTCCGTCGTCGCGAGCGAAGCGCTCTCAGCGTCGCTCCGCTTCGACGACACGCCCTCGCTTATTGCTATCCTGTCGTGCGATGGACGAAACGAAGCAGCCTCGCCCCTTGCTTTTTGCCCCAAGCCGCGCGAGCCCGCAGCCACGACAGTGGATGCTGGCGCCACGTGCCAGCGCCCCCGCGTTGCCCCTCAACGGCACCGGAACTGGGCACGGGCTGGGCCGCCTCCAGGGCGTGCACCTGCGTGGCAGCCCCCAAGGCCCGGCCTCTTTTTCTCTGCTGGGGCAGCGGATCAACATCACGTGGCGCCCGCAGATTGCTTGCGCGTGTGATGGAATCTGCTCGTCATGGACATTGCATGCCCTCACCTGCACGCGCAGCAGGCCTCCGCCACTCCGCATTGTCTCACCGTCGTGCAGGTGTGCGTGCGACATGCATGACTGCTCACATTGTCTACCCCGTCTGCTGTGTGAGCCTCGCCTGCCGTACCATTTCGGTCGCTCAAGCGTCCTCGCGGTGAGGATGCTCGTAGGTCAGCGAAGTACAAACTCCGCGCACGCGACTGACGCCCTGGCGACCCAGGAATCCGCGCGCGATGGCAACGGCATGGCCGCGCGCCCGTTCGCCGTGCGACCGTCGCACGGCTCAGTGACTGAGTCGGGTCTTGCGTCAGACGGTTTGGCAGTCTGACGGCGTCACGGGTTGACACCTCGCAGCTATATTGCGGCGAGCGGTGCACGTGGCGGGCATGGACAACGGCGCGTCGACGTTGTTGCCGCGACAGGCCAGCCGCGCGTGTTGTTGTCACGTCACGGCCTGCCCTGGAGCAGGACAGCTCTCGAAGACCCTGCTAGCTGGAGCCTCTGGCCCGCTCCGTCTCGTGCGCCTAGCCGGACGATAACCTCACTGGCTGCGATACGTCCGTTCCCCGAGATGGGGCAGCGGCGGAGGCGAGCGGCGCGGGCAGGGCAAGCCCAGGGGGCGCGCAAGGGGGGCGACGCGGCGGAGTCGGGCTCGAGCTGCGCCGGCTCGGTGCCCGAGCACATCAGGGAGCTCAAAGTTGACCTGCCAACGGCTGAGTTCCGCGGCCCGGGCGGCGCGGAGCGCCCAGTAGGCGCGGCGGTCGACCTACCACAAAAGGTCGAGCCCCTGCGCGGGGACCGGGGCAACCGCGCGGGTGCGCACGCGCGTTCCGACGGGCAGGGCACGATCGGTATGTCGCCGGGCGGCCCGTCGGGCTCAGGCGCGCAGGACTCACCGTCGTCGCGGACCCTGGACACGCACGAGGGTTCAGAGCAGGGCTCGCTCCGCAGTGCTGGGAGCCCGCGCACCGTCAGCGAGCAGGTGCTGGAGTACGCGAGGAGCATTCCGCTCCTGCACACCCCGGCGCGGCCGCTCCCCCACACGGCGTCGCAGGCCGCGCTGTGCCCTGGGGACACGCCGTTCCTGCCCGAAGCTGCGCGGCACCGCTCGCGGCTGGCGGACGAGCCGCTCGAGGGGCCGCCCGGCGAAGAGGAACACAAGATGAACATCCGACAGGAGGTACGTGGCACCCGGCGCACGCACCGCGCACGGCGGGTCGCTTCCGTGCTGCACTCTCGCGCCTCCCGAGCACGGCGCACGGCGTCTCCCGCCCACCGTTCAGCTCCGTTCCGAGGTCCTGTGCAGATGGAGCACGTCGCTGGCGAGACGGTTCTCCTCCTGGGCTTCGCGGGCCGCCTGCTGTGGCTCCTGGGCATTGGTTGGCGCTGGGTGGCCTCTCTGTCCCGCCTGCTTGTGTACAGCGCGCTCCTCATGCCGGGGTTCGCCCAGATGATCCTTTTCTACTTTTTCTCCCCGCGCGTGTCCCGCTCGATCGAATACGGCCGGAAGCCCCGCCAGCGCTTGGACCTGTACGTGCCCCGTTCGCGCTGGTTCCGCGAGGGGCCGCGGCCCGTGGTGGTCTTCGTCACCGGCGGCGCCTGGATCATCGGCTACAAGGCGTGGGGCGCCCTCCTCGCGCGCCGGCTGTCCCAGCGCGGCGTGCTCGTCGCCTCGATCGACTACCGCAACTACCCGCAGGGCACCGCGGTCGACATGCTCGAGGACGTCAACACCGCCATGCGCTGGGTCTTCAAGCGCATCCACCTCTACGGCGGGGACCCCGAGCAGGTCTTCCTCGCCGGGCAGTCCGCGGGCTCGCACCTGGGCGCGACAGCGGTGGTGCAGCAGGCGCTGCGCGGGGTCGGCGAGGCGCGCGACGGTGCGTGGGACACCACGGGGCTCCGGGAGGCCATCGCGGTCGACGAGCCGCTCACGCCGCTCAAGCGGCCGCGCGGGGGCGCCGCTGGGCCGCACGACGGTCACGGGGAGCTGTGCTGGCCGCGCTGGCCCGCGGCGCGGCTGCGCGGGTTCGTCGGCGTGTCTGGTCTGTACAACATCGTGCAGGCCGCGCCGCACCTCCACAAGCGCGGCCTGTACCGGTCGATGGCGGATCGCATCTTCTCCGTGGACGGTCGCACCGAGTTCGCCGCGCTGTCGCCCACGCTGCTCGTGCCGCTGCTCGAAGGCGCCGGCGCGATGGCTCTCCCGCGCATTCTGCTTCTGCACGGCGACCGCGACGCGTCGGCGCCGCTGCAGCAGTCCGAGGACTTCGTTGCGCAGCTGCACAAGCTTGGCGCGGACGCCGAACTCAAGGTGGGGGCGCACACGGCCGCCGCGGACGCCGGCACGTGCGTGCGCGTGTTTGCGTGCGCGTGCGGCGGTCTCTGAGCCCGCGGCGTGGCGCCTCGGTGCGTGCAGGTGTACAAGGGATGGTCGCACACGTCGCCGCTGATCGAGGAGCCGATGCGGGGCGGGACGGACCAGCTCGTCGTCGACCTCCTCACGGAGATCCTCGGCACGCGCACGGACGACTCGATGCGGCTCAAGTGGCACGAGCAGTACCAGCAGCTCCCGCTCTGCCCGTCCGTGCTGATCGACGCCGCCAACTGGGTCTGCCCCTTCTGACGACGCGGGCCGTGTGACGCAAGCCGCAGCGGGGCGCGTGTTGCGATACGCATCACATGGCGCTGCAGCGGCGGTGAGTGACTGGGGCAGGGCGGGCAGGGGCGCGCTCAGGCGACGGTCGGAGCTTGTCCGATGGCGTGCGGGAGGCGGTGCGCGATGGGAATCCCGGCCCACTTCTGCGTGCACTGCGTGAAGAACTCGATCTGATTCACCATCGACTCGTTGACCTTCTCCCTGCGCACGTCGTCGAGGGCCGGGGGTTGGGGGCTGCGGCGCGGGGCGTGGGCGGACGCGCGGGGCTGGATGCGCGTGTGGTGCGCTGCCACCTCGGGGGTGCCCGCAGCGCCCCGGGGCCTGTCGCTTAGGCTGCGCGTTGGTTACCTGAGCACGACAGTGGCGAGTTCGTTGCCGGGCTCGCCCGCGAGCTTCTCCTTGTGCGCGCGCATCTTGGCGTTCAGGAGCGTCAGCGCGCAGTCCGTGAGGTGCATCTGGTAGTCGAGCTCCGACCCGAGTGCGCGCGCGTTGAGCTCCGCGGGCGCCCCGCACATCCCGACGTGCCAGGACTGGAGGAGCTTGGTGCGGGTGTCGTGGCGCATGGCCGTCGAGTGGCTGTGCGTGTGGGTGTGCACGCGCACGTACACCGGGCCGCGCAGGGGCGCCCGCTCCACCGTCGCGCCGTCCTCCACCACCACGCGCGGGGGGGAGTTCACCGGACGCCGCTTGGCGTACGGGTTGCCGCGCATCCTCTCCGCGCGCTCCTCCATCCTGCGTCGCGGTGGCCGGGCACGGCGGCTCCGCGGATTGTGTGCGCGAGCGCGGCCACCATGGTGGGATGGCCCTGTCGTGCGGGATCGGCCGTGAGCGGCGATGAGGAACGCATCCGCGCCCACGTGCCGCGAAGTTCAGACGCGACATGTGCCATTGACGCAGCCCTCCTGGGCGAACGCCTGCCGGTCGCACGGGCCCGCGGCGACCGGGTGCCTGTGTAACACTGCCGACCGGGGCGGGTGGAGCGGCGTCGCGCACCTCTCGGCGTGGGATTTCGCTGCCCGGGTCATGTCTCGTACCCTATCTACCAGACCGTCGCAGAGAAGAAGGCTTCGGTAGGCCGGCGTCCCGCCTGCCCGGCGCACAGCACGGCACAGATGCAATGGCAAGAATGTGCGTGTCCTGGGCGGTGGTGACGGCAAGGCTGCGTGTTCGCGGGTGTGATCGATTCCGTAGTACAGTCGGCGCCCCCGAGCTCCGACAAACATGCTCCAGAGGCCCTTGAGCCGCCGCGACAGACCCTATACATCACCAATATAAGGCACGGGCCGCGGGGGGGGGTGCCTGGTGCATCCCGCGGCATGTGGCCACCAGGCACGCGCGCTCAGCCACACAACGGTGCCGCAGGCGCGGCGGCAGACGGATCCGCGACCCGACCGCTCAGGCTGCGGTACGTGCTGCTCAGCAGGTTCAGTGTCGGCGGGCGCCAACATGGAGGTACGAACCGACGCGTGCGCCACCGCTATGCGATCACTTTGTTGATTGACGCCCCCTGTATGCCGTACCTCCTCCCGAACCGCCCACGCTGTGATGCACTTCCTGGCCAGGACTTGGTTTTTTCGCGCCGACAGGCGGGAGCGTGCGCCTGCGGAATCCCCATGCGAGTGCGCACCAACCCGACTGCGCCAGTGATCCTTGTCACCGCAGGATGCGAATGCGGGCGCGAATGAGGGTCCACCAGACGGTGCAGCGCCGAACGGCGCGGCAAGCTTGCCCGCAGGCCAAGCAACTGGCCCGAAGCGACCTAGCAAGAGCGTGTTTCACACGGTGCCGGTGTCTACGCCTTCTCCAGGTGCGTCGCATTCGTGCGGGCGGTGGCAAGGCGCATTAAACCCACGCCCGCGCCGCCAAGGCCGACCCGACCTATTTCACCTCTCTGCAGGTCCCTTTGCGCTCGCTGACCTCAACTGGGTCACGGTTGCGTGGGCGAAATCCAAGACGGGGTTTGCGGCGATGGCACGCTTCTCGGAGTCGCGCTGGGACGACATGAAGGAAGGCGAGGCTCGCGTCGCAGGCCTCCCGCTGTACATCAGGAAGAGCAATGCCTCCAAAAAGGGCCTACCAGGAGGCGAACTGCACTGCTCGGGCGGGCCCGAAGATCATCGGGGAGGAGCCTCCCAGGCGCGGTTCCAAGGCAGGTCGCGGAAGGCCCTCGCGGAGCTGGAACGCCAAGGTGAGGGACCTACGCTGGCCACAGCATGATGGGCGCGCACCTTCCGTCTCGCGCACCAATCTTGCGCCTCCGCTGGCAGGCAGCTTGCCCAACATATCGTCCTGCTCTGAGTCTGTGTCGCAGACAACGTGACCGCGGCGGACGCCGATGCGCGAGGGTCGTACAAGAAGCGCAAGTTCACCAAGTCTCAACTCGGGACGAGCGTGCGGTGCGGGTGCCAGGTGTCCCTGAAATACACCACGCTCGACGAGGGTGAAGGGAACGTTCGGTCTGTGGCGGTCCGGTACGACATCCCCGCCGACTCGGAGGCAGGGCCGCCGCAGCACTCGGGGCACGACGTGGGAGAGTCTCTGCGAGAGGCGATTCAGCAGCACGACATGGACGGCATCCGCGGCTGCATCCCCCATCGCCTGAGTCTCAAGTCGCGCGAAGTACTGAGCGCGTATGCGACGATGGGCGTGGCCGTGTCTCGGGCGCTGTCGGGCCTGAGGGAGGACATCATGGCAGACTTCGCCGAGGAGACGAGCCTGTACGCTGAGTACGGGAACTTCTGGTCCGCCATGAGCCTGCTCGGCGCAGCCCTGAAGAAGCAAGAACTGCGCGACTTCCTCGCGACGAGTGACGACTACCACAACGCGAAGGCAAAATGCAGGGGGGATGATGGCGTGGGCTTCGCCGCCGACGACCAGCGGAGCTGCGAGAACATGGTGCGCGAGAATCGCCACATCTACCCTACGTACCGGCACCTCACGGCGACGACGCCGATGGTCTTGGTTCTGATGACCAAAAACATGGTCAGCCAAGGAGTTGCACACTGGAACAGGGAAGGCGCAGTGAAGAACATCTGCTTCGACGTCACCTTCGGCACGAACCGCTACAACTTCAAGACCTGCGCCGTGAACGTCGTCGGGTCGGCGGGTCGGTGGCGGCCGATCGCGATCTGCGTGTTGAGCGACGAGACGGCAGAGACTGTTGGGATGGCGTTGAACTGCGTTCGGGCGGAGCTGAACAAGGCGGGCGCGGAGAGCTGGGGCGAGACGCGGCCGGGCAAGCGCGCGGTGTTCATGACGGACTGCGCGGAGGCGCTGCAGCAGGCGGTCGCCACCACGTTTCCAAGTGCAACGCATGTGTGGTGCACGTTCCACATGCTGCAAGCGGTCCTCAAGAACCTGCACAGCAAGATCGGCCAGGGCGCGGGGGTGGGGGACCTGAAGAGGCGAATCTGGTGCGACATCGTGGACATGCTCCGGAAGGCGCGCCGTGATGTGCTGGGAGCATATATTGCATCTTCGGCGCGCGAGCAGCGGCAAGCGGACGACAGGGTGGCGGAGGACGCCGCTGCCGACATCGCTGCCTTCAATGCGCGGTATTCCAGCGACAGGCGCGCTGCGTCGTTTCTCAAGTACTTCAAGTCTCAGTGGGGTGCATCTGAGGTGACCGCGATGTGGATGCTGCGCTACCGATCGACGGACATCCCCACGACGGACAACGCCAGCGAGTGCCTTTTCAAGTGGATGAAGGACATGCTCAGCGCGCGGGGCGTGCGGTGCGTGCATCATCGGCGGCTTGATCAGTTCCTTCTGCACTGCATCTCCCAGGACGAGGAGCGGGCGGCGCTGGAGGCGGCGTGCGCTGTGGGTCTGCGCCAGCCCAGGGCGCTGCAAGAAGCGCTGCGAGTCGCCGAGAACGGCGGCGAGGCCTTGCGTCAATACGTGCAACAGTTGATGGTGATGTGGCCATTGGTCGACGGGGTGCGAGAACCCACGGACGCGCCCGAGCAAGGCAAGTGGGAGATCACGCGCGACGGTCGCTCTCGTGTGCTGGACTTCGTGGGGGGGAAGCTGACGTGCACGTGCGATCATCATGGGGTGTGCCATCACATGGCTGCGGTGCGTCAAAGGTACAACTTCACGTACAAGTGGTTCAAGGACGCTGTCGCGCACTTGGGGCCGTCCGTCGCGAGGCCACTCCCGGGGGACGACAGCTCCGAGGAGCAGGAGGGCGGCGCGGGCACCAACGCAGCTGCGAGAGCAACAGGCGCTAGCGCTGCTGTCGTCGGCGACCCCGCGGAGGGGGCGGGTGCTGAAGCACAGGAGGTCGCGTCGCCGCCGAGGCAGGCGGAGCTCGCGGCTGCGAAGCAAAGGATGATCGAAGGGATCAACGCGTGCGACAACAAGGAGCACCTGATGAAGCTCTATCGGGCGTTCCGAGATTGGGAGCAGAGCGGCCGCAACGGGTGAGCGCGGAGCACGCACCACGTGCGGTTGGCTGCTGGTTGTCGTGGCGCGATCTGCCCCGATGCACGCGAGCGCGCTCGACAACTTGTACACGCAAACCTTTTGCCCTGCAGGATAGAGTGGGAAGCCGGCGCGATCCGCAGCAAAAAGCGCAGGGAAGTGTACGCTCTGAAGCGGCGGTCGAAGAGAGAGCGTCGACGCGATCAGCGCTCGGGCGTGGCGGGAGACGCCTCCCGAGAGGGTGCAGCAACGTCATCATCGACCGACTCGGACCCCCAGACGTTGGCGCAGCGGTGCACGTGGAGGGTGCCGCGTGCGAACGAGGAGCGCGACGCGCTGAGGGCGAAGACGCGGCTGCCCGGGGACCCAACTGCTTCTGCCCCTCCAGCAGGCAACAATGCTGACCAGCGCACGGGCGGGGGTGGCGGTGGCCCGGCTGCGGGTGGGAGTCGGCCGGCAGACCCCGACGCGGCAGGGGAGCTCGTGCTGTCCGCGGCTCTGGCGCCGGACTGGTCCCAGCTGCTGAGCCAAGCACAAGCGACACAAGGCGGGCCGCCCGCGACACAAGGCGGCCAGCGTGCACTGGACCCGCGCGTCGACGAGAGGCACCAGGCGTTCGACTGTCTCGGGGAGCGTTTCATCGTACCCGCGGAGCGCAGGGCCATCGGGGGACCGACTGCTCACGAGCAGTTGTGGGAGGGCTGGCGATGGTGCCGCGAGTGCGGCAAATGGAGGACCAACGGGTTCGTACAGACCATGACGGCCGCTGTGCAGTACTTCAGGTGCTCGGAGTGGGACCCGGTCGGCAGATGTAGCGCGGATTGCAGCAAGTGCCACAGTGATGGCAGAGCCCGCAACAGCACGTGCCACCACTACGGTGCACCGCGGGGAGCACGCAGGTAGCTTCGGTGTGACGATACGTACCCGCCGCGCCGAAAAAACGGGCCGTCTCGCGACTGTGTCTCGCCTGAAACGCCCCCGACCCCACCACCTCATACTGGTGAAGTATAGGCCCTGCGAGCCGCCGCAAGCCGAGTCAGCCACAGCACCGTGCGGCAGAGCGTCAGCTCGTGAGTTGCCACGCCCTCGTGCCTCGCGTCCCTGAAACAACGGGCCAGCCACGGCCCGAGGAACGCTCCGTCCATAGGCAGGGTGAGACTCGGAGTGGTCGCGCTCGGTAACGTGGTGTGTTACAGAGAATCCCTTCCGTGTGCAGGAAGGCTCGCATGTAGGGGTGCGCGCACAGAGACGAAGCGCGAGCCCGGGCGGGAAACCACTGTATGGGGCTTCGGCATGCGTCGAAGCA